TAAGCACTCCCTATCTCTATCCCTTGGGCTGCCATTTATTGTTATCCACAAAATGCTGACATATTTTTCTATTATACGCTGCCTCATTGATATAATTTATGGACTCCCTTCTAGGCAACCATATATATATGTATATATATTCGTATAAACATATATAGACTCCCAGAAGCCTTTCGTGTGCGTTTTTAATGGGCGATGAAGGGGGATAAGGATGCTGCTGAAGCACGTGAACAACAGCAGGGGCAACAATAACATTTAATAGGCGCATGGGAGCAGAGATGACTGCCTAAACATGCTCTGATTTGACTCCTCATTGGTACACCAAAAGAAAATTTAGCAAAAAGGGAAAACAAAATTCATCTTGAATATAGGAAAATGTCCAAAATTATACTTAAAATTGATTTTTATAGTATTAATAATATAGGAAAAGTATGTAAAGGAAAAGTATTCTTAAAATCAAAAGAAATTTAGTCAAGTTGAAACTTTTGCAGAATGTCTTTGTATTTCATTCATATTAATTTTAATATCATTTTTCAAACATTTTCATTCATCTCCTCCGTATAAAATATCTTTATAAACCATAAACATTTTATGAAAATTAAAAATTAAACTCTTTTAATGCTTAAAAGGAAAGCACATCTAAACGAAACACTTTTTCTTTAATACCTTTCAAGCGATGAAGTATTTATCTCCCTTTAATATTCATGTTCTTTTTGATAAAGATCCCCCATTTTAATATCAATATTTTGTGTAGTGTTGGGGCTTGCCATCATCTCTGGTTAATAGGGAAGTTCCCCTGCCACAAAACCAAGCTGATGCTCCATTAACGCTCCATGGCAGAGATGGAGCAAAAACCATCCAACGAATTTGTGCACTCGCCTGATTCGTTATCTATAAATAATTATATTAACTTTGCTTTTTGCTCTTGACTAGGCCTAAATACGAGAGGATAGACAAGAAGGACTCCCTAGAAGGACTTATCATCAAACAGCAGTGAGCTGCAGTTTAAGGCAGGGACTGTGGCTGGGCTTGGAAGTGGATTTTTGGGACCGCGCCTAAAATCCAGCAAGGAGCACAGGACGCATACAAAATTTTTGTGGCAATCCCCTCGAAGAACAGAAAAACAGAGGACGAGAAAGAGGCACTCAGAAAAATAAGGAACTAGGAAAAATAGAAGAAAATTCGTTGCTAATATTAAACAAGGGGGTGAACCGTCGGAAAATACACAGTTTACCCCTTCCGGAAACAAGCAATTCTTAACAATAAATTATTTTTTAAATATTTCGTTGGAGTTTAGAAAATTTCTTTTAAGTAAATTTTGATTTAAGTGCACAGCTTGCCATCAAGTTTTTTTTTCGGAGGGACAAAATTTCCAAGTTCTGTTTTTTTCCCCCGCTTTGACGTTGGGAATTTAATCGAAATTCCAAAGATATTCCAATTGCAATTTGGCCATCAGTTGGAAGGCCCACCTTGGACCATTCTAAGGGTACTGCTTCAATGAAAACTAAACTAATTAATGTACAATTAACTTTCCATAGCCGTGGGTTCAATTAATTTTCCAATTAGCCTAAAGCAAACAGTATGCAAGGACCTCATGAATATGTAGAAATATCACTAGGATTAAAGCCTTGCCTAGCTGCTGACACATTTGATTTGCTATGAAAATGAACTGGTAAATAATAGATGCGACGTGATAAGTTTTGGCTTAGTGAAAGTTTTCGAGAAAGTGAAAAGCCAGAGAGCGAAAGCAGCGAAGCAACAGTTCCAAAGGTTCCTTTACCTACTTGAATATATTTCTCTTCTATTTATTTTGTTTTTTTCTTCTTTTTTTTTGGCAACAAGCACAAAACAGAAGGGATTTAGAGATTGGTCGGCCTAAAGTTGGTTAACATTTTTCAGCACAAAACACTTGGCCATATTGCAGAGTCACACAGACACAAACACCGCCAAGTACAAAATATCAAAAACAACAACACGAAACTCAATTGAAAGTTGGCTCTTGGCGTCCATTAATTGGTATTCAACGATTTCAGTTGTTGCCTTTTGGCTCTTCTCTGAAAGACCGTTGCGAAAATCCCGTCCGCGAGATGTTCTTCACTTGGGAGCTGTACGCGTGCTACTGATTTTCCATTTTCACGCAGAGCCAACAAGTTGCAAAAAAAAGTAAGGGAACTTCATTCGAAAGCGCTTCGTCTTCGGCCTTGCCAACTGCCGACAGAAACACCAGGAGCAACCAGTGAGTGTTCTAGTGCCCCAAAATTGATGACAAGGCACTGGAAAAAATTATGGATACAAATTTAATTTAGAGAAAATATTAGAAATTTTAATAAACAGAAGACATTACTTAGAAAATTGTTTTAATAAAAACATGAACTGTAAGCAAACATTAACTTGTTAAATGAAAATCTCTGAAAAGTTAAAGTATACATTTTGGCAGCATTTTAAAGTGATTTTAAATCTCAAGAGTTCTCATTTCAATAATTTTCTTGATAATTGCCATGACTTTAAATGTTTTCTAGTCTAACATTATTAATAAACATTTTTCGTAGTGCTGCAGCAACAACAGTCCACTCATACAGAGACAATGAGAGCGAGAGAAAGTATCAATCGTGTAAAGCTCCTTTGGCATTGAATTCTTTCAATGCGAACTTCGAAAGCTTTTTCGCAACTTGTTGCCTTGTACGTTGCTCAATCAGCTGTTGCTCTCTCTCCCCCATCCCTACTCCCCCTACTTTCATTTCGATTTCAAGGATTTCTAGGGAGTGGTTGCCATATCCTACTAGGCAGACTATAGTTTTGGTTGACGAATATTGAAGTCTGGTTGATTCATATTTTTGTAATTTTCTAGACCATTGAACTTGGGACAAAGGACAACTTCGGGACCCAAGTGATTAGTTCGAAAAAGCTTGGGGCCAGCTTTTAATGGTGTGCGTGTGTATGCATGCTACTTCACCTTGAAAGCTAGGAGAAGTGAATTTAGAGAGCCAGAGATAAGAAATGTATATATCTCTATATCGGTGTGTGAATGTGTACGTGTGTGTGTGTGTGTCAGTGATTCAATTTGTTGAATACTTTTCGGCGTTTTTTCCGTCTTAATGACCGCCCATAACTGCGGCTCGAGTTACCCATAAGCGACCTTAATTGACGCACACAAGTGCGCCAGGATATTTTCTTTTTTCTTTGCTCTCTGCCATTGCACGGTATCACCTCGAACAACACTACCCGTCTACCATCCCGCACCACTTTCCACCCAACCACCTTATTTACCTGTTGTCATCTTTGCCCCTGAAAAAAAAGAAGCAAAAAAAAACACGAAGCTACGGCGAGAGCAAGACCAACAACGGCTGACATTGAGCAAGCTGCAAAGTAAGTTTACCCATGGCAATGGCATCGTGCTGCTTCTTCCTCTCCGGGTTTTCATACCCTTCTTTTGGGGTAAATTGATTTTTAAATGCAATACGCCGAAAGCATGATCCTTAGCAGTCGTAAAGATTTATAATCAAATTAAAGTTTTAAAAAATATAAAAATAAAAAATAAAGAAATTAAATTTAATAACATCATTTAGTGTGTATACCTAAAGTTGCCTTCTTAAACTTTGATATAGTATTAAATATTAAATTCGTAGGGTATTTCTTTTATCGTTCTGCTCAGCCCAAACTTTCCTCTAGTTTTGCATTGTGTTTGCAACAGACAAACAGACCGCATTGGATGGTATAGGGACACCCTGAAATGGCGCAGCTATATGTCTGTCCATAACCTAAATGTGTGCATATATTTATGTTTGTGTGTGTGTGTCGGTGTGCCTATGGATACTTTATGTGGACAGGAAACTTTTCAGGCAGACTACTTCAAGTTAAGCACGGCGGTACGGACAAAGGAAGAGAGACACTGGGCTCAGACGTGTACAGACAGAGGCTCAACGTAGGCTTCTCTTCAACGCAGGATATTCACACAGCCAGACAAGCCAGGGGCGTGGCAAAAAGAAGATTTTACTAAAGCGTGATGAGACGAAAATATGGAAGCGATTGCCAAAACTTTTCAAGATAAATATAAGTTGCTTCTATTACTAACAGCTGTACTCCAAAAATTTACTTTTGATCATTTTTTCTTGGAAAAAATAAAACTAAATATGAAAAGAAAGTAGTTATAAATGAGATAATACTTTTTGTAAAATGATTAGGTAAAAAATATATTATAATAAGAGTGTTTTATGATTTATAAATAAGAATTTAAAATACCAAAAATAAATATTTTAAAATATTGTTTGGCATGGAAGCGCACTATCCGAAACTGCGTATCTAATAATGCATGAAATGAGTTTTTAAGCGAACTGAAACACTGAAAATAATAGGCCTGCGTTTAGCAATCAATAAACCATATAATTTAAACATAAAAAATAAAATCAAAGTTAAAAATATTTGCAAAGAATTAAGTAATATGACCTTTAGCCAACTCTATGTTTTAACTGTTACTCAAAGAGGAAAAGGATGTTATGACTTTGTTTAAAAGTGTAAATCACTTCGAAGGAAGCCTTTGGGATCCAGTAAAGTATATATTCTTGTACAGGATAAATTGCTATGGTTTTTGGTTTCAGCCATTTCTGTCTGCCCTTTACTTATTTGGTTTCTAGGTACCACATAAGTTCTACCGTTACCGCCGGTTAGATTTAAGATGGTTTTTGACAATAAATTGAAATTTGATACAAATGCCAAGTACTTTGAAAATCGATTGAACATCCTCTTAATTGTGAAATAAACAAATCATTAAAATACAAATTACATTTAATTTGAAAAGATTTTGTCATTATAATAAAAATACGGGACGGTGACCTTTAGGCGCTGTCAAAATTATTATTAAGACATTAGCTTTATACCAATTAGAAGATATAATTAGTAGTATAATTGTAATAAAGCTGAAAATTTTTAAGATTCTAAAATGTATTGCCTAATGACTGTCAACTTTATTGCTAAAATGAAGTCCCTTTTCAAAAGCATTCAATATGCGGTTCAATTTAGTCATTTGTGTGCTCTTTGGGTTTTTATTGGCCGAATTCAGTGTACGAGCTCGTATGTAAGCCAAATATTTTAAGTTGTGGAATATATTTTAAAAGTTTTTGTTTAGGTGGCGGTTGTTTTCAAGATGACAAACTTTGAGTGCGAGAGCTATAATAAATCTTGGTTTGTATTCCATAATTGTCGCCTGAAGGCCATAAATCGAAACAAGGTTATACTTAATATGAACGGAACTATTTTGCATCCATCTTGTGATATACAAACTCATTTAAAAATTTATAAAAGGGAAAATGGTTTTAAGCCCTGGCTGTTTGACACCAAAATTGATGCCTGCCGTTTTATGAAAGGAAAATATAATTCTGCCGCAAAAATAGTCTATAGCCTCTTTCAATCTTTTACCAATATAAACCACACGTGTCCCTATGTGGTAAGCTATCCCCTTATTAATAGTACAATTGTTATTAATAATATTTAATATATTACTAGGGACCTCAGATTGTTGAAGGGTTTTACCTGAAGCCCGAACTACTCCTCCTGCCGTTTCCTTCTGGCCAATATATGTTGGCAATACGCTGGTTCTTTGAAAAGAAACTGCAGTTTGATACAAACGTTAGCTTTTTGTTTGTAGAAGATTTTGGGAAATCCAAATAAATATATATTTTGGATAATATTTTAATGCTAAATCAAGACATTATTAAAACAATAAAAGTATACAAATTATTCGTTATATCATTAAAAGTTACCGCTTTATGGGTTTTTTAATTTAAGCTAAAGCCAAGTATGTGTCGGGCCATTTAAAATTATAATGACATGAAAATTGTTTAGTTTTTAATATTTGTTGCCCAATGATTTTGTATATTTCACCCGTCTATTTCATTGTTAAAAATAAGTCTGCCCTCAAAAGCTTTTAATATGCGGTTCAATTTAGTCGTTTGTGCTGTCGTTGCCTTGTTTTTTACTGAAATCTGCGTAGGTTAATAAATTCATACTTTTCCGAATAATTTCTTAGATTTTTTTTAGGTGGCAGTCGTTTTCAAGATGACGAACTTTGAGTGTGCAAGCTATAATAAATCGTGGTTCGTGTTCCATAATTATCGTCTAAAAGCCATAAGTCGAGACAGGGTTATACTTAACATGAACGGAACAATTCTGCAACCAGCTTATCACATACAAACTTATTTTAAAATTTATAAAAGGGAAAATGGTTTTAAGCCCTGGCTGATTGACTCCAAAGTCGACGCTTGTCGTTTTATGAGAGGGAAATATGATCGTTTCGCCAAAATGGTCTACAGTCTCTTTGAACCCTTTACCAATATTAACCACACGTGTCCCTATGTGGTAAGCTATCTTCAGTTTAATATATAAATATTTAATAATAATGTTAAATATATTAATAGGGACCTCAGATTGTCCAAGGATTTTACCTGAAGCCCGAACTCTTACTTCTACCTTTTCCCACAGGCCAATATATGCTGGCCCTAAGATGGTATTTTGACAAGAAACTGCAGTTCGACACAAACGTCAGCTTTTTGTTTGTAGAGGATTTTAGAAAATCCAAATGAAAATTATTTTTTATATACTATACTATTAAAATGTCTTAATGCTAAATAAAGGAGTCATTAAGAAAATAAAAGTATAACAACTATTTGTTGTATTAATAAAACTTGTCGCTTAATGGGTTTTCAATTTAATCGGTGAGAGCTATAATGGACACTCATAATATTGCGGAAAATAAACGTGAAGATTATAGTTCATTTTCAAACTTTTAAGCATCAAGTACGTGTGGAAGCATTTATAATTATAATAACATAAAAATTAATTAGATTTTAATATTTGTTGCCTAATGATCTTTTTGTATTTTCCCGTCTATTTCATTTTTAATAATAAGTCTCCTCAAAAGCTTTTAACATGCGGATCAATGTAGTCGTGTTGGTTGTTGCTTTCGTTGGATTGTTTTTTACTGACATCTGCGTAGGTTTATAACAACTTACATTTTCGCATAATTTCTTACATTTTTTTTTTTAGATGGCAGTCATTTTTAAGATGACAAACTATGTGTGTGAAAGTTATAATAAATCGTGGTTCGTGTTCCATAATTGTCGCCTGAAGGCCATAAATCGAAACAAGGTTATACTTAATACGAACGGAACCATTTTGCATCCCGCTTATGATATACAAGTTCATGGTAAAGTTTATAAAAGAGAAAGTGGTTTTAAGCCCTGGCTGCTTGAGAGAAAAATAGACGCTTGTCGTTTTATGAGGGGAAACTATGATCATTTCGCAAAAATAGTCTACAGTCTTTTTCAACCGTTTACCAATATAAACCACACGTGTCCCTATGTGGTAAGTTATCCACAATTCATTATCTTTTTGATAAACAACATTTTCAAATATATTAACAGGGACTACAGATTGTCCAAGGATTTTACCTAAAGCCCGAACTCTTACTTCTACCTTTCCCTACAGGCCAATATATGCTGGCCCTAAGATGGTATTTTGACAAGAAACTGCAGTTTGACACAAACGTTACCTTTTTGTTTGTAGAAGATTTTGGGAAATCCAAATGAATATATTTTTTAGATAATATTTGAAAGGACGTAATGATAAATTAATGAGAATAAAAGTAAAAAAACTGTTCGTTGTATCATTAAAAGTATTCGCTTTATGGTTTTTTTCGTTATTTGAAAGCTAAAATCGATTTTTATAATTTCGTGGAAAAAACCGTGCAGTTTATATTTTCTCTTTTTCACTTTTAAACACTAAGTATGTGTCAGGCCATTAATCATTATAATGACCTGGAAATTGTTTAGCTTTTAATATTTGTTGCCTAATGATTTTTTATATTTTATACGTCTATTTCATTGTTAAAAATAAGTCTGCCTTCAAAGGCATTTAATATGCGGTTCAATGTAGTCGTGTGTGCTTTTGCTGGATTGTTCTTAGCTGAATTCAGCGTAGGTTCACAAAGCAACTTATATTTTCGAATAATTTCTTAGATTTATTTTAGTTGGCAGTTGTGTTTAAAATGACTAACTTTGTGTGTCAGAGCTACAATAAGTCGTGGTTCGTGTTCAATAATTGCCGTCTAAAAGCCATAAGTCGAGACAAGGTTATACTTAATATGAACGGAACAGTTCTGCATCCAGTGCATAATGTCCAAACTTATGCTAAAATCTTTAAAAGAGAAAATGGTTTTAAGCCCTGGCTGGTTGACATCAAAATCGACGCTTGCCGTTTTATGAGAGGACAATACCATCCTGTCGCCAAAATAGTCTACAGCCTCTTTCAACCGTTTACCAATATAAACCACACATGTCCCTATATGGTAAGCTATAATCACTTTAATATTTAAATAATTAATAATAATGTAAAATATATACCTAGGGGACACAGATTATTCAAGGATTTTACCCGAAGCCCGAACTGTTACTTGTACCATATCCGACTGGCCAATATATGTTGGCCTTAAGATGGTTCTTTAACAAGCAACTCCAGGCCGATACAAATGTCAGCTATTTGTTCGTAGAGGATTTTCCGAAACATCATTAAATGAAACGTATGGCCTATATATAATGTTTTAAATCTCTAACTATAAAACTTAAAAAAAATGTATTTGTTGTGCCACTAAAAGTTGTCGCTTTATGTTTTTTTTTTAATTTCCGTTCTATAAAAGCTGAATTAGGCATTTATAATTTTGTGGAAAAAAACCTTTAAACCAAGTATGTGTCAGACCATTTATATTAATAATGACAGGAAAATGATTTAGATTTTAATATTACTTCTCAAATGATTTTTTATATTTTTCCAGTCTATTTCATTTTTAAAAATACGTCTGCCTTCAGAGGCATTTAATATGCGGATCAATATAGTCGTTTGTGCTTTCTTTGGATTGTTTTTTACTGAAATTTGCGTAGGTTTATAACAGCAAACATTTTCAAATAATTTTTTAGATTTTTTTTTTTAGATGGCAGTCGTTTTTAAGATGACCAACTTTGTGTGTGAGAGCTACAATAAGTCGTGGTTCGAGTTTCATAATTGTCGTCTGAAAGCCATAAGTCGAGACAAGGTTATACTAAACATGAACGGCACAGTTCTGCACCCAGTTTATAGTGTACAAACTCATGGTAAAATTTATAAAAGAGAAAGTGGTTTCAAGCCCTGGCTGCTTGACACCAAAGTCGACGCTTGTCGTTTTATGAGACGAAGATATGATCCTTTCGCCAAAATAGTCTACAGTCTCTTTCAACCGTTTACCAATATAAACCACACGTGTCCTTTTGTGGTAAGCTATCATTCTTTCAATATTGAAATAATTAACAATAATGTTAAATATGTATTTTACAAGGGACCACAGATTCTTGAAGGATTTTACCTGAAGCCCGAACTGCTCCTTCTACCGTTTCCAACTGGCCAATATATGCTGGCAATTACATAGGTGGTTCTTCGACAAGAAACTGCAGTTTGATACAAACGTGAGCTTTTTGTTCGTAGAGGATTTTTCGAAACAGAAATGATAAACAAAAACATAACATTAAATACAACTTATAATCTAAAACTGATTAAAAGATTTAATGATGAAATATAAAAATATTAATGGCACTCCCCCATTAATATTAATATAATACCACTTCCAAAAGCATACAACATCCTTAGCCAACCAAATATCAAGAATGACGAAATGTCAATAAAAGCTAACGACGAGGGACCATCTGGCGAAAGAAGTAGAAGGACAGAGACTAATAAGGCAAAGAGAAGAAAATCAGAGAATGAAGTAGAAAACGACGAGCGAAGAAGCAAGAACACGAGAAACGAGCAGGAGTATTCGAGAAGATCTGACGAAGTGGAGACGTGCTCAAGCGCTATGATAACGGGATCTACATATAACAAATAATTCGTTTCCATAGCCAATATTTAATGGAGTAAAAAATATAATGCATCGAATATTTTTGTAGAATATATTGTAAATATTATATTTTTAATAGCTTAAATGCTAAATTAAGAATTTAAAAGAATTAAAATTGTTCACTTGATTGCTTTTCAAATTTGAGCTGTTTACTTGATCGTTAAAAGTAAGTCTGTTCTCAAAAACTTCCAGTATGCGGTTCGATTTAGTCGGTTGTGCGCTTTGCGGATTTTTGTTAACCGAGTTTAGTGTAAGTTAAACAAGCACTTTATAAAATTTTCATATTATTATAATTTATTGAAAATTATTTATAATGCTTAGATGGCGGTTATTTTCAAGCTAGCAGACGTGGTCTTTGAGAGCTACAATAAGACGTAATAATTGTCGCCTGGAGACCAAAGGTCGAGATAAGCTTATAATATCCATATTAATGATAAAATCCATTAAAGGAAAAATAGTTTTATGCCTTGGCTGATTGACACCAAAATAAATAAAAAAAAAATCATATGCCTGTTAATAATAAATTAGGGTTATAATGCTTAGCATGATGATTTACCAACAGATGGCTTTATTAAAATTATAGTTGACTATAGATTTATCTTAATTTTTAAATGCAAAATGTAGTCATTATTAACCCCCAATAACTACTTCTATTACCGATCAATAATTGCCAACTGAATGGCTTTTAAATTTTAGTTTACCATTAAATTGTTAATGTTGGGCTTCCCTTCAAAAGCTTCCAGTATGCGGTTCAATATAGTCATTTGTGCGGTCGTGGGTTTGCTTTTAACTGAATTTACTGTATGTTAACAAAAATTGTATATTTTCAAATTAATTTTCAGTTAATTTGTTTAGGTGGCGGTAGTTTTCAAGATGACAAACGTCGTGTGTGAAAGCTACAATAGTTCGTGGTTTGTGTTTCATAATTGTCGCCTGAAGGCCATAAGTCGAGACAAGGTTGTATTTAATATGAACGGAACAGTTCTACATCCAGTTTATAATATCCAAATTCATGGTAAAATGTATAAGAGGGAAAATGGTTTCAAGCCCTGGCTGCTTGACACTAAATTTGACGCTTGTCGTTTCATGAGACGACAGTATGATCCCTTTGCCAAATTAGTCTACAGTTTCTTTCAACCGTTTACCAATATAAACCACACGTGTCCTTTTGAGGTGAGCTATCTTCCTTCAATATTGAAATAATTAACAATAATGTTAAATATATTACAAGGGACCACAGATTCTTCAAGGATTTTACCTGAAGCCCGAACTCTTACTTCTTCCATTTCCAACTGGCCAATATATGCTGGCCATAAGATGGTATTTTGACAAGAAACTGCAGTTCGACACAAACGTAACCTTTTTGTTCGTAGAAGATTTATTAAAACAGAAATGATAAAGAAAAACATTACATTAAATACAAATTATAATCTAAAACTGATTTAAAGACTTAATGATGAAATATTAAAATATTGATGGTTAAAATAATACCACTTCCAAAAACAACGTAATACCTAGAACGACGAGATGTCAATAAAATCTAACTGAAGAGTGGCCAACTGGCGAAACAGGTAAAAAGAGGAGTGTGAAGAAATTAACGACGACGAGTGACCATCTGGTGAAAGATGAGGAAACCACGGAGAAAAAGTAAAACATTTTTTGAAACAATTAAATCGATTATATAAAAAATGAAGTAAAAATTAGAATCAGAAACTTATGTTTAAAAGTTTTTATGCTGAAATAGTCATAATATGAAAGTATAAACAAGTTTTTTATTCACCACTCTAAACTCAATATGCATATGATTTGCTCACATGGTTTTAGATTATCTTCTTCATTTTTAATTGCAAAATTACGCCATTATGTGGTTTAGCTTTTTGCCTTTTTAAATGTCAAGTTACCATTCGGTTATTCACATTGGGCTTCCCTTCAAAAGCTTCCAGTATGCGGTTCAATATAGTCATTTGTGCGGTCGTTGGATTGGTTTTAACTGAGTTTACTGTATGTTAACAAAACAATTTAAGTTTTCAAATACATTTTCAGTTCATTGGTTTAGGTGGCGGTCGTTTTCAAGATGACCAACTTTGAGTGTGCGAGCTATAATAAATCGTGGTTCGTTTTCCATAATTATCGTCTGAAAGCCTTAAGTCGAGACAAGGTTATACTTAACATGAACGGAACAATTCTGCAACCAGCTTATCGTATACAAGCTCATTTTAAAATTTATAAAAGGGAAAATGGTTTCAAGCCCTGGCTGCTTGACTCCAAAATCGACGCTTGTCGTTTTATGAGAAGAAAGTATGACCATTTCGTCAAAATAGTCTACAGTCTCTTTGAACCATTTAGCAATATTAACCACACCTGTCCTTATGTGGTAAGCTATTATCAATTTATTAGCCTTTGGCTTAACAACATTTTAAAATATTTTTATAGGGACCACAGATTGTTGAAGGGTTTTACCTGAAGCCCGAATTGTTACTTCTTCCGTTTCCAACTGGCCAGTATATGTTGGCCATAAGATGGTATTTTGACAAGAAACTGCAGTTCGACACAAACGTCAGCTTTTTGTTTGTAGAAGATTTTGGAAAATCCAGATGAACATATTTTTTAGATAATATTTTAAATGACTAAATGCTAAAACAGGAAATTATTAAAAATAAAAGTATAAAAATTATTCGCTGTATCATTAAAAGTTGCCGCTTTATGGGTTCTTTAATTTGAGCTCTGAGAGACTATAATGGGTACTCATAATTTCGTACATTTTAAATTGTTTTTCTAACCCTTAAACAACATCTATATGCCGGACTATTGATCAGTATAATGACCTGCCTGATTTTGCATATTTTACCCGTCTATTTCATTGCTAAAAATAAGTCTGCCCTGAAGAGCTTTTAATATGCGGCTTAAATTAGTCGATTGTGCTTTTGTTAGATTATTTTAGACTGTATTCTGAATTCTAAAACAACTTATATTTGTGAATAATTTCTTAAAATATTTTTTGATTTGTTTTTAAGATTACAAACTTTGTTTGTGTGAGCTATAATAAATCAGATGGGGAAATATAACACACTTTCTACTACTTGTAGTTACCGGGATCTCAGCGTTTCTATAAAAAGCTAAAACCGTCTTTTGAGCTTAGTGAGCGTAAGAGTGGGCGTGGTCGCATAATGTTACCTAACGATGCGCTGGCATTTCAAAATTCTAAATGCTTAATGCCAACTTTCTATCACTAACAGTTTCTGAGATTTCAGCGATTTTATTTTTTCGTGATTAGTGGGCGTTATGGTGGACATGGCAGGATGCTGCTTAAGGAACTCAAGAATATACATGCCCAATACCAACTTTGTATCTTATAGTTTCTGAGATTTCTGCGTTTATATGGACAGACAGAGAGACGGGTGGACATGGCTTAATGGACATCGCTATTGATTAAAAAGATTTCATTGAGCACTCTAAACACTATATGCATATGATTGCTCACTTTTAGATTATCTTCCTAATTTCTAAATGCAAAATTAAGTCATTATAAAAACTTTATAAGTATGGTCGTTTAATGACTTTTTAAGTTTCTGCATACCATTTGATTGTTCAAATGGGGCTTCCTTTCAAAAGCTTCCAGTATGCGGTTCAATATAGTCATTTGTGCGGTCGTTGGTTTGCTTTTAACTGAATTTACTGTATGCTAACAAAAATTTTACATTTTCAAATTAATTTTCAGTTAATTTGTTTAGGTGGCGGTAGTTTTCAAGATGACAAACGTCGTGTGTGAAAGCTACAATAGTTCGTGGTTTGTGTTTCATAATTGTCGCCTGAAGGCCATAAGTCGAGACAAGGTTGTATTTAATATGAACGGAACAGTTCTTCACCCAGTTAATAATGTGCAAGCTCACCTTAAAATTTATAAAAGGGAGAATGGTTTCAAGCCCTGGCTGATTGACTCCAAAATCGACGCTTGTCGTTTTATGAGAGGAAAATACAATCCTGTCGCCAAAATAGTCTACAGTCTCTTTCAACCGTTTACCAATATAAACCACACGTGTCCCTTTGTGGTAAGTCATCATCACTTTAATATTTAAATATTTAATAATAATGTTAAATATATCCCTAGGGACCTCAGGTTATTGAAGGATTGTACCCGAAGCCCGAACTCTTACTTCTTCCATTTCCAACTGGCCAATATATGCTGGCCATAAGATGGCTCTTTGACAAGAAACTGCAGTTCGATACAAACGTCAGCTTTTTGTTTGTAGAAGATTTATTGAAACAGAAATGGTAAAGAAAAACATTACATTAATGATGATGAAATGATGAAATAATGATGAAATATTAAAATATAGATAAGGGAGTGGTTAAAATAATACCACTTCCAAAAACATACAAAATCCCTGGACAACGTAATATCAAGAACGACGAGATGTCAATAAAATCTAACTAAAGAGTGACCAACTGGCGAAAGAAGTAAAAAGAGGAGTGTGAAGATTAAAGCGACGACGAGTTGCCATCTGACGAAAGAAGTAGAAAACGACGAGCGAAGAAAGAAGAACACGAGGAGGAGTATTCGAGAAGATCTGACGAAGTGGAGACGTGCTCAAGCGCTATGATAACGGGATCTACATATAACAAATAATTCGTTTCCATAGCCAATATTTAATGGAGTAAAACATATAATGCATCCATATTTTTGTAGAATATATTGTAAATATTATATGTTTAATAGCTTAAATGCTAAATTAAGAATTTAAAAGTATTAAAATTGTTCACTTGATTGCTTTTCAAATTTGAGCTGTTCACTTGATCGTTAAAAGTAAGTCTGTTCTCAAAAACTTCCAGTATGCGGTTCGATTTAGTCGGTTGTGCGCTTTTTGGCTTTTTATTAACTGAGTTTAGTGTAAGTTAAACAAGCACTTTACATATATTTGGAAGATTGTTTCATATTATATTAATATTACTGTAAATTACTTATATTGTTTAGATGGCGGTTAATTTCAAGATGACAAATGTCGTGTGTGAGAGTTACAATAGGTCGTGGTTTGTGTTCCATAATTGCCGCTTAAAGGCCATTAGTCGAGACAAGGTTATATTTAATGCGAACGCAACAGTTCTGCATCCAGCCAATAGTATCCAAATACATGGTAAAGTTTACAAAAGGGAAAATGGTTTTAAGCCTTGGCTGATTGACACTAAAATCGACGCTTGTCGTTTTATGAGAGGAAAATACAATCCTGTCGCCAAAATAGTCTACAGCCTTTTTCAAACGTTTAGCAATATAAACCACACGTGTCCTTATGTGGTAAGCTATTATCAGTATAATCTTAATTTGATTTACAATAATTTAAAACGTATGTATTTCTAGGGACCACAGATTGTCCAAGGATTTTACCTAAAGCCCGAACTGTTACTTCTACCGTTTCCAACTGGCCAATATATGCTGGCCTTAAGATGGTTTTTCGACCAGAAACTACAGTTTGATACAAACGTTAGTTTTCTGTTTGAAGAGGATTTTTCGAAATCCAAATGATAAGTTTATAAATCTGATTTCAAAAGTGTTTATGCTGAAATAGACAAGTCAATAATACTGGACGATCTTATCAATGAATGCTAACATCTCGGGATGTATGTATAATAACTTCAAAGTCAGTCACGTCCACTTTTGCTACATTCTTACTTTGTTATTCAAAATTGTTTAGGAAGTAAATATTAAATTAGGATAATACGGCCTAGCATGACGTATTGGCTACAGCTTTTTCTTAATTTTTAAATGCCAAATTTGGGCAACATTTCCGGCCATTAAATGCCCGCTCAATGTTAGTTTAATATTTGGATGTTCAAATTGGGCTTCCTTTCAAAAGCTTCCAGTATGCGGGTTAGCTTAGTCATCTGGGCAGTCGTTGGATTGGTTTTAACTGAATTCAGTGTATGTCAACAAAATATTTAAAATTGTCAAAAACATTATTAGATCATTTGTTTAGGTTGCAGTCGTTTTCAAGATGACAAACGTCGTGTGTGAGAGCTACAATAAGTCACGGTTCGTGTTTCATAATTGTCGCCTGAAAGCCATAAGTCGAGACAAGGTTATATTTAATATGAACTCAACAATTCTTTACCCAGTTAATAATGTACAAGCTCGTTTTAAAATTTATAAAAGGGAGAATGGTTTCAAGCCCTGGCTGATTGACGCCAAAATCGACGCTTGTCGTTTTATGAGAAGAAATTATGATCCTAGAGTCAAAATAGTCTACAGTCTCTTTGGACCATTTAGCAATATTAACGGAACGTGTCCTTTTGTGGTAAGATATAATCACTTCACTTAATTAAAATGATAATTTATAACTTGAAATGTTTCTTTAGGGACCTCAGATTATTGAAGGATTTTACCCGAAGCCTGAACTGTTACTTCTACCATTTCCGTCTGGCCTATATAAGCTGGCAATAAGGATGTTCTTTGACCAGAAATTGCAGTTTGATGTAAACGTCACTTTTCTTTTTGAAGAAGATTTTGGAAAATCATAATGAATATATTTTGTAGATACTATTTAAATGACTTCATGCTAAATTATGGCATCATTAAAACAATAAAAGTAAAAAAAAACTGTTTGTGGTACCTTTAAAAGTTGCCGCTTGATGGGTTTTTATGTCCGTTACTCGCAGAGTAAAGGGGTATATTCTATTCGTTGAAAAGTATGCAACAGGTAGAAGGAATCGTTTTTGACCCTATAAAGTACATGATCAGGATCAAAAGTCGAGTATATTAAACAATGCCATATAAGAGATACATTGTTGAGATTAAGCATGCAGATTCTCGGGGTTCCTGCGCAAGTTTATTTCAGCATTCTACCACGCCCACGCCCATAACGCCAAATAATCACGAAAAATTTAAATCGCTAAAATGTGCTGGACCATTGATCATTATAATGACCTGAAAATTGGTTAGTTTTTCTATATTTGTTGCGTAATGATTTTTTTTATATCACCCGTCTATTTAATTCTTTACAATAACTCTGCCCTGAAACCAGTTTATCAATTTACATATATACAAGCCACCATTGTTTTACTCATATTATTAAAATTCTAACAATATTTTATTGACCACTTTAAACTCAATATGCTCATTCGATTTTAGATTATCTTATTTATTTTTAAATCCAAAATTAAGTCATTATAAAATCTTTAAGCATGGTCGCTCATTTTAAATTTTAGTTTACCATTACATTGTTAATGTTGGGCTTCCCTTCAAAAGCTTCCAGTATGCGGTTCAATATAGTCATTTGTGCGGTCGTTGGATTGGTTTTAACTGAATTTACTGTATGTTAACAAAAACTGTACATTTTCAAATTAATTTTCAGTTAATTTGTTTAGGTGGCGGTAGTTTTCAAGATGACAAACGTCGTGTGTGAGAGCTACAATAGTTCTTGGTTTGTGTTTCATAATTGTCGCCTGAAGGCTGTGGGTCGAGACAAGGTTGTACTTAATATAAACGAAACAATTCTTTACCCAGTTAATAATGCACAAGCTCACCTTAAAATGTATAAAAGAGAAAATGGTTTCAAGCCCTGGCTGCTTGACACCACAGTCGACGCTTGTCGTTTTATGAGACGACAGTATAATCCCGTTGCCAAAATAGTCTACAGTCTCTTTCAACCGTTTACCAATATAAACCACACGTGTCCTTTTGTGGTAAGCTATCATTCTTTCAATATTGAAATAATTAACAATAATGTTAAATATGTATTTTACAAGGGACCACAGATTCTTGAAGGATTTTACCTGAAGCCCGAACTCTTACTTCTGCCATTTCCAACTGGCCAATATATGCTGGCACTAAGATGGTTCTTTGACAAGAAACTGCAGTTCGATACAAACGTGAGCTTTTTGTTCGTAGAGGATTTTTCGAAGGAGTAATAATAAATACACTTAAAGTCTGCACAAAAATTGAATAAATAAATTGATTAAATCGAATATTAAGTACAACTTAAAATCTGAAACTTATTTTAAAGATTTAATGATGAAATATTGTAATATTGATGTGGAGTGGTTATGACAATACCACTTCCAAAAACATACAAAATACCTAGGCAACGAAATACCAGAAACGACGAAATGTCAATAAAAGCTAACTAAGAGTGACCATCTTTCGAAAGAAGTGAAAAGAGGAGTGTGAAGATTAAAGCGACGAAGAGTGACCATCTGGTAGAAGAAGAGAAACCACGGCGATGATTAAAACGAAGACGAAAAGTTCAAAGAAGGAATTATAAGCAAAGGAAAAGATTAAGCAAAAAACGAGAAATTCAGCAAAAGAAGTAGAAAACGACGAGAGAAGCAACTTGACGAGATGGCACGGGAAGATCTGACGAAGTGCTTACGCGTTATGATTTAGGAATCTGAATATAAAAAATAAATCGCTTTTATAGGAAATTTTTAATGGAGTAAAAAATATTATAAGCAAAAATATATTGTACAGATTAATTTTTAATAGCTTAAATGTTAAATTAAGAATTTAAAAGTATTAAAATTTTACTTGATTGCTTTTCAAATTTCGGCTTTTTACTTTATCTTTGAAAGTTAGTTCTGTTCTCAAATACTTCCAGTATGCGGTTCGATTTAGTCAGTTGTGCGCTTTACGTCGAAGGTATGATCCTTTCACCAAAATAGTCTACAACTTCTTCAACCGGTCACCAATGTAAACCACTGCTTAAATATTTAAAAACTTAATAATAACTTTAAATATATTAATAGGGAATTCAGATTCTTGAGGGTTTTTACCTAAGGCCCAAATTGCTCCTTCTGCCGTTCCCATCTGCCCGAAATGCTGGCACTAAGATGGTTCTTCAACAAGCAACTCCAGGCCGATACAAACGTCAGCTATTTGTTTGTAGAGGATTTTCCGAAACAACATTAAATGAAACTTATTGTCTATAGATGATGTTTTAATTCTTTAACTGTAAAACCTAAAAAAAAATGTGTTTGTTGTGCCACTAAAAGTTGTCGCTTTATGTTTTTTTAATTTCAGGTCTATAAAAGCTAAAATGGGCAATTATAATTTTGTGGAAAAAACAGATTATATATTTTTTGTAACCTTTAAACCAAGCATGTGTCAGACCATTTATATTTATAATGACATGAAAATAATTTAGATTTTAATATTTGTTGACAAATGATTTTTTATATTTTTCCCGTCTATTTCATTGTTAAAAATAAGTCTGCCTTCAAAGGCATTTAATATGCGGATCAATATAGTCGTGTGTGCTTTCATTGGATTGTTTTTTAGTGAATTCTCGGTAGGTTTATAATAGCAAACATTTTCAAATAATTTTGTAGATTTTTTTTAGATGGCAGTCGTTTTCAAAATGACAAACGTCGTGTGTGAGAGCTACAATAGTTCTTGGTATGTTTTCCATAATTGTCGCCTGAAGGCTGTGGGTCGAGACAAGGTTGTACTTAATATAAACGAAACAATTCTTTACCCAGTTAATAATGCACAAGTTCACCTTAAAATGTATAAAAGAGAAAATGGTTTCAAGCCCTGGCTACTTGACACCAAAATCGACGCTTGTCGTTTTTTGAGACGAAGATATGATCCTTTCGCCAAAATAGTCTACAGTCTCTTTCAACCCTTTACCAATATGAACCACACGTGTCCCTATGTGGTAAGTCATCATCACTTTAATATTTAAATATTTAATAATAATGTTAAATATGTATTTTACAAGGGAACTCAGATTATTAAAGGATTTTACCTGAAGCCCGAACTGCTCCTTCTACCGTTTCCAACTGGCCAGTATATGCTGGCCATAAGATGGTTCTTTGACAAGAAACTGCAGGCCGATACAAACGTTAGCTTTTTGTTCGTAGAGGATTTTTAAAACACAATTGATACATGATATCGAACGGTCAATGCAAAATATGAAAGTAAAACATTTTAAATTGATTACATAAAAAACTAAACTAAACGAAAATTAATTAATAATATATACATATGTATGTACAATGTATTTCCATTTATCACAAAACTGGTTTAAAAAAAAGATAAGTTTATACTTTTTATAATATCTAATAAAGCGTGAAATGAGTTTTTAACCGAAACGAAACGATTAATATAATAAGCCTGCGTTTGATAAGCAACAAGCCATATAAAGTTTTTAAAAATAAAATAGAGGTCAAAAGTACTTCCAGAGAATAGGTAACTATTTTATTATTAGCTAATTATGCTAAAAATCATATTCCTAAATATTTAAGAAAGCCGTTTAATGTGTTGATATCAATTACTCCTAACATATTATAATATACATGTATGTACATCGTGAAAAGTATGTTATGGTTGTAGGAAAACGTTTCGGACCTCTTAAAGCACCCCTGCTCAGCGCCTATGCTCTGATTGCTGATTTGTTTTTGTAAATGCTCGAAGCATAGGGACTTGCTCGTCCATCAGCTTTGAGCGCTCGCAGCGATATTACACTAACAATTTTTCGTTTTCCTCTTTTCACCTCATTCCATCGCCAAACGCCATACAATTTGTTCTTGTTCTTCCTGGCACATCTTCGAACACTTGCACTGGAATTCATTCCTTATAACTTCTGTTTGGAATTTAGAGTATATTTCGCATTTGGCGGGATAGTAAAATGAGTAATGAAATGTTTCTCTCAGTGCACAGCTGCAAGTCAACACAAAAACGTCACTAAATTTGTGCACGTTTTCATGTATTTGTGTTAGTAAATGCTCTGCCGTAAGACGATTTTGAGCACTCCTTGCCTTAAAATAAATACATATGGTACATATTCTTGTTCACGATATCTGTATAGCCACGCACATTCTGATATGCCCGTCTTATAACGATTTAATTTATTTATATATTAATTACTTTTCTAGGAATCACTGATTTAGTACGTTCCTATGTCTCCGCTCTTTAGCTTTGAAATGCCAAGTTTTTTGTACGTACATATGTACATTTGTTTGATGTATTGTACATCATCATAATTGTGAAATAAACAAATCATTAAAATACAAATTACAGTTAATTGAAAAAGATTTTCTCATTTCCGATAAATAAAGGAATACGACCTTTGGGCACTTCTAATGTTTCAAAAAAACATTATTAATGCATTAACTGTGTACAAATTTTGGAGATTGCTTAATGATTTTTCACATTTGAACTGCCAATTTTATTGATAAAATTATGAATGCTTCTCAAAAGCATTCAATATGCGGATCAGTTCAGTCATTTGTGCTCTCGTTGGATTGCTTTTAGCCGAATTCAGTGTATGTAAGCCAAATATTTAAATTTTTGGAATACATTTTTAGAACATTTCTTTAGGTGGCGGTTGTTTTCAAGATGACAAACTTTGAGTGCGAGAGCTACAATAAGTCGTGGTTCATGTTCCATAATTGTCGCCTTAAAGCCATAAGTCGAGACAAGGTTAATCTAAATATGAACGGAACAGTTCTGCATCCAGTTTATAATATAGAAGTTCATGGTAAAGTGTATAAAAGGGCAAGTGGTTTCAAGCCCTGGCTGTTTGACACCAAAATCGACGCTTGCCGTTTTATGAGAGGAAAATACAATTCTGCCGCAAAAATAGTCTACAGCCTCTTTCAACCGTTTACCAATATTAACCACACATGTCCCTATGTGGTAAGCTATTATCAGTATAATGTTAAGTTGATTTACAATAATTGGCGATATATTTGTAGGGACCACAGATTATTGAAGGATTTTACCTGAAGCCCGAACTGTTACGTCTACCGTTTCCATCTGGCCAATATATGCTATCCTTAAGATGGTTTTTTGACCAGAAACTACAATTTGATACAAATGTTAGTTTTCTCTTTAAAGAGGATTTTCCGAAACAGATGGCTGTATTAATATAATAAAGTTAGCTATCGGTAGCTGAAAGTATATTAAGTTTAAAACTTTTTAACAGTATTGGGTATCTGACAGTCTACTATTCCTTTTTTCTCATTTTTCAATCTAAAATTAAGTTAAATTTAAAATTTAGTTTACTATTTTATTGTTAAAATTGGGTCTTCTAGTACAGTACAGTCTAGTAATTTGTGATTTTATTGTTCCGATAAGTGATTGGGTATGTGCTAGTCGACTATAGCTTTTTCCCAATTTTGAAATCATAAATTTAGTCATTATTAAAACTCAATTAATGTTTATGTTTCTACTTAATCGGCTGACCATTAATTGTTCGCTTAATGACTTTTAAATATGAGTTTACCATTTGAGGGCAAAAATTGAACTTCCTTTCAAAAGCTTCCAGTATGCAGTACAGTCTAGTATTTTGTGCTCTCGTTAGCTTATTTTTAACAGAGTTCAGTGTAGGTTAATGAAGTATTTAACTTTTGGACTAAATATTTAGATCCATTACTTAGGTGGCGGTTGTTTTCAAGATGACAAACGTCGTGTGTGAGAGCTATAATGAAACGTGGTTCATATTCCAAACCTGTCGCCTAAAGGCCGTGGGTCGTGACAAGGTTGTTTTTAATATGAGAGGAACGATTCTGCAACCAGCATCGCATATACAAACTCATATTAAGATCTTCAAACGAGAAAATGGTTATAAACCCTGGCTCATTGACATAAAGCTCGATACATGCCGTCATATGCGAACCAGCTATGATCCTGTAGCTAAAATAATCTTTGGCCTCTTTCAACAATTTAGCAATATTAACCATACTTGTCCCTATGTGGTAAGTTGTCTTCACTTCAATTATTCATTTGATTTACAATAATTGGGAATATATATTTTTTTTCAGGGACCACAGATTCTGCAAGGATTTTACTTGAAGCCCGAACTTCTGGGTCTTCCGTTTCCAGGTGGCCAATATCTGTTGGCCTTAAGGTGGTATTTCGATAAAAAATTGCAGTTTGACACCAACGTAACCTTTTTATTTGTTGAGGATTTTATTGTTCCCAAATGAATACTACAAAATATTACATTATTTTTAAAGGTATTTATTCGAATTGTATCTGTGTATAAAATGTAATATTTAACGGCTATTATAAACACATTTCCAATAAAGTAATTATTGTTCAATCACGCGTTACCTTTAAATGAACTAAATATTTTGGATTCACTGTACCATGGAATGAATAACAAAATAAGAGAAAAATTGCATAATTATACATTTGATTTTCTATTCCGATTAGTGGCTAGTAGATTCACTTTCTTTAACTTATTCAAAGCCCACATTTCCCCCCTTGCCCCCTTGCACATGGCAAAAAAAGTTCTTGGCCCAAAACATCAACAGAGAGCTTAGCTTGTTGCTGGCTGCACATTGGCCTCTGTATGTTTTCCCTCTCTATGCGCACTTTTCCCGCTTTTGCCATTTTCCTGGGGCTTTCGTTTCCCCTGCTTTTGGTTTTATTTTTTCCTTGGCCGTTTTTGTAATTCTTTTTTAGCAACAAGTTGCTTACATTTCGTAAGCCCGCCAGGCCACCTGTGACAGGGACTATAACCCATTTTTTTGGGTTTGGGGTGGAGGGAACGCGGGCAAAGTGGGTGGAATAGTGAGTCAGTGGCTTGCCATTCGGCAACTGGCGAAAACTGTCAATGTAGTCGTCGTCGACGCCTTTGCCCTGCAGATATGCTGGCATATTTATTTATGTCCTCTGCCAGTTCGCTGTTCTCGACTTGATTTCATTTCATCTCAGCCAGCTTTTTTTTTTCTTTTTATTTTCACTTGTTTTTGTTTTTTTGTTTTTTTTTTGGGTCTTTTAATAACAAAGCCATGGCTGTTGTTTTCTCGTCTTCGTTGTATTTTTGTCGTATATTTTGACTGAATTTAGGCTTTGGCAGATGTTTTTCTTCAAGGGTTTCACATTCATTCCCCATAAACGCCAGAATCAACTCTCTCCATCTCAGCCAAAGACATACCTTTAATCTTAAAGATTAGACAATAAAGAAAGGCGTTTTTTTTAGCACCTCTTTCTTAGCTTAGACAACTCATTTGCCATTTTCACTCCAAAAGTTCATTCACTTTTTAGGCCTATCATTTGCGGGTGTGTGAACTTTGTTCTTTGTTTTGATTTTATTCTAAGGGCAAAAGTTTTGTCTAGCATTTAAATTTCGAATGCCTTTAATGCTTTTTATTTTTTTTGTTTTCCTTTCACATATACAACATATACATAAATATCTTTCTGAATGCCATATGCCATTTGATTGTGTATGTTTTAAGCTTTTTATATAATTGAAATCCAGACACGTGCCACTCAATGCGTATGCTGGCAATAAATTCAGTTTCACTTGTAATCTATACGCACATAAACAGATCGTTATATATATTCTATATATATATTTCTGTATGTTGATTCCAGTCCATATGTAAATTCACTTGGCCATTGGGGTTCTTCCTTTGGGGCCAAAAGGGAAAGGACAATGTCCTCACAGTGTGTAGGCGCCTCCTGGCATATGCTACAATCATAATTACATCGTCCTGAGCAGATAGTCCTGTGTGTGTGTGTTTAGCTTTTTCTTCTTGCTTCGGTGTCTTTTAACACTGAGAAAAATTTTATTAAAAATTCATATAAATGTGTTTATGATAGAGTAAAGAGAAACCTCTTTTTCATTTCTTAATAACTCATTAAAAGTTGGCAAGAAAATCAATTTATATTATACAGCTTTAATAATAGTTAATAGTTAATAGTTTTCCTCTAAGTGTATTCTCTTTCAACGCCTCAGTTGCATAACGAAGCGACAAAACTCATTTTAAACAGGCGCCACTCAACGACTGTGGGGCGCCACAGAAATTGCTCCATCGTTCCGCTTCAGACCCCTGGTTGTTCCCAGGTCGCAATACCGGCCAAGTCAACGTGCTGATGATGAGCCCAGTACGATTACCAACAAGTTCATTAAATACAATGCACAGTATGCCCAAGGACGATGACGTGCTGGCTCCAGATATCCTTCGTGGTCCACCGATTAAGGGGGGGTGGTGGTAAACGTATGTCCTCCTTGATAGGAAACTGCTTAGCTGATAGGATGCGGGATAACTGCGGGATGCTTAGCCAAATTGAAATCTTTTTTGAAGGTATAATTATTGGAAACTGACATTCTTCGAAATAATTGAAAGAGTATTTAGGTAACTTAGTTAACAAAACAATAGGGAAACTTTAATGAAATTTTGAGAAGGAAAGCTAGTGACTTGTTTACCAAGAAATGGAATTTCTTCGTATTGGTTTCCTTTATTTGTAAGTCCCAGCACGGGCTATTGATTATTTTATAATGGCTTTAAAGGACTGACTTTGTGCTAATTAAACCGTTTAAGTAAGTTATTATTGGACGTTTAAATATAAGTCAAGTTACCTTTTTATTATGAACTCTTCAGCCACAAAGGAGCTCTTAGGAGAATCCCTAATTTATAATTTTCTTTATTAGATCATCAAAAGTTTCTTGGGGTTCCCAATGGTTACTTGACCAAGTCCAAGAGGAAAATCCAAAAACCGGAAAAGAAAATGTCGAAAATAACCGCTTTAAGTGCGGACAACTTTATGGCTTCACACATCCTGTGACCTAAAAAGCACTCCAAGGAGCAACAATGTTTAGAGGCCGCTTTAATGGGTCAATTAGCTGGTTCCACATATCGCGCTTAAGGCAGAAATTCCCGATTGCGTGACCCAGGAACATCGACATTCTAAGGGGCGAATTTGCCATAAATATGTGTGCCTAATCTAGGTCAAAATAACAAGGATACCGGAAGCCTATTTCGCTGAGACTAATTATTAAAAAAAAAAAAAATAGGCAAGAGCAATAATAAACTCAATTTAGTGGCAAAGTGAAAACTCATTTTGAAATCTTGTTTACCTTGGCTTGACCAGCAGAAAGAAACACCCAGACTATACACACAAATACATAAGCATATACGGTTAATTTATTTATTTTGGGTGCACGCTTTTATTTGCATAAGCTTAAAGGATTTCGTATTGCGAGCTTAGATTTACCTTAGTCTGCAGTTGTTTTATTACCCATCGCATGGCAACCCAATGGCCCCCAAAAGTTTAACCCTGAAAGTGAGAGTGCCCCCCCAAAAAGCTTGAAAGCTTCTTTAGAAGGAACTTAATGTCCCGCAAGCTTGCCTTAAAGAAATGTACTAAAATTTAGTCAGAAAAAGTCTACAAAAGCTTTTTAGTATTTTTAGTTTTAGATTTAGTATTTAGTATTTCCTTGTGGTGAATTGAAAAATTGAAAAATATTTAAATTAAACACCTGAGACCACAACCGTTGCACCACAGGGTAGGACTTTCTTTGCCTTGGCGACAGTCTGTCTAGACAAGAATTCTAGAGTTTTGAACACCTGACAAATTTCTTCTACTTTCAGGTAGGCGGGCAATTTTCAATGGAATTTCATTTGTTCTAGCCAGAAGCGTTTGCCCTAATGATCTTTTAACAGGCCCAAAGAACCTGAGGGAATTTCCCAGCCTTGATGCAGGCAGTGCAACGCATTCATTCATGAGACCAATTCAAGAAAAGAAAGATTCCACTTTAAACTGAAGAGGTTCTGCACTTGAGGCTGTATTCATTCATGAAGTGTCTGCCACGCGGGATATCGAAACAGCAAGGAATTTGTGAAATCAGCGGGTGATTTGTTAGTTGGCAAGACATCTGGTCAAGAAGAGCACGAAAAGTGGTACATACAGGGAAGAGGTGTATGCAAATTTGTTTACAGAAACTATTTTGGGAAAACGTTGGTAGATTTTAGCATTTTTTTTTAAATTAAAACTTGTACTTCTCCCTTTTCAATATTGTAGTTTTCTTTCAAGACGTCTGAAAAGTGTTTTATACCTCATCTTACTACCAATTAATTTTGTTCCCATGCAATTTCCTCTAATACACTCCCAATATCCACTCGACTAGTTTTAAATGCTATCTCTGATTTACTAAAAATCAATTCAATTTTCCTATGATAAAAATCAAAAGAGCCCACGCAACAGATTTTGGCACAACAATTTTCGCTACGCTCCTTGAATGAATTTGCGAAAAATAGAAGAAGATCCTGAAAGGAGTCAAGGAGTCCTACCTGCTGATGCAGCACTTGAAACTCAAGAGCCGAGCTCTTCAGCTCAAGTGGAAAGAGGCGCACACTTGAGCAAAGAACACCGAATGGACTCCAGTAGATAACGATCGTATCCTAAGATCAGGTAGAGTGAAGTTCCAACATTATATTTTTTCGGGAATTGCAAAGGGAATGGAATACAGAAATTCCGTTTAAAACCGCCGACTGGGCTATTTTGCCCATTGGCATTCCGATTTCCATTTTCGGACCGAAGCAGACCCAGAGGGGCGTAGGTGCAATTGCGTTTATTAGCACCGCACCCCTTGGGATCGGACAAAGGGATGAGTTAGTCCTCGTTTCGGTTCCAAGTTAGAGGGCCCATTGAGAAATTGTTAGCCGTTCTGAATGAGTCGGCTTTGGGCAGGTTTTTTGTTGCGCTTGATTCGTTTTGGGTTTGTCACTCATCTCGTTTTTTTTTACACAAATCGCTGCTATATCTAAGATGATAAGCATCAGTTGGCATTATTAATTTGTGCAATTTGAAGTGTCGTGGGAAATGCTTAAAAAACTCTCCCCACTCCTCTGTAAAATGCATTCTTGATTAATTGAAGTTTTTAATGAGTCGGCAAAAATAATTTGGTGTCATCATTTTGCGGTTCAATTTTGGTGGCAGACCACACATTTCGCCTAGGGACATCTTTTTTTTGCCTTGCGGAACCAATTTATTAAAAGGATCTCTTTAATGTTGCGGTAATGTCTTGAAGTATTCAAGCATAAAGAAAATATCTAACATTACTTCAGGTATTTTTGTACTTATCGCAAAGTTCTAAACAAGAAATTTCACTTTTTATAAACTAATATGTTATTTTCCACAAAATACAGACAAATATTTTTCAAATTCTCAACAAAATCCCAAGGAACCTACCCTTCCATAATACATATCTTCTTATCCTAACAACCATCATATAGGGCTGCTACTCACTAAGCTCCTCTAACAATCATCCTATGACAGATTTGCAAACGAGATTTCACCAGAAAACATTTCCTATCCCATAATTTGTCAGGCCTGTCGACTTATCGGCCATCCGAGCAACTCAATTTTTGCACATTTTATGCCAAAAAAAAAAACGGAATGAAGCCGTTGAGATGTGTGAAAAATTAAATCTGACAAATTTCCGGTTCGGTATTTACTGATTTCTCTATGAATGTACAAATTCTGTAGCTTATTTTCTGGTTGAAAGGATTAAGAACAGGAATCGAACTAATGAAAAATATTTAACAATTTCTTTAAGCTCTTGGGCATCAGTAAAATTATGGGCAGCAATATCCATGTCCCGCATGGTCGTAGTTTCCCTCCTTATCCATATATGTATATATATCCTAGAACATATATTAGGGCAGATTCATTAGCTCCTTTGAACCTCCTTTGAATCCCAAAACGTCGCCTATTCGGGTGCCAAGTTGAGGTTGAATTTTTCCATCTCCTGGCGAGTTCTTTTCACCAGCATGTCAATAACACTTGAATAGATCTCCGAGGGCACGGTATTCTTCGCTTCCTCAATCTCGTTAACTTTCCTGTCTCTGTAATATTTTAGCAGGTCTAAACAGAATTTGATAGATTCATCAGTGTGCAGCGTCACAGGCGGTAAACGCTTAAGTTCCTTGAACAAGTCAGCAAGACGATTGGTGGCCAGCATATAAAGCAGGTTTAGACCAATAAACTTGGACATATGCTTCGAAGATTCCAAGTAGCAATAATCAAAGTAATAAATATTCAAGTGGGCCATGTAACGCTCAAAAGCAGCATAGTCCTTGATGGTAATACTTCGCTCTACATTGGTTTCAAGCTTCTCTCGGAATTTAATTAGATGTTTCAGTAAATTTGTTGAATTGTTCGGCTCTTTCTCTCCTTCAAATTTGCAATTCGTTAGCTCCATTCTCAAACCATGCAGCATTTTGGAGCACTGGGCAGTATTTGGGGCAGGTTTCTTAAGCTCGTTAAGCACAGCGGTATAGCGATTTGACATGATGTTAAATCCAAGTTAAATTTACGGCAATCTCTAACTTTTTAGAGAAATTTGATTCGTTTTAAATGACAAAGTAATTTCTGACAGATATAGTGTCAGTCTGTTATTACAAAAATAGTCAATGGTTGCCACATCGGTTGTGCACTTATTTGGTATATTTCAGTTTTTTAAAGAGCTTATCGATAAATTGGAATGGGCCGTAAAAACATTTAAATAACTCATTAAAAAGTGAAAAAGATCCTCATAGAGAAATAAAAACGTTAACTAAAATCATCATTATCAGAAAATGCCTAACATAATATTTTAAAATTTTACTTTAAATAGCAGAATCCAATTATTTGGGTTGTTACATTTTTTTTGGCAATTTTATCGAAGAAATTGAGATCTTAAGCCGAAACAAATTGATAATTCATTTTGATATTTCATCGATTCTTTATAAATATACCACAAAACAGTATTTTTCATTTCGATTACAATTTATTTACTTTAACATACTTATGTTTATCAACAGACTTAAAATAACTGTACAATTTGTGTTATTATATCGTAGATCATTCTACGCTTCTACTTTCAATTCGTGAACATTAATTTGGCCAGATACTGGAGAAGGCTGAGGACTTCCATTGGAGTTGGTGGACAGATTAAATGTGGGACTTTCGGAGCCGCCCTTCTTCTGCTTGACACGTCGATTTTGGAACCAGATCTTCACCTGCTTCTCGGAGAGACGCAATCTATTGGCGATTTCGATGCGACGAAGGCGAGACAAGTAGGCATTGTGCGAGAATTCCCGCTCGAGCTCCAGCAATTGAGTGCTGGTGAAGGCAGTGCGAATCCTTTTGCTGGAGTCGGCATAATCGTTGATCAAAGGTGTGATTTCTGCAGGAGCTCCCGAAGATGGAACCTTAAGAGGTGAGCTGTTGGGCGAACAGGATGACTCGTGCTTGAACCGCTTTCCCTGGGGTTCATCAAAGTTATTAGTGTAATCCAAAGAGGCCGACGATGAGGCAGATGGTGAAGTGCAGAAGCTTCCAGGTTCGGGTAAAGGTAGTCCACCTACAACAGGAGTTCCATAGAGATTGTGCAGCGGCAATTGTTGGGAGTTAGGATTGGCCGACAGCGGTGGCGAAGGATAGCATCCATCGTAGTTACTGAATCCGTTGGATTTCCTTTTCGTAGCAAACAGCTGAGCATATGGATGATATAGGGAAGCAGGACTGGAGCTGACATGAGGATGTTGTTGCAATGCAGCTGCTGCTGCGGCTGCTGCTGCAGCTGCCTGTTGTTGCTGCTGTTGCTGTTGCTGCTGGATGCCCAGAGAGAAGAGATAGCTGCCCACATAGCTTGCGGGATAAGGCAACATCGGTAGCGAAGGTAACATGGCAGCTGCGGCCACTGCAGCGGCGGCCGATGGACTTCCTCCTGGTGATCCCAGTTTTTCCTTCTTCTGGCTCAAGTTGGGCTTATCGCTAAGCAGGGAATCCATCAAAAAAGAACGTGACATTTTTGGTTTTCTAAATGACTTCGAGATGAGCTGACTGAACACGATCGCTGACTGTGCGAGACTGTCTGGCTGCTGAGATTTCACCCTGGTCTTATATACCTCAAGAGCCTGTTCTGGGGGTTGGTTTTCCATGTACCCTCACCCCTGAGGGCCAATTCGAGGGTTGTTCGGCCATTTAGTCACCATTTAGCGGCAACTGTTGCCATTTACGCTCCGCCCTTGTTCGATCACTCACAATGCCGCAAATGGCAGGTAAACGATGCCTCACTGTATCTGTGTGAAAGGACAATGGCGAAACCCTCTGTGGCACGTTGCTTGTGTCAGTGGGCTTGGTTGTGTGCGGGCATAAGTCCTTGTGGAACGAATCTTTCTTTCCAATTCGTATTATCACTCGAGTTTAATTGAAAGTTGAAGAGAGTGCGTAAAAGCTTTTTAAACGAAACTGAATTAGTTCAGCCTAAGGTAGATCAAATTACTTGGTTTCATTTGGTAGTAATTAAGTTTAAGAGTATAAGTAATTTGAGACAGACAGGTAAATTCTATAGTAGATCCGGGTTGAGAGGAATTTTCAGTAGAAAGTTTTTTAAAGTTTTTAGAAAACAAGTTTATAAACCTATTTTGGTTCATGTACGAGAAACTTTCTAATTTGCTTGAGTAAAGTATTTTAGGTTAGGAAACAAATATTTATATATTTATATATAGGAATCAAGTATTAGTAGTGTTACTTGTATAGTACCTAAATAATACTTATAATACAATAAACTTTGTAAATATAAACTTATAGTTTCAGATCATACCTTTTTGGTAGCTAAAATATTTTGAATAAAACTATAAATCTTAAGTGCGTGGGTCAGAATCTTGTTCCTAAATACAGCTTCTAAATTATGATAAATATATATATTATATATCATAATATATAAACTATTTTAATTAAAAATGATTTTCATTTGAATTTTATTTCATTTAAATTTTGTAGTATTTGTAATAATCAGAGATTTCTCACTTTTATTCTACAGTAGCCGCAGTGATCTTCATCCGTTAAATCCTCTGCTGAATAGCCAACGACATTTATACCAAAATCTTGTTTGTAATTTATTGCATGAAAAGGATACCTCTTCAGTGACCCTCCACAATCGAATCGATTAATTTTACAAGCATTGAAAAATGCAAGCCCTCCAGCCGTTTAATGTCAATTTCATGGCAACTTATGACCCAAAGTGGTCGCTGCCGAAATCTTGAGTTTTTCACCAATTCCTCCTCCCTATCACGAATCCCTCCAATACATTGAGGAATATCTCTCGCCTTCGAGTCCTCGCCTTGGCGTAATTTTATTGATGTATTCTTCTGCTTGTGCAACTAACAAGGAACAATGCCAGGCAAGGATCATCCATTCAGGACGATACCATTCCATTCATGGTTGCAGTTCTTTTTGGTTCTTTGACAAATCCCAGACACGACGCACGTTGCGCCTTTGTTTGTGTGTATTTTTGGGCCAGGTCAGAGAACATTCTAAGCCACAGAGACAGAACGTCGCCGAAAATGTTGTTTTTGGGCTACATTACACAGAATTATGGCGGCAGTTTTATCATTTGTTAACTGACTTTAAGGATTTACCTATAATTGTCCTTTTCATGGCATTGTACAGAGGTGCGGCATTGTCGTCCTTCTGCCAGTTGATCGTATGTTAAGTGGCTATAAAACGGATCACAATTACTGACGTTAATTGTTAATTTTGAATCGACATTGACTTCGTAGGCGATCCGAAATGTTCGCCTGCTTTTTTGGCTTCTGCTTAATTGGCGGGCTGTGCAAAAAAAAAGAAAAAAAGAAGGGAATAAAAGGAGCAGGACCCTGGTCAATATCAGGAATCTAGTAGCATCTGCTGTTGTGTTAATATTTTTGCTAGAATTTCGAGACTTTGGGCGTTGCGTTGGTCTCGTGCGAGAGATTCTTTTGACCGCCTTTTTAACAATTGTCTTGACCCACTTGAGATTTTCTCTATTGACCACTTCCGTTTTTTGTCTGCGATTATTTCACGCTCGATTGAGTCGGGTTTCCCTTCTTTTTTTCTTCTACCGAATTGGATCGTGCTATTGACTTAGACTTTGTCTTTGGCTTATACAATAAAAGAAATCTTACGGATTTGGAAATATGGAAATTTCTGTGCTATCTCAAAGATAAGCATCAGTTGCATTCAAGCGAACAATTTCATTTTAATTGTGAACAAAAGTCGCCTAAACGCTGAACAAATAAAAGCATATCGAAATGTTCACTTCCCCTTAATTTCTGATATGGATACAACGCAAAACTAACTGAGCTGGGGGAGAAAACTTCAAAACTGGATTTAATTCATTAAAGGGGTGTTTTGAAAAAAAAAAGAAAAAAGAAAACAACCACCATCATGGAAACCCTTATAACTGGGCATTGGGTTAATCATTTATTGACATTAATTGGTTGTGACATTTGCATTTTGACTGATTGTTGTAGTTGCCATTGTTGCTACTTAGCCAAGGGTTTGTTTATCCAATCTCTCATTTGTATTTTTGTATATTTGTTTATTTAACAAATATGACTTCATTATATATCCCAAGCAGTTTTATATATTCTCATGCATGTGGCTCGGACAAATTATTATTTACCCCTGAATAATTTACGAATGAGCTTTGAGGTTGAGCTTGGGGCTTCTTTGCGTGTTACTGAGTCAAGAGGCCTCAGGGATTGCCAAGGGGAAACTTGATATGGATATGGGTATGGTGTTGTTTAATATCGGCAAATTGTTTATTAGAATATGCATTGTTTGATGAGAGAATAATATCTCATTTGGAAGATAAACTTAGATCTTGTGGCTTATAAAGTTTAGTTACTGGAAAAGTAATATGCCACCTATAAGCTATAGAATATAACCTTTTTTTGATAGTTATTCTTAACTATTCTCCAACTATAGAAAACAAATATCAAAGTATCGCACCGCCAAAATGTCAAAAAATATACGAGTAAAAAACCAAAACAAAGGGAAACTTTTTCATTCTACTTTTCGAGTATTATTTTCATGAATGAAAAGTCAGTGGCTGGACAATGGACAAAGGACACTAGACAAAGGACCCACACACGATCTGCACTTGCAGTGATCTGCAGTTTACTCTCGTACCTTTGTCCAAGAAAATAGAAGTCTTGGCAAGGTAAAAATTCAGGTAAGGCGAAATTCCTTTCTGCTCACTCTTAAAAAAAGAGAAGGACCAGGCCCGCCGTTTAAATGGAGGTTTATAGATTTTTTTTTTTTTTTTTCGTTTGTAACTGTGGTCAAGGACGCTGGACCAGGCTATTAATCAGGTCCCATTTTTATTGTGGTCAATGTTGTGGCTAGTTTGAAGGGCTTGTTTTGGGTTGGCCATTGTAAGTGAAGGAGTATGAGGATGAGAATCTCTAGTGGAAAATGGTAACATAGCCACCCCAAAACAAATCAACCAACGAGAAAAAAAAACACTTAAACACTTAACGTCTAATCAAATTATATAATAAATAGCAAACAAAACGAAACCAGAAACGCTTAGCACCCTTAAGACCACCACATACCCCCGGCTGTCAACGAGCCAAAGCCAGTTAGTTAATAAAAACAGCATTTGCAATCATAAAACGCTTCACTGCTCGATCCTCCCCTCTTCCCCTAGCACGCGTTGGGCTAGGTCACCATCAGAGCCAAAAACCATGGAAACAAGCTAGGATTCTGGTAACGGAACAACCCTCGATTTTCGTCCGATGGCCGAGGGTTATATCAAATGCATAATGAAACAGATTTTGATACGGCCTCAGAGACATCTCTTCCGGGCTTATTCATTTGATTTGCAGCCGCTCGCTGAAGATACAGATACATTTGTAACTTTGTGGTTGTCAGCGATCCTTTTGATTATCCACAGATTCAAGATGGCTGCCTAAGGCAAGTTGACTGTGATTAATAGATTTGCCAGACTGGGTTTTCTTTTAAAAAATGCAACTATTTATAGAAGAACTGAGTAATAACAAATATTTTACTACTAATATTAAGTAGACTAGGGAGTAGTACTAAAAATTAACCTACTTATGTTAAAATAGGTAGTAAAACATATATTATCCCAAAAGCTAAAACAATTTCAATTTCGAATAAGCGTTCCAGAAATGCAGCCTTCACTTTCGCGTATCATTTTCGTTTTTCAGAAATTACCTGATAATCTCTTTTTCCTGAGTAACCTCAACTTGAGAATATAGTTAATATTTGTGTTATACATTTAAAATAATTCTTGAAATAGTTTCCCTAGTTGGTCTCTATTAAAAAAATGTTAATTATTATACCCAAAATTACTTTCTGTAAATAATTTATCGCTTAAGGGGTCAAATATACATGACAATTATACATAGCAACGACATTAATAATATATTTTTTAAATGCATTTAATGCATTGACATCCTTTAATTATTTAAAACTAATCCACAAAGAAAAAATTGGCTTTTCTACGCATGTTTCCTCCCTTAACATTGGGAAAAACCAGTATTTTACGTCCATGTAAAATATGTGTAAAATACTCTAGACGCTGACATGAGAGCTACATTTTCTTGAAATAGTGGCGCCACTGTATGTAGATGTATGTAGATGTAGAAATAGAAGCTATTTTTTAGTTTTAATTTCTTCATAAATATTTCTATAAGTCGGACCATTGTTTAATGTATAAACATTAAATTTAAATGATTACTAAATAGACTTAAATTTTTTTAATTTAAATTTATATTTATAATATTTAGAAGTTAAAAAAAAACTAATTTGAAAAATAAGTTAATAATGTAAAATTAGTAGAACCTTTTATATACCACATTTGTAAAAAACACCACCCACTAAAGATACAACTTTAACCTTTGCCACTTCTATTGCCTTATCTTCCCACACAATTTAGTCCAACTTCTTGCTTCATTGCATTTAGGCCTGGTAGTGTCAGCTTTGCGTCTGCAACTCCACGGGTTGTCCTTCTCCGTCTTTTTCGCCGCAATCACATTAACGTTAACAGACTACGTCAGCCACCTACCTTCATCTGCAGCTTTCGCATTATGCGGGTCTCCTCCCAGCGGTCCAGTTCGTCCCACTCCTTGCCACGCTTACGCAGAAGGTAATAGCGGTACATGACGATTGTCACGGCCAGGATCAGGGCCAAGCCTGTTCCGGCTGCGGCTCCGAGAACCGCTGAACTAACCATAACCATCTTGCCGGTAAGTTTAAGTCACTGGAAATAAATATTGGATATGAATTAATTAAGAAGAGAGAAATTAGATAAATGATCCTAATATGTGTTTCGTTTTAAGTATCATGTAAACTTAGTTTAAAGAACTTTCATTTCAACTGCAGGTCATTCGCTTTTGGGGTGAGATATAAATGTTTCTTAACAAAAGTAAAATTTATTTATAGAATTTATAAAAGTAGATTCACGGCTGTTTAAGTTAACTTTGAATAAAAAAATATGTAAAAGTAGAAAAATATTTTTAACTATCTGAAAAGGCCATCACAAGCCCTTAAAAACATTAAAAAGAAATATTTTTAGATTAAATAAATTATTTGATATACAAATTTTTATTTAGTTAAATTAAATCACATATAATATTATTTTTAAATTGCAAATTTAAAAGTCTTTCTCTTTGGATATTTATTATTTCTCTGCCGGCAGCTATAGTTTTCCACACTCTCCGCACTTTCACACGAAGCAATGAGTTCGTCATCATTCTCATTTTCAAAGCTCTCGTTCTCCAGATCAAAACGATCTTCTCGGTTGCGGGATTTTCCAGATGATTCAGCACTACTAAATAAAGTAAACCATAAAACTATAATTGTTAAAAAACCAAAAGTTAAACGCATTTTGAAAGCTCAAAATAAAACTACTCAAATGCGTGGTTCGTGGCTAACTGTTTTAAGGTTTTAAGTTAAAAAAAAAACAAACTCATTTTCAAGTAGACCAGTTCTAACGCTTTTGACTTTTGTCTAGAGTTTAGAGTCACAGCTGTGTCAACTTAACTGCCATTGGAATTTCCCCATCTATTGAAATGAACTCATATTGTGGTTAAGAACACGTCATTTTATGATATGTTATGTCTAAGAGTATATATAGCTATAGACTAAAAATCGTTCATAAAGTTTGTATGAAGCATATAACCATTTCTGAGGATGGCAAATCTTGGATAGGGCTTAAAGTCCGGTTCATGTTCGGGATATCTGAGAAATTGCTTAGGTATGGTCTCAGTTGGTCTGTCCACAGTGGCTTCATCTTCGTCCTCGTCATCCTCTTCTACTACAAAGAACTCTCCATTTTCATCAGTTTGAATAATTGGTTCCTTGGTTTCCTCTCCAGTTGGTTCTTGGTTTTCCTCTCCAGTTGGTTCTTTGGTTTCCTCTCCAGTTGGTTCTTTGGTTTCCTCCAATGTTGGGTCCTTGGTTTCATCCAAAGTTGGGTCCTTGGTTTCCTCTCCAGTTGGGTCTTTGCTTAAATATGTTTCCCGAGTGGTTGGATTTGTGGAATAATATGTTTCATTGGCCAATTTTTCTAGTAAAAGTAAATCCTTCATCATTTTATCTATTTCTGTTTTATTAAACAATTTATGCTCTTTCGTGTGGCTTTTTTCTTTTAAAGGCTTCGTTGAGATCAAGGCTATGCCCAAGCAGCTGATCAGACTTAAAACACACAGTGTACGCATTTCTTCAACGTTCCAAACAATACTGGTTAGAACGACATTAGAAACAACTGTTTTAAACGTGTTTTTTGTCTGTTTTGAAAATGTTGTTTATTTATGTAGGAAAAGAGGAGAAGAATCAAAAGAAAACAAACATAAAATAAAAATAAAAAGAGTTATGAAAGAAGAATTAAAAACAGGACAAAGTTTTAAAAGGAAAAAATTTGCAAACAAAACAAGAAAAATAAAGTAAAAATATTGGATTTTAAAATTTTTTTATTAAGAGAAATTGAAGAAGAAAGAAAGGAAAGATGGAAGTTCTTTGACCTATTCAAAGTCAGGGTGGTGCCTGATCACAACGGGTCCATGACCTCCGAACCTGGGCCAGAAGCGGATGTGCTTCTCGACAGCAGCAGCGGTGGTAGACTCTTCCTTAGCGACATCATCACTGGACTCTCCAGCAGATTCTACAGCATCAGCAACTTCGGTAGTGGTCTCGTTGTCATCAGCGGTAGATTCCACGACATCAGATAGGGTCTCCTCCTCAACAGCTGGATGGGCAGCAACAAAGCCAATAGCCAAAAAGGCCAAAAGAGTGACAACAATTAGGGAACGCATTTTTGAACTTGTATCTAAGAAGTTATTACGAAAACTGCTTTCCAATCTCAAACAGTCGCCAGCTTTTTATAGGAAAAGTCAAGCGAATTTTTTTTTTGCCGATTCGTTGATTCTACCCCAAAAATCTTTATTTACGTTTTTTTTTTTTTTTCTTTTTTTGTATTTGAACAATTGTCTCAGTGGAAAGTTTTACAAGCGGATATATTTTGTGTTTTTTATTTTAGACGATTCTGGGAGAATTTCATTAGGTTGTTGTGGGTGCTGGTGTGTTTATAATCACAGGACCAATTCCTCCCCATTTCGGCCAATGGGGAAATCCATGCTCACTGCTACTGCTTGAAGATGGAAAAGCTGACACAATGGATAAGACCATTGCAGCCACTAGAGCAAAAATTACTAAAAAACGCATCTTAATCCTCTTAAAACTCTTCTCAGACTGCATCTATTTGCTATAAAGTTCGCTTTTTATATAAAAAGCTAAGCATTTTTGTTTATACAGAAAACTTTCCAAGCTGTGCAATCTGTAAATGTCATATTCAGAAATAAATATTGCAGTTTCATCTGCAAACATCTCTCGACTCATGACATTGTAACTGAGCGGTTACTAAGGAGTTATATATATAGGTGATGATGGGATATATAAGCAGCAGCTTGATGTATAAATAGATTTTTACTGAGAAACTTTAAAAAAAAACTGCCATGGAAATTGGTAATGAAAATCTGCAGCACGTACTTGTTAAGTTATACAGCTTCTATTGTAGAATTACTTAAAAAATGTTTTTGCTCGGAAGCAGCTGAATTTTGTATTCAAAAAAAAAACTGTTCGAGGCTTTTGAATTATAATAAAATATGAATAAATATCACACACTATGGTTAGGCCCCTTGATTAAGACTGAATCTGGGAAATTCAGAAATGTGCAGCATACTTTGGAGCGTTAACTTAAAAGGCTTTAGAATTAAGCTTGGACATGTTGAGGGTAGGTCTAGTTAAGTTGAAAAAGAATACAAATTTTAAACTTACTTTCCTCATAAATATTAAAAAAAATGTTTATGCTCGAAAAGAAAGAAAAACACGAAAAATATGAATAAATATCACACACTGTTGTAATATTTAGTTTGTCAAAAAAGTTTTGCGGTATTTTCGTTAGTTGGCGCTGAAAGCGCGAGTTCTTGTTCTTATTCGTCGCATCAGGTCATACTATAACTTTTTTGGAAAGCCCATTTCACGCGCTAACACGTGTTTGAGTGATTGTCTTTTCTTTTAAGTCGTTCATGAGTTATAGCGTCGCAATCATGGAGCAAAATAAAGAGAAAATACGGCATATTTTACAGTACTACTACGATAAAGGCAAAAATGCATCTCAAGCCGCCAATAAAATTTGTGCAGTTTATGGACCCGATACAGTTTCCATTTCCACCGCACAACGATGGTATCAACGTTTTCGTTCTGGTGTAGAGGTCGAAGATGCGCCATGCTCCAAGTTTTTTGCCAATAGGGAAGCGAGCTTCCATGAGAGGGGCATTATGAAGTTGGTCATCGAACAAAACAGCGCATATTTGACTTGAATCGCCTTATTGTAACCAATTTTATACCGCAAGACTTTTTTGACAACCCAATATATACACACTACCAATATATTGGTAGGCCCCTAGATGAAGCTTGAATCTGAGAAATTAAAAAATGTGCAGCATACTTTGAAGCGTTCTCTTAAATGGCTTTAAAATTAAACTTGGACAGGTTAAGGGTAGTCTAGTTAAGTTGAAAAAGAATACAAATTTTAAGCTTACTTTCCTCATGGAGAACTTTTTACTAAAAAAGTTTACTTAAATCTGACAATGAAGATTTGTCAAGGTTTTTTTTGTGATGGCACTGCTAAACTTTTTTGGGTAACAATAAGAGGGTAGAAGTTGTCTTGACAAAAGGAAAATATTATCTTTCTAAAAGCTAACTTTTAAATTCTTATTATTCTTCACATATAAAGAAAGCTCTGCTTTTCAATTAGTTAAAATATTTAAATATTTAATTTATTACCATTTTATTTTTATGAAACATATTTTTTAACATTAACTATGAAAGAGGCTGAAGCTTAGGCATCGATGAAAAGAGGCCTGGCTTGGATAACTGGCTTAAAGCCAAATGGAGGGGTCTGTTTCTTGGGTGGAGCATTCTCTTCCTGTTCGTCTGATGACTGGTTATTATCTTCGTTATCATCTCCATTTGATTCTGAGTTGGATTCTTCTCCATTGCTGTCCTGATTATCCTCATCGTTGGATTGTTCCTGATTTGCTTGATTTTCTTCATCAGCAGTTCCCTCTTCGGCATTATCTTCTTGGTTTTCCTGATTGCCAGACTCTTCCTGGTTTTCCTGATTACCAGACTCTTCCTGGTTTTCCTGATTACCAGACTCTTCCTGGCTTTCCTGATTACCAGAATCCTGATTATCAACATCTAATGGTGCTTCATCAGCCACATCACTGCTTCCTTCAGCATTGTTGTTGGACGATTCATCATTGGTATTTTCCTGGACAGCGGAAGAGTCTTCATCCTCAGCTGGACGGGCAGCCACAAGGCCAACAGCCAAAAAGGCAAACAGAGCTACGACAATAAAGAAACGCATTTTTGATGTTGTAGGCTCTCGTTGATGTTCTAAAACTGATATTAATTTTCACCCATCCATTGGTTTTTATACCCAAGCTCTGTTCAATTTTAGGCAGATTCGTTTGTTTTCATTTACGAATTTTATATTTGAACAATTGCTTATCGTATTATTTTGTTGTGACGCACTTTTTTCTTATGAAAACAAAGTATTCTAAGAATTATCTATCTTGTGTTTTCACCACAGTTGGGCGTTATGAATCATCAAAATATTATTGTTTTAAAAATTTAACAAAGCAAATACAAATGCATAAACATAAATAGCTTTTAACTTAGACTGTAAAATGTTCTTCAAATTTGTTTATGCTAGAAAGGTCAAAGGTATTTTTTTAATTTTACATTTTAATATTTTTTAATTTTGTCATTACTAATATGACATGCAGCTTCATTGTCAACGACAAGCCTAATATAACTTTTTTTTCAAAATACACGCTTTGCAAATATTTAATAAAATTTCAAAGAAGACACATTTTGTGTTTGATAAATATTAAATGCAAAATTAAACAGCTTGCAAAAATTACAATGCACTTTTTTCCTATATAAGGCAGAAACTTTTGAAAATTTAAAAAAATATATAAAAAAATAAAATCCAGTAAAGATGAACTACTTAATTTCACTCTTCCTAACCGCTGTTTTGGCCATATTCTTGTTGGCAGAGAATGCGTTTGGAATGCCAAGAGGAGAAGTCATTGTGATCGTCAACCCTCTAAATCTTACAAATCCTGGACCAAATTGTAATGATTATAATTATTGAATGAAGCTATTTTTCAATTCTTAAAACGTATTTCATAAAAACATAATCAGCAATTCTGTTTAAATGAACGTTTTTCTTTTTAATTCGGGATACAACATTTTTGCTGGAATTTTGTTTCTATGATAAGAAGCGCATTTATTGCCAGTTTTTAGTTTACATTTTTTCTGAACGAAAACGGATGACTATAAATAATGATAAAAATGAATCAAATTATCCCAAATTTCCCACAAAACTGCATTCGCAGCTAAAAATGTACAATTTTGACCCATTTTCGAAAAAAAAGAGATGATTATCAAAAGTGTGATATTTGGTTTCTCCTCATTTACCCCCAAAATGTAAAATTATTATTACCATAACTAAGCCGATAATGATCCAAATATAGGAAGTCATACCTCGCTGAGTTCGTCATTGGATTTCCTACAGAACTGTATCCCCACCTAAAAATGTACAATTTTTGCTATTTTTCGTAAATTTTGATGATGTTACCCCTTATCGAAAATGCGATTTTTGGTTTCTCCATAAATTCCCCCCAGAACGACTGTATTTTCCTCATAACTAAGCCATTAATGGTCCAAATACAAAATGTGATACCTCGTTGAGTTCGTAAATTTCCTACAAAACTGCATTCCCACCTAAAAATGTAAGATTTAAAGCAACTTTTTGAAAAAAAAGATGATGTTACCCCTTATTAAAAATGAGAAATTGGTTTTCTCGCTATTTTCCCTTTAATATGAAGTTATTATTTCTGTAACTAAGCCATTAATGATCCAAATATGGAAAAACATACCTCGCTGAGTTCGTAATTAAATTTCCTACAAAACTAGATCCCCACCTAAAAATGTAAAATTTGAGCCATTTTTCGCAAATTTTGATGATGTTATCCCTTATCGAAAATGCAAAATTTTGCCAAAAATATAATTTCTCAAAATCAGAAAACCAATGATGAGGGTCGCCAGTTCTGATCGATAGCTTCACAAAACAGTCATTCTTTTAGCTCTACACCTTCTTTTGACCAAGTTAGGGGTATAAACCCTATCAAATTTTGGTCATTTTCTGACAAAGTTCATAATCCTTATTTTTGATTCAAAATCATCAGAATTCTTCCCATAACAAAGCCAATAATAATCCGATTAGGGAATGTCATGCATCACTGAGCTCGTAATTCAAATTCCATTCGAACTGCAGTTATAAAGTTTATATACATATATATATATGAATTATCTTCATTAAGAATCTATAGGTTAAAAACTTATGACTAAATATTCTTAATAATTACTAACTAATTATTCACCGGTTAAAAATAATGAGTTTGCTAGCCCTACATAAATACTTACTAGTATGGGGTAGCACATGGAAGACTTGCGTTTTAAAAATATCAATAATTCCCACTTTTTTTCTAGTGTAAACTTAACAATTTCGTAAACCGCAAACCTTCTACTAAATATCTGAAACATTGACAATGACATTCGATTTGTCAAAGTCAAAATTATCGTTAGTTCAAAAAGCAAACGCTACATGGGCCACCCTGTATTTAAAATATATAAATATTCCCATAAATATTTCCATACGTCATTTATTTTATAAGTTTTAAAACCAATAACAAAAAATCCCACATAAACAAAGATATTTTTTGTTTACGTAAATTCATGTTCAGCATAAGCAGCCGCGTCAATATTGATTTAGTTTTTATAGTTTATTATTATTTAAATCCAAATTTGTATTTATTTATTTATTTTTTTTTTGTTAAGCATTTTTTTTTTGTCAAATTGAGACCAGAAATTAGGATGCAGTTGTTGTGGTGAAACAGTCTGGATTTTGTTGGTTGACAATGACAATAACCTCTCCATGCGGATCAGGAACTGGGTTGGCACTCACAAAGGCCAGGGCCGAAAGAGCTATCAGGACGAGAATCATCAAGTAGAAGTGCATCTTTATTGGGTTTTGTAATATTTTATATAAAGGTCTTTCTCCCAAGGCAGTGGCTTTTATAAGCAAATTTTGTTTGTTTTCAAATTTTCTATAACGAACTGCGCAGTGGCTGCACTTTACTTATTAAGCTAATATTTACTCGTTTATTATACTAGATAAATATTTAAACGAAGCAACTTTTTATTAAAAGGTCTTCTAAATATACTCTAGGAAGGGAAAATACTGCTTACTATTCCTCAAATATTTATTTAAATATAAATAAAATATAAAGAAAAGTTTGATCTTTCAGAAATGGAGGCCACATCTTTACAATTTTTCTGCAACAAGCAATATTTTTTTATTTTCTACACAAAAACATCTCATTTAAAAATATTATAAAACAAACACCAATTAAGTTCATGGTTATTTCCAGAATTTTATATATTTGTTAAAAAAAAATATAAAAACATTTGCTTTTTAGAGGGGGGTATCTCCGTTGAAGTCTATTTCAAAGTGTTAACAGCTGTTCAAATATCTAAAGGGCGGGGTAAAAACGTGTATATTAAATCAACAAATGAAAGTGTAAATTCCCATCAGATCTATACATCTTCCTGGTCTTTTGCCTCGCTCTTGTCACTTTCTTCTTCATCATCGTCCTGCGAATCATCCTGAGAATCCTTATCCAGGGACTTGGAATCATCTAGCTCGTCCTGGGACTCGGGTCCATTTGTATCCTCATCATCTTCCTCATCCTCATCTTCTAGGTTATCTTTTCCATCGGCAATCCTTTTATCCTCCTCAGAGTCCTCCAGGTCATCAATATCGACCTCATTGGCAGAAACTGTGGCCAAAACCACAAAACCAAAGAGTACAAGCAGCCAACAAGCACGCATTTTATATTCTCTAATTTAGTTTTTAACTAAGTTGAAGTTCACTCATAATTCAAGCTTTTATAGCAAAACGCTGATTGGCAGAAAACAAAATAAAAGCTTGCCATGGGTGACAAATTTTATGGCTCATTTTATATTTACCCAACGACAGCTGTTGCCTTGGTTTAAGGCCAACCAAAAAAACTAGGCGAAGTCGTGCGTAAACATTGGTCTGACGGAACTTAGAGATCAAAATACAGTAAGACTTAGCTAGTTTAGTTATTGAAAATTAAAATTGATAAACTTAAAAGTAACTAACAAGCTAAATATTACTATCTTGTTACTGATTCATAGCTTGGAAATGTAAAAATTTTTAAACAAAAATAATTAACAAAAATATTGATATTGCAATGAAAATAAAAACTAAGTTGAGTTGATAACTTATTACTTTTATGGTTTATAAAAAATATTTATTCGGTTATAAAAAATATATAAAAAATCTTTTGTAAAAGTAAAATATTAAAATTAATTATTTTTGGCAATGTTAACCTTAAAAAAATACTACATTTTGTCCCTTAAAGGTTCTAACTTTATTTTGTATAACCTGTCATCAACCTCGATTGTGAATCATAACTTTATTATACTCGTAAGGTTCTTTGTTCCGATTCCAAATTCTAGAATCTTTCTAATATTTACACACGTGTTCGCTCTCATTTTTGGAGGTTAACCAAAAACTTAGTGTATTTCCAGCAGAAAACCTAGAAAAATATCTTAGAGCACAGAACCTTGATGCTTGTTAGCTTAGTGTAATCATGTCACAGCCATTAATGATACGTTTGTAACATTCATCAAAGATATAAAAATAAAGACAATCGAATTGGAAATCATAGTCTCAGTTGCATTCAGCCAGTCTAGCTTAGTTTTTGGAACAACATGCGCTTCGTAGTTTTTGGCTTTGTGATCTTTGCCAGTGTCCTGGCCTACAGCAATGCAGCTCATAAAGGGCACATGGCTTGGCTGGAAGGACTCCTGGCTGAGGCTGGTCATAAGAATACAACGGTTAAATTTGGCAACAATACGGTTATCATTACGGGAGTATCCAATGCCAATGCTAACACTAACGAGGGAACCATTCGCCCAAATCCACCACAGAACCAGAACCAGAATAATGAAGGATATAACTCGTGGTATAACTATAGGTATCCCTACTACTACTACAACGGTTACTATCGCATGGTGCCCACTATCAATGGTCAGATCGTCGAGGGACCACAAATCAGTCTTGGGGAATCCAATGAGCTTTCTCAAGAGGTTTCCCATGAGACTGCCCATGATCTAAGTGACGAGGAATCTGGTGAGGATTATAGACATCTGGAGGATCAAACCCAAGAAGACGAAGAGGCTGAAGATGATATTTCAGAGGATCAGCTTGATGAGGAGGAAGAGGAGAATCTTGATGAGGAAGAAAATGAGCTTAATGAGGAAGAAGAAGATGAGGATTATTCTGAGGACGAGTCCGAAACAGAGGAGGCTGACGAAGAAGAGCCCGAAAACGAGATCGATCCCGAAGAAGATGCTGCTGACCAGGCCTTAGAAGCCTTTGAGAAAGAGCTGGCCGCTGAAGAAAAACTATTAGGTCATTAAGGTATCAAAAGTATCTAAAATCAGCATCTCAATCTTCACAGAAAAATATAGAAAAATTCAAAAATCATTTCATTAACCACCACAAGCTGTAACATCAATTTCATTTCATGTTTTTGGGATCAATCATTAATACAAAAAAAAAAGATTATACAAAAATATGTAATTTGATTTTCTTTAAAGCATACTTTTGAGATGCCACGTTTAATATTAAGTTCCAAAAATATTTTTCAGGAATTTTCCATTTAAATCCAAATTCAATTTAGCAAATGTAAAAACTTCAACTTAAATTTCTTATTTGCGTGTGGCCACTAGCAAAATCTAATGATGTTTATTTGAATGCACACACAATCTGTGTAAAATCTAGGGAAAAAGTGAAAGCAGTTCCTGGTGGCTGCCTTCTTCCCACCACATTCCATTTGAGTTGGCCCAAAGGACAAGGACAGCCATTGACGACTTGTGCGCATTTGTAAACAGTTCTTAGAGGTGGCTAAAAGGAAAGAAATGTTGCCAACGTTGTTGGAGTCAACAACAGAAATGTTGGCAGTCAGGTGCTTGTCGAACAAAAGCGAATTGCATTATAATGCGGCGCGTGTTTGTAATTTTTAATGCCGACAATGAGATTAGTTGGTTGGCGGTTGGACGTTAACGTTGGCGTTGGCTTAAACGCCATCCACATGCGCTTAACTCGATTGCCGTTGATGGTCGAGAGTGTTTCTGGCCATGTTGCCTGGCCGCTTCGCTCCATTTGCCTATGCCACATCGCCCAGCTCAATGCCAATCAATGTCACGCACATAGATACTAACACACACACACACACAGGAACATCTACAACGAACATTTCGAAGGGACATTCACGCACGCATTCCCCTGACAGGCGTCCGTAAGGACTTAATCATAATTTGATTCAAGTTCGACTTGGCCTCGTGCCACTGAAGGAAATTGTAGCATACATTTCAGCGCTCTAAAAATAGGCACCCTAAGATTTTTACTCCCCTTGCGGTAGCTTAGGAATTTAAGGCAAACCTGCCATAATTGGCATTCTTTTTCAATTATATGGTATACAGTTTGCTTAATTGAAGAATATTCATTGGCCTAAATGAGATTATGGGGGGTATAGCTTTAAATTCCAAATGAATAATTAGAGGTTATGTTTCCTGTAATGGAAATTTTGTTAATGAGATTTGAAAATACTTTTGAAAAGTTTAAATGTTAATTTAGCGTATGTAAGTATTTTAGAGAACTGTCTTATATTTATATTTATTTTAAGTACATTTAATTTCAATTAATTCCTTTTATTAATGATAATAATAAATCGCATTCCATTCAATAGACACGTCTAAATGAAAGGTCTCCCTCGATTGAATTTCAATTCAATAAAACAAAATACAAGAAAACGACGCTGAATATAATTGCATTAATTTAGCTGGGATAGTATTTAATTAAAATGGAAACCTTTTAGTGATCAAAGCTTAGGCCACCACAATATGAATCGGAGACAAAGGGATATAAGCCATGGGAAGCGGCCATTTCCTTTTGGCTGACTCAGTGACCCAACCTAGGAGACAATTGCTCCATTTCTATATAGCTTGGTCAACAGTCCGTGCATCCACACATGTCCACGTCCATTACACTTGAACCCATGACACCAAACCCTCCCGCATTTCATCCAACCCATAACCACATTTCATCCAACCCTTCGAATGGCATTCTTGCAGCCAGCCTGTACGTTTCGGGTTCAAAGTAATTCACTTTATGGCTGTGATTGCAATCGATTCCTTAGCCCCAGTTAATGTTTGCCCATATCCACTGACCCCGTTTGATTGTCGACGACCTTGTCCCGGCTGCTGCTGCTGCTGCGGCTGCCAATTAAAGTAATTCTCTTGTCGGTCCCACAATTTTAGCCAATTATCCAAAATTGAACGACCGAACATTGATTATTTTTGAATGGTACATTATGGTGCATTACCATTTCATTCTTTGAACGAAAGTTCACAAAATTGGCAAAGTTTGGCTTAAATGAAAATGGAAAATGATAAACATAAACTAATTTTTGGAAAATGTCATATTTGAGCGAAGAGAAGGTACTTTAATGCGAATTTAATGAGATTGCCAAACGCATGCCAGCAGCAAAATGAAGTTTCCCATGAATTCAATAACTCATAAGTCACAACATTGAATAAATTTCTTTTAACTTTCCAAGCCATGCATAACCATTAGAATAATTATACCAAAAATGGAACAAAAAAATTCATCAGTCAAGGAGGCACTTTTTCTGTGTCGTTCTAAGAATTTGTATGGTGACCTTTGCCAGGTCAAATTATTGCAATCGACGTACAAGGAGCACAATTGCTATAATTCTTGTTGACACAGTTGACATGTTTTGGTCAATTTGCCAAGCCATGGACCCCCTTGCACGGTAATTTGCATACAAAAAATTACGAAACTTTGTCTAGTCCCATGGGGAGTCATGGGCACCCTCTGGGTACGAATATAAATATATATTCCTATATATGTATATGGCATGTGTTGGCTTTAAATTAGTATTTGTTGATTTTGCGGTTTCAAGGTTTATGATGAGAAATAAAAAGTCAAAAAGGAAGGGACATCCTCTGTGTATTTACTTTTTGGTATATTAGTTTTAAAAAGCTGAGCTTTGTTAACAGGATATTTAGGTTAATAAATTCTATAAAATAAATATCTTTAATATTTCTTAAACTTTAATATTCTCCATCTAATTACTCTTTATTATATATTATATATTTCAATAATAAATCTTAAACACAAGTTAAGAGACTTCAACTATGTTTTGCAGATATACTAGACATTCCCTCCAATTCTTCATTCTTTTTATTATCATTCCTAAATTCTATATTTAAATCCCCTTTCCAGAACATTCCTGAACAAGAAAACATCCCAAGCTAACCAATTCCTTAAGGTTAACCCACAAAATCCCTCCCATAACTCTCACTTAGCTTTCCTCCCATCAAACAGACATCCCATAACTGCGTTCATCTCCTGGGCAATCATTTCCCACAACGTTGGACGCTAATTTCTGTTTGCTTATAGGCCACATTTTCCCGATCCCACTGGACAGCCAAGACTGGTCCACAAATAAAAAAAAAAAAAAAAACAGCCTGTGGGGCTGTTCATGTGGAAAAGGAAGTGTTTCCAATTGTTATGTCAATGATGGTGATGTCTGAGCTCTCTCATCAAGTTGCCTGAATGTCAGGACATCAGAAAAAACGGGAAAAGCCATGTATTTGATAGCAGGAAGCGAAGAGAGAGAGAGAGAGCAATAAACTATTTCGCTTAGTGTAGACATATGCTGTCATGTACAGGGGATTATTAGGGTATAGACCTCTCATATCTGATGTTTATTCATTACTTTCAGCTTATTAAGCCCACCATTGTGATTAGAATAAAGAAATAGCGCTTAAACAGGTTCAGTTGGGACAACTTTGGATTGGTAAAAGGCTTTACTTCTACTTCATTCATCTTAATGTTTTATTATTGACTTATTAGATCTACCTTAAGGACTTCTTTATTATGTTTAGAAGGAGTAGTACCAAAACCGAACTTAGTAAATAGACATAATGGCTTACAAATAACGCCATCTATGGGCTATTTAAGGGCTAGTTAGAACCTGTTCTTGACTAAAACAGCTTAAAATGAACAACCGTGACCAATTGAAGTCTTGTATTCATTTCCAGAAATAGAAAGAGCATTTGAAGTTTAGCTTTTGACATTAACATGTCTAATTGATGCAATTAAGCGAAACTGCACAAGAAAGTGAGTACTCTTAACATTCGACATGAACTTTCCATGGGCATTAATTCATTTGCATAGCCCAAAGCTCTTTGGTATGAAAGCGCGCGCTTCATCAAGAGGGGTGCTTTGTGGAGAGGGATGCCGGAGAGGGAGAGTGGTCCGTTGGCGCCATACCCTAAGTCCCGGCCAAAACCCTAAAAATAAACATGGAGCAAAAAGCACGTCACTACCAACCATCCCAACTCCCACTATTCCAGCAAGCATAGAAAGTCCCTCAATATGCTCCGGTTACATAGGCAAAAACCAAAAAAAAAAAAAAACAATTGGAATTTTTGTATACAAACAAAGTGAGAGCAAAAATAACAATAAAAAACCCTTTCGTTTTATGTATTTTAAACATCAGTCCCCACCGTTTAATGAATCAACAAGTGTGAAAAGGGTATTTTTTTTATATTTTTTTGGTCTGAAATCCATCTCCCGCGCGTATCGTAAATTTACATAAAAACCCATCAAATTTCTATTGGAAAATTGCACCTGAAGTGAGGGGGTGTGAGAGATCCTTGGTTCTAGGATCTGTTCAAACAATGCCTGTTGCTGAACGAAAAATTCGTTCTTTTGATTTTTATTTCGCCAGCTCTTCTTCTATCCTCGAATTAACATTTTGATTGGATATTTCAATATTGCGCCATATGGCAGGCTCTTAGCCGGTTGGTTTTGCCTCGTTTTTGGGGCTGGTCAGAACTGGTTGGCCATGGTTTTCGCACCTTTAATGCCCCACTGAGCTCTGTGTTTGCACACTACTCAACGCTCCAAAGAGCTTATATAATATAAACCGAGATAAGATAGCTGGTTGGATACTCGTTATGGTTAGGCGGCCGTAAAGTGGCCGTAAATTAACATTTAGCTTGCCCGCCAAGCCTAAAATCACGGAATCTGTTACATTTATTATGTTAATGTGTACCTATTAGATTAAATTGTGATTTTTTTAATAGCCTTTACAAATTCTTAAACATTTCACCCCCAAAAATCCCAATACTTGCTCAGTATGTACATTACTTTATTATTATGTTAACAAAGATCCTCCTTAGATCACCTGGGTGCTGAGCAAGGAATCGGCAGAATCCTGTTCAGGAACCACAGCAGCATTGACCGTGTTGGAATCATCACTGGAGTTATCACCAGAGGTAGATGTTGTAGTGGTGGTGGTGGAGGACGACGACGACGATGCAGCGGGTGTGATAGCGGGAATCACGGCGGGGCTCACAACGGGGCTCACGACGGGATTAAGAAAACGACGTCTAGCCAAGTAGGGAGTTCCATAGTCATAGTAGTCATTGTTCCAATAGTTAGGAGCGTTCCAACCTCCAGGGTACCAGCCACCAGATGAAGATCCATAATCGGGCCAGTAGCGGGGATAGTAGGGCAAGTAGTTGCCAGTGGAAACTTGTGGCAGGATGCTTGGAGTTTGAACATCGGCAGCAACATCGGCAGATGGAAGAATTCCGGCGGAATTCTTAACCAGAACCGATGGAACAATACCGGCATTCTTCACCAGAACGGAGGGAACAATGCCAGCAGTCTTGGCCAGCAAAGTTGGCTGCTGCACGGCCAAGTTAACATTTGCCGAGCGACCCAATCGTCCGCGAAGGGACAACTGGGCAGATGACATGGCCACCAAACTGACACAAACCAGAGCAACAAACAGACGCATATTTTCCAATCGAACGACCTCTTTCAACTGACATTTAGTGCCAAATGATCTCAGTTTTATAGAGGCAAATGTTTTTTTGGTTATAAATTAAATAAATATTAATTTTTCAATTTAATCACTTCAAATATTTATTTAAGAAAATTCTGAGAATCCGTGCAATTTATTTAACCATGTTTTGCGTATTTTTATGTTGATTTAGTTGGGTTTTCGGCTGTCGGGAATTCGAAAGGGGATTTTGTTGAATAGTTGTCATTAGCGGTTGGTTGGCCAACAGTTTTGCTTGTTTGGCGTTTCCATCTGTTCTATTGTCTAGCACAATTCGGCAATTAAAAAGTCTTTTATTTGGGTTTCTATTCCGGGTTTTACTTTTGACAGGAGTGGATTTAAGATGTTTCAGGGAAAAGTTTCACATTTTTTAACATTTGATTTGTGATTTTTTTGAAACTAAAATATGTTTATACAATTTTTTGGTTTCATAAGTTCAAATATAATCTTTATGAACATTTTTAAACAAGTATTTAAGCCAAGGATGCTCGAATTCGTCTTATAGCAGAGTATTTAAAGACACAAATAAAAGAAAAAATGCACATACATACATACATACATATTTAGTAACGCAGCTGTGCACTGAGAAAAAGAAAAACACTTTTTCTTCCTAACCAATTCATCACTCATTTTAACTCGCCAAATGCGAAAGAAACTCCAAAGTGCAAACAGAAGTTATAAGAAATGAATTCCAGTGCAAGAAAAAAAAAACAAAAAATATTACAGTTAGTTACGTATAGTTGGGGAAAGAGGAAAACAAAAAGTAGTCCACTGCAAAATAAACTCTAAAGTGTAAACAGAATTTATAAAGAAGGAATTTCAGTGCCAGTGTTCGGTGATGATCAAGGAAGAAACAAGAACAGTTAGCCACGGAATGAGGTGGAAAGAGGAAAACGAAAAATTGTAAGTGGAATATCGCCCGAAGCACTCAAAGCTTTTGCCCGAGCAAGTCTACATATGTACTCAGCGAGCATTTACAAAAACAAATGAGAAATCAGAGCATAGGCGTTGAGCAACCGTGATTTGAAACCTTTTTTAAAGGGCCCCAAAGTTTTTTATCGTTTCCTTCAAAGCAAATAGTTTATAATAGTAGTAACACAATAATGTAACGAATTTCAATCTCAGTCAGGTTTTTATTTTTATTTACAACCTTCATTGAAATGTTTACAAGTCACTATATGGTAAACACGACTGAAGTTGACAGCTTAAAAGTTTTGAAAGCTTGACCAGCAAAACAATGTAGACAATTTAAACATTTTTTGGGCATTTTTTGATTGATTTGATTGGTTTAGCACAGAAAAAAGATTAGAATTTTATAAAAATTTATAAAATTACATGCACTTGATCACTTTAAACTGTTCCACACATATTGCACTTTAGCTAGCATTATTTGGTTATTAACTAGTTTAAATCTGCAGCAAATGGATCCTCTAGGGTGTTTAAATGGTAACAATCCATTCGCTGCGAAATATCATCTGCTTTAATGACTACTAAAAGAGGCAGACATAAAATCACCACAAAAGTCGAAAAATCCATCTTGTTCGCAGTCAAAACTAAACCAAACTGCAGTTGCAAATCCCTCTTAAATACAAAAAGCTCTCATTAAATTATGACTGTTAAGAACTAAATAAATGGGAATTTTAAAAGCTTATCAGGCCAGCTGGTCATAAAATGGGTTGGTCGTTAACTGGTTGATTATAAATAATATATTAAATGAAAATTGTTGGCAAATCGGATTACGAATAGACGACTGTAGAGCATTTCCATACGCCCAGTTTTTCAAGGGAAAGTCCAATTAGACTAATTGAAGGTGCTGCAGAATGCAGCCCGAAAGAAGAGTGGCAAAGAGATAGTGAACACCGATTTCCAGCAGTTGGAAACGAAGTCAACAAAAACGCCTACAAGTAGAAAAGTACACTGTACAAACTTATATCTTAAGTTCGGTTTTGAACTTTAAAAGTTTCAACTTTTATGCTTGAAAATAAAATATTAAAAAGAATTAATAATAAAAGTTATATTACATTTTTAATATAATATTTAAGTTTATTTACAACCTTTTTACTATACTCTCACATAAACCAATTGTTTAATCATAACAACATTTTAGTAGAGTACTTGCAGCCTTAACCCTTCTCTTAAAATAAATCACAACTTTCCCCCAGAGCATCGCGCATACGCCATGTATGCCCGTCTTTGAAATGGATTAAACCCGGGACTTAACCAGGCAGCATAATTAAAAAACTTAAACCAAGTGCAGGAGGTAAAGAGAGATATGAGGGGAGTGGGAAATAACAATAATGAACTTGTGTGCCGGCAGGGAAGCATGAAGGATGAAATTTAAGCCCTGGACATGTCAGTGACAAGCTGTCTCGCCATCGACTGGCTGTCTTTGCTCCTTCTCCTGCTTCTGCTCCTGCTCCTTCTTTTCACAGCTCCTCTCTGCATTTTCTTCATTCTATTTTTTTTTTTTTGTACTTTCACCGCCTGGTGACAGTGAAGCCATCCAAGCATGCCACCCCCAAACGCTAGCACAGGCATCAGCAAAACTTTGTTGCCTTGGTCAAGAGTTTGGCCACCAAAGTTGGACACAAATTACCAACTTATAAATTCGAAAATTGCCACAGCAACTTTAACCAATTTGCAGATATCTCTTACCTGTTGGTCATATACAGAACTCAGTCACACACCCAGAATTTCAGCCATTGCTTGACGTCATTAGATAGACAGAAAAAAAACAGAAAAAAAGCATAACAACAATTAGGTCTACAATCCTGTAACGCCTACTAACTGGCCGGGGAACAAAAAAAAAACTGCAGAGGCGTAACGAATATGGAGCAGAATTGAACATTGAATACCCGTATATTGTCCTCAGATAAGGAAAAACTATCTTATCAATGAATAACAGATACATATGTGCGATAAAGTAGCGAAACGAAAAACAAACTTTCACTCTCAGGAAATCCAAAAAAAAAAGGAGAAACGTAACAAAAGACCCTAATCAAAAAATCCTTAAACTACTTTAGCCTTTGAACTGGCCAACCAACTTTTGTGGCACTTTCCACCCACCACCAGACAAACAATCACAGAATTTAATAAGCCAACCCCCCCGAAGACTATTGCCAAAAAAAATATCAAAAAAGAAAAGAAAGAGAAATATCAACTTGAATGGTAAATATTCAACAGGCAGACCGAGGCGAAGGCCTTTTCTTTGGCTGCTTTAGTGTTTAAATGGCCGGGATTAGGGGCTCGAAGACGCTTTAACTGCGAATTTCAAGGATTTTGTCTGATGCGATTACTTATCAAATTGGATTTCTTCAGCGCCGTTCTCATCCTTCCCTTTAATTTACTTCTTTTGAGTTGTTTGTCGATGGCTTAAAGTGACACAGACATCTTAGACTTGAAACACTTGCAATTGGTGGCATTAAAATTGAGATAATAATCGAAGAGAATTTATTGTAACTTTTTAATTGGTATTTTAAAGCAAAAGATTATATTAAATTTAAGGGAATTTTGAAGATGCTGTAAGATGTTTTAAGGTGTCAAATATTTTACTCTACAATAGGTTGTTTCAATTTTAAAAATAGTATACAAAAGTTATGATAAAACTTTTGTTAATTAAGAATTTTCCGATCCCTATTAATCATTTAGCTAATATTTTTCAGCGCACTTAGATTCTAGCTTAACCAAAAGATCTGAAGTCTTTGATATTTTCTAATTAATAAATATTAAGTCTAACTACTTGTTATATTTAAAAAAAATAATCTGACTGTCTTCTTAATTTGTTTCACTTATCTTTCCCACCACTAAAAAAAAGTACAAATTAATGATATATTTTCTTACCTTTTTCACTCTTGTTTCTTGCAACCCTTTTTTTCTACACAACAATTAATTGTTTTCAAATTGATTTTTATTGTTTGTTTTACACAAAATCTTGATAATTAATCATCTCCTTAGGCACAGGTCTCATTAATATTGAAAAGAAACTTTGAAAAACACTCCTGGCATATGCAAATTAAGCGAAATATGTAACACCGAAGGCGCAATAAAGCGAATTCACTGAGTTTCTTTTGAAAATATTTTTGATATTTATGCGAAAAGCAATCTATTCAAATGCCAGCCGACTGCTGAATCTCATTTTGTCCTGGAGACCGCACACCGTTCGAGTAGGGGAAAACAAAAACCGTACCCGGAATCCGTAAAACCGTATCGAAACCATTCGCAACCGCTATGGCAGAATGACAGGATAAGAGTGGCAGAGGAAATTAGAAGGACCGCTTGCCACAACGACAGGATAGCCAATGCTAGACGATGCGCCATTCAACGCTACCATATGTTAGCGATTTCTGCCTGTCCAACGCCGATTCTACGGTTGCTGCACGGAAAAGCTTTACCATTCCGGCCGCAAGTCTTCGGCTAAGTTCGGCTCTGGCCGAATGGAAAGCTCCGCGACTCCTTATCAGTGGGCGGTGTGTTGCTGCGGCTGATAACGAGATGGCCAGTAATTATCAAGGGTATGCCACGGGATGTGTTGACTATTTTAGATGGCTTAAAAGCTTTTTGGTAAAATCATGAAGATTTTAAAAACAATAACTAAAAAAATATAAAAAATTAATCTAGTTTATAAATTAACTTTGAAAAGTCCAATAAATATTCCATAGTTGAAAGATACATTTTTAAATATTTTATAATCATAAAATTTACTTAATAAAAATGTTAGAAATAGTAGAAATAATAACCATCATCTAAAATTCTAAAACCAAAAACATTATTTATGTAACAGCTAACTTACTCGATTTTATTTTTAGCCAAAGGAAAGTGTATTTTTAATTTCGCAGCTTACTTTTTTGCCTTGGCCTAAAGAGGGTTAAGGGAGGGTCGGCGCTGTGGACTCGGAATCCCTGCTGGACGTGCAAAAACATTGCAGCTTTTGCGTTCATTTGACGGAGAGCCGCCCTGAGGCGAGGCACTTTTGTTTATTTACTTTTCTTGGTATCTTCAACAAATTAGGGATAGGGAGAGGCTTTTTACTTCTTGTCTGTGATTACCTTAATACTCACCTTTTTTGCTAATAACATTGGCTCTGCTTCTTTTCATTCCGAAAGACATACCTAAGCCTGAGTGCTGTACTTTAAGTAATTCAAACTTTCCCCTTTTCCGGCATACAAAGTATACTACCAATTCATAAAGATGTTAACTTTTATTTGAATGATGTTATGAATTGAATTCTTAATTGTCCAGTGAATCCTCACCTATAAGGCACATTCCATATATAATATATTTATGTACACAAAACTTTCCAACAAAAACCAAAAATAATAAAGAAAAACAGAAAAAGTTTTCAATATGAAATCAATTTTGGTTTTAATCAACTTATCAGGAAACTTACACAGTCAAAACCCAAATAAAATAGAACTAAATTGAAATGACTCTGGGAACTGTTAGCCAATAGTCAGTCGAACCAATCAAAATACTGGGACATGGTTAAGGTTTTATGCTTATGGCTACATTTGGGCGGTAAATACAAATAACACTTACAGACGATTACATGCCTAAGTTTGGTGTGGTTGCGCGTACGCTTAAAGTAGGTTACAACAGCTTAAGACATATTGTTTTGTTTTATGGGAAATGGTACAGGTAATTAACACTAAAATGGATCGCGTGTCCTACATCCATGATGCTTGCATGCTACTACAGAGTGTCTTCGATATGGCTTCACTTAAAGTTAGAGCCTTCCATTGAGCTTTTGATGACTTTTATGTCTGTGTTTTAATGATGCCGCGCATGCGCTCTTTTCGGCTTTTGCATTGTTGGCCAATCTAATCTCGCCAGCGAAGGCAAATTGTTTTCACTATTATTATTGGCAATGGTACTTTGCAGCGATGATGTTGGCGCTTGGAGGGTAAAATCCGATGGCAGCATTATTGGTTGCACGGTGCTGTAGTTAACCATCGGCGGTGAGAGGGGCGCATAGCTAACGCGGCCCATGAGGTTGTTGTTATTGGTGGGTAGATTGGAGTTGGGCCCAGGCAATGGGGACTGAGGTGGCGCCACATTCAGGTTAAGTCCCGGACTTCTAAAAAGATAAATTAAATTAGTTTCTCAGTCATAAATAAATGTTTGCAAAGTGAATGTGCAAATTTTTAGATCAATTAAGGTGAACTTGAAAGTAGGATAGCAAAGTTAGAAACCACAAATTTTAATTTTAAAAACATTTAAATTAAATATTTGCAAAAAAGTTAGAGATTAGAAGTGAGTCTAAAATTTTGTAAAACCTAAAAATTAAAGTTTTGAAAGTGAATAAAAGTTAATAATTCCCCAAGATTAAGCACCGTCTTTAAACATAAGTAAACCAAACTACTTTAGTGCCTAAATCTATTCTGTACTAATTTTTTTTTTCTAATTTCTAAGTGATCCAATATCAAGTGCTCTTATGCAAAAACCCAGACCTTGTGGCCTCTATTTCTTGGCTGAATCACCCTGCCTTAGCTTAACTTTCATATTGACAGTCACTATGGGCATCTTAGAGCTTAGAAGGACGAAAGAATGAGGATTATGACAAGGCTTCTATGTACAGCAAGTTGATGCGGATAAAGCTAAATGACTCTCACCTTTGTTGGGTTATTGTGAAGACCGACTTGCTCACAATCCGCTTGCCCGTATGCCAAATGCGTCCGATGTATTTGATTCGCTGAATGGCAATGATAGCCAGGGCCACAGTCCTTAAAAGCAAATTATTTTCAATCAATATTTATTTTATATATAAAAATATATATAACAAACTTACTTGAACTTCTTTTTGATATCTCGCTGAGGAGGCATGGCTGCACCTCCTCGCAGCTTCTGCAGAGCCAACTGCTCACTGGCCTGGTAGCCCTCCAAAGTGAGCTTCAGATATCTCTTCTGGTAGACCAGCGCCTTGCGATGTGACTCCACTCGCAAATACCGACCGATCAGCTGTCGGCAGCGCTCCTCCAGCTCAGTGACATTGGTGTTTCCAGAGCCTCCCAACTCCTCGCACTTCTTCTGCAGGGCAATGCGTTCACCCACTAAAAACTGGACGGTCTCAGCCATTTGCCGGTTCTCCTGGGTATTCTCCGCCAGCAGTGTGTTGATCTCCTTCATCTTCTGAAGAAACTGTGCTGGGACATTGTCATCGGTGCTGTGAGCCAATCGATCATTGGCCTGTGCCAAGGCTTCAGCTAGTTTTGCTTCCCTCTGACCAGAGCGACTAACATCGAATCGCAGTTGGGTGACCTTCTGTTCCAGGCAATCTCTTGCTGATTCGGCTGTCAACAGCTTGGACTTTAGTTCATGGATCTCAGCCTGAAGTTTAACATTCTCCTGATGCTGGCGAGTCCGTGTATTGGCTCTTCTCGTTTCTGCCTCCTGGAGGGTAACTAGTCTGGCCTCCAAGCTCTCGATTTCGCTAGCTTGCAGGGTCAGACGCTCGTTAAAGTGTTCTAGTTCTGATTCAGCGGAATCCTTATCCCGAGATAGCTTCTCCATCTCCTGTTTAAGACGTTCGCAGTAGGCAACACGCTCCTGCAACTCCTTTTCGTATCGCAGACGTTCCCGTTCACTGCTTCGCTGGGCATCCGCTGATCTCTCCCTTTCCCTTTCATTCTGAGCAGCCAGGAGTTTAATCTCACTGCGCAGACGATCTCCAAGTTCGGTTTCAAAATCAGCTCGAGGGGATTTCCTGGGTGAGTCAACGGGTGACTTCAGCAGCAGAGAACTATTTCTTCGGCTTTCCGCACGCTGCAGGGAAGTCAACTGCGTTTGAAGACGTTCGCAGCGTTCTCGTTCCTGATCCAACTGCTTGTGGAGTTCGTCCTCTGCGTCGAGAGCAGTCTCCAGGCGTTTCCTCATAGCTTCTATGATGATCACATCCTGTTCTTGAATATCCTGTGAGTGCTGTTTTTCACCCATAAGTTCCTTACTCATGGTCTCACATTGCTCGCGTTCCACAGCCAATTGAGCCCGAAGAGCTTCCAATTGATTCAGCAGTTCCCGCTCGCCAGTGAAGTTTTCATCGTCGGTTCCATTGCCAGTTCCAGGCAGTGTCTCCTCCTCCGTTTGCACACCCTTCTGCTGCTTCTTATCCAGGTTGTTTTCCTCTTCGCTTTCAATGGCTTTAAGGATATTGGAGTCCAGCTGTGCAGAGTAGTTTAATTCCTTCTCCACCTGCTGAGCAATCTCATCCACCGAATACTGCTTCGAGCTGTTTTCACTGTTCTTCAAGCGTTCCAAATCACGTTCAAGTGTCAGAACCTGCAGCTCCAGATCTCCACAACGACGTAGAGCAGCTTGCAGCTGATCAGCCTTGATCTTGACCTCGCCGTTGAGGATTTCCAACTCCCGTTTGCGAGCAGCTGCTGCATTTTCGCATTGGTCATGGGCAGCACTAACGCAATTTAGTTCTTTGCGAAGATTCTCCCGATCGGCAGCCCCCTGGGCAGCCGTCTCCAGGACCTTAGATTCCAGTGACTCAATGCAACGCCTGTATTTAACTTCACTCTCCTCGTGGCTTTGAAGATTTTGAGCTTGACGACTCAGTTTCTCCTTCTCCTGCTCCAGTTGCTTCTGCAAATCCTGTAATATATTTTCCAATTCACTCTGTTGCCGCTGCTTTTCCGTTTGTAAATTGGAAAGCTTCAGTCGCAATTGCTGGACTTCTGGCGGAGTTATTGGCCTGGGCATTTCAGGTGTTTGCATCAGCAGACTGGGCGTCTTCAGTTTAGAATCCTCTGTAAGATTGGAGAAGTTGATTTGGCGTGGAACTAAACCAGGTGTAAGCCCATCGCTGCTCTGGGCAGTGATTCCAAGAGCCTGGAAGTAGTGAGGATGCTCGAATGTGTTGATTGGATAAGGGGCCATAAAACCGCTTAGGTCATCGGTACGCTTATGCGTTAAATTGGCCACCGCCTCCTTAGAGGTATCCTGTAACAAAATATAAAAATGTGAATAGGGATTCTAAAAGAACAACTTCAAGTGGTAAGTACTTACCATTGTCTGATGCAAGAAGCCGCCCGCACCATCGCTCATCTGCAAAGGAGCGTTAAGACTTTGCATGGCTGCTCGACGCTCCACATCCGGCTCGGGGAATTCTGTAATCGATCCGATATCGCTTAGGGTTCGGGCACTCAACTTGCCACCACTCCCACCTTCCTGTTTGCCTGCCGGCCCTGCCGGAAATGAGATTGGGCTGGCATCCTGATGCGAGGCCTGTAGTGCCTTCTCCTTGGCCTCCAATTGCTCGCGCAGATGATCTATCTCATCGTTCTTGTCCGCCAGCATAGTCTCCATTAGATCCGGCACTGCCAGCCGGTTGATCATCTCTGTGCGTATCTTATCCTTTAGTTTTCCGATCTCTGCTTCCTTCTGCTGCACTTCAGCCTCCAGTTTATCCACTAGACTGCGATCTGGTTGGGTTCGCACTGTTACTTCCGCTTCTAGACGCATTATCTCCTCCTTGCTGCGCTGCAATTGCTGTCGCAAAGTGGCCATCTGTTTGTCCCGTGCAGCCAATTGCTCGCTTAAATTCTGGACTTCACCCTGGAGTTCATGTACTCGGGTATTCAGATCGGAGGTGCCAACCCGATGAAGTTGCTCTGCCCGCTGGCGTTGCTCTTCGAGGCGATTTTGAAGTATGGATATCCGCTGGGTTTGCTCATCCATACGACCCTGCAGGGAGTCACGTTCATGCTGGAGTTCCTTTAAAAGAAGATAAGATAAGATGTTAGATAAATATCATAAACTTTTTAACTTATATTTAACTTTATATTATATATTCTACTTGATCAAGTGTTTAATTTTGTTTATCAGATTATATTTCCTGCTGTTTGTGGGTGAGTCAATGGCCGACCACTTGACCGCTGGCTTCATCTGCATTTAACCCTTTCCAACTTCAATTAAATCGAATATATGTATCGTATCTCTCTGCACTGTGGTTGTGGGTGGAAATTAAAACAATTAAAGTGCATTTTATATAAACAGAACTCTTAACAAGAGCTTTTATGACTAAATAATCAACTTTCCTTATCTATTCTAACAAAATTTTTTCTGTTTCTGAATGAAAGTCACTCTTGCTTATTTTATGAATCATGTCAAAAACCGCCGAAGTTTTTCGGTTTAGGAAAACCAAAGTAGAACAACTATTTCTGAATTTCATATTCTTAATTTGCATATAATTTAGTTTACTTATAGAAATCTTTTTTAAATATTTTTTATCCAGATTGCCATTGCATCTTGCTACTCCGAATTTCCCTCACTGTTCTGCGTATCTTTCCCTTAGTACTTGCATCTCTTTGCTGTTGTTTACTCGATTTGATCCATTTATATTCATGCGGGTATGAATGCAGCTTCCACACTAGATACTACAGCAATCTCCAGCCCCTTCTCAATCATTCGGTCTCCCCCCTTTTTTAACCAAACAACTCGACGGGATGCGTGCCACAGCATAAAGAAATTTATGGAGGCATTACCGCATATTAGTGTTTCAATTGTGGTTCAGTGCGAGAATGCATACTGTAAACAAGCTGCGAACTTTGCTTCCTTTTGTTGTTTTGGTTTTGGAATCTAATTCTGAGGAGACAATAGCTGCAGCGTACTTAGTGGGTGATGGAAAAGTGGCAGGTGCCAAAGGCGCCAAATGATTTGTTTTACATTCAATTTTCAAGAGGCGTTTAAAGAGGGCGGGGCACAACATATATGCAGCTATTTTTGAACTAGAACAAACTGGGCATATGGTGGAATAGGGAACAGGGAGCCAGCGATATATTTATGGGACAAAGTGTGCCAAATTCCCAAAAATATTTTGCCATATATCACAATATCTCAACCAGAACAATCGAGCACTGAAGAAAACATTGTGACAACCGGACGGCATAACAAATTAAATTATATTTATATTTATTTGTATTATGATTGGCCTTCAGGGGAATCAATTAAAATAAATAAACATTCGCTGTCGCACATCAATTGTTGCACTGAGAAGAAACCTTGATCGGATATCAAAAGCTTCATTTCAGAAACTCACTCGCAACGGTGTCTTTGGACCCTGAAACATTTTCGTAACTTCCGTAAAATACACGAAATATATTAGTTTTTAAAAAAAATATATATATATATAAATATATATATGGCGAATATTTAGTTTGCGATCCAAAAATATTTATATAAATGCAGACATTTCTCCCGATTGAACCGTTCACAGTGCCATTCTGAAGGCAACTGAGCGATGTTTTCGATCGAGAAAACTAAGAGGGTTTATCACACAAACATTCTTCTCGATTCTCTGTTGTATGAGTAGGGAAACTAAGAGAGAAAGCATCTATAAATGGAAACCAACCGTTGAATTTAAAATAAACGAACTAGCTAAGACACAAAGCATTACCGTTTCGAGTTCGAAGGGTGTATGAACACAATAGTTCGCACTTAAGCTAATACAGGAACCATAACCGTTCGAACTGGCTATAGGAATTAGTTTTATATTTTTAAGAAAAGTTAATTACATTTTATCTAAATAGATTTACTTACCACACAGGCCGAGCGCATTTGATGAGCCTGCATCTCCAGGTCCCGAATCCGCTTAATGGCCGCCTCCTCGACGCGAGTGTGTCGGTCCAGCTTCTCGGTTACCCGCTGGACACCTTCCACGGTGAGTGATGGATGCGAAGGTGAACCCACTGCCGTAGGTTCCTTACTGACATGGATTGAGACATCTTCGGTAACACTTAGGCTGGCCGAATTGGATGCTGCATTGGAGTTGTGTAGCGATTCTAGCACCTTGGTTTTCTGATCCAGCGTGGTTTCAATGTCTCGCAGTTTTTCCGCCACTTGACTTAAAACATCACCTTGTTCTCCAGATGGTCTACCCTGTTGTAGTTTCTCCTCCAGCAATCTGATTCTGGATTGATAACCCTCTCCAATGTCTGTCCTTAAGCTGTGCACCTCCTGCTGCAGTGCATCATTATCCCTGATCTGCAAGCTAACATATTCCTCCAATTGCTTGGACTTCTCAGCCAAGACTTGTTCGTTTAAAGCCTTGGTTTGGACCTGAGTTTCCAGTTCCGAGATGATCTCTCGCAGCACAAAGATCTTGTCAATCGATGCCTTCAGTTCCACCTCGAACTTATCCCTCTTGGCATTCGACTCACCGAGCTGATGACTTATCTCACGAAACTGGGCCTCCAGCTGTGCATACTGCATAAAAATATATAAAATGAATTAGTAATGTTAATGGAAATAAATCAATTTGTTGATAAATGTGATGAATAGTTGTTTGCGGGTGCGGTTTTTCAGATTAGTGACAAACTTACATGCTTTCGCTTCGCTAACTTCAACTAGGTTTTTTTTTTATGTGCACGCAGTGGGAGAAGGGAACAGGTGCAATAGATTTTAATTTTAGTTGCGTTTTGGATAATTGAGTGCATGCAAAGAGTTACAAATAGGTAATATTATAAAAACAAATAATATTTAGTGTAAATTTATTATTAATAGGTTTGTGTCTTAACTTAAAATTTAATACCGGTTAAGACAATTATGTAAAGGGGAGTGTAAAATGCTTTACGGGTCTATAAGAAAACCATTGATGTTAAAAACTTATAAATCATATTAAATAGCTTGAAATATCCCAAACCATAACCAAATAATTTTTAATTTTACATTTATAAGTCATTCTCTTCGCTTCTGCTAACACACCCATAGATCATTTTGAAACAAAAAGCATATATCAGGGCGACATTGAAATTTTGCTTTCTCAACCCCCCAAGAGATCTTCATATTGAGATAGCCTGGCTAAATGGAAACTGATTGAAAGACTCCGACTCGCACGATCTTAAGTGTCTATATCTTTGGAACTATAAATATGTCGGCACATACTTACAAAAGCACTGGTAAATACACAGAATATACCTATCAATGCTGCCCTTGACTCCGTTGAATAGCCCCCTAGAGGGATTTACAATTGAATTATGCCCAACAGGTGCCCCATGCCCCATGCGATTTGGTAAACTTTTCGAGAAAATTACTTCAATGGCTTCCAGAATCCAAGCATTTCTTTGTTAATATTTTGTAAATGTGCGGAATTGTGTCAGTTAATATAAAAGGAAGGTCACATGCTGGGTATACTTAATTAATTAGGTGCCTATAACCGAACTTATAAACAAAACTAAAGCTATGTAATAATAATAATAACCAAAAGATATAAATAATACAAATATGGAGATAGAGATATATGAAAAGACAGAGAGAAAAAAAAGACTGTGAACCCAGGCAAAAACGCAAAACGAAAGACAAACCAAGACCAAAATCAAGATCAAGATCCCAGAGATCATTAGATAAGAACCGTGGACAGGACTCACCTCCTCGGAGGCATTGGCATAGGAGCTGTGCTCCTTCTCTTTGTCACGCAACTGAGCCTTCAGCCGCTCGATCTCGCGCTGGAACTCATCACGTTCTTGTTCACGTTCGGCGGCCTGATCCTCCAGGAAACGCCTGGTATCCTTCAACTGCTTGTCAGCGGTATCGATCTGTGTTTGTGGTGTGTAGGTTATAGGTCAAAGGAGAGGATATCGAAAGGATGGTAGTATCATAAATAACCTGGCTTACAAACTACTCGAATTCATTGGGATCATGCGTTTAGCACTCAAAGTATAAAGGGTGGGGGTATAACTCAAAAGGGGGGAAGATGATCTTAGGATTGATTTTTCCATGACTCACCTGTGATTGCAGATCCTCGCGATCCTTTTTGCCACACTCAACCACTTTGTCGCCCTCACGGCAAAAGTCTTCGATCATCTGCAGCAAGGTAACAGTGGAGTTCCCGTGATCCCGAGAAGGTTGCTCTTTGACAGGCGAGGATGAAAGCAAATGACGCGCCCGCTCCTGAAGGGCTAGAAAACTGGCCGACGATTGATCCAATCCCTGATCCTGTAAGCTCTTCATGGGACCCAGGCCATATCCCTCATTATAGTCAGTGTGGTTAAGGGAATTTAGTTGAGAAAGCTGATCCCTTAGAGCCTGCAACTCTTGGCCCAATTCCGCATTACGATCTATGGTGTGACTTAGTTGCTGTTGCAAGTTCTGACGATCAGCCTCTGACTTAATCAGGCGATTCTTGAGCTGTACAAGTTGGAAGGATAGCTCAGAGGCATTTCCTGCATGCTCTTGCAGATCTGGAGGCAGCGAGGTATGTGTTTTACCCGTCTCCGGATTGCTATTCTTGCGCTGATTGGCCACGCCCATTTGTTGATCATTCAAGGAATTTGTACGCAGAAATTTGGAGAGGACTTGTTGATGTCCCGCAGCTGTGGTCTTCAGACCATCTTCTGCCTCGCAGCAGAGCTCATGTTCCTGTTTCTCCTGCTCATCCAAATGCTCATCGGACTCATCATGTGGTCGCTGCTTATGCAAATCCTCGGACAAATGCAACAGGTAGGAAGCTTCCGACTTTAAACGCTCCAAACAATCATTCAAATCGAAATCCTCACTTGGCTCTTCGTTACTCTTACTATCGATGAACTGCACCAAACTGGGATCCTCTACAACTTCCAACAGACTGTGTACATCTGGCACTCGGAGCATTTGTTTGGTGTTATTCAAGGAGCCACTGATCGTGACCTCCAGTTCATCACCCACATCTTGACTGCGACTATGGAGAAGCAGACGTTGTACTTCCTCAGAGAGTGTGGCATTGAGATCCTCCTCACAGTTGGCCACACACTTGGCCAGCCGGCTGAGCACACTGCGGAAACTTTTGGACAGCTCCCTTAATCCATCACGTTCAGAGATGACCTGCTCCAGGTCACGAGTGGCATCGAAGGTCAAATGACGCTTGTTCTTGCGATTCAGCTGCTTTTCGTATTCCAATTTCATGCGCGACATCTAAAAGGAAAGAAAGTAAAAGAATTTGGTTTTTAAAAGATATTTTACTACACAAAAACATAAATATAATATTTGTTTATTGTTTTAACAATATTTATATGTTATGTTTTTGTAAGGAAATGTAAATAGGTTATCCATTAATTTCCTGATCTCTGAGAAATACACAAATTCCTCGAATATATTCTCAATTTAATTACTTCCGCTTCATATAGTACACTGATTTCATGAGTTTTCTATATAGAAATCTATATTCATGAGAATACCCACCTCGTCGGCATGTTTAATATTCAGCTGAGTGATCTCCAGTTGACTTTTGGCCGTAAACTTCTCGCGCAGCAAGATCAGCTCCTTGGGCCAATGCTGATCGTCGACGGTATTTTCCGACAACAAATTCTGGAAAATGCAAATTGTTTACATGGATTAAAAACTTTTGTTTATGGACAATGTGTGAAAAGCTGTTGCAACAATCGGCTGCATATTGCATGTTCAAATCGGAGACAGATCAAGTTTTAAGAAAGAGAACTTTTCCCGCCTTTCACCAGAGCATAAATATTTATGGTTTCTGGTCAAAATATTTACATGATATAGATGGGAAATGATCTATGTGAGTTTTTTTTTCTGTATTTTTGATCTTTCTTGTGGATCATCCCAAGTCAAAGATACACTGAAGAGGAGTAGGGAGTCTTGAGGGTGCCAAAGACGGAAACAGAGCTAAATACATAAATCTTAATAAAAATCTTCCCCATCCAAAATGGGGAAGAAAACGAAGTGAAAAAGGGAGTGCATGGGAGTTTGGGTTTATTTTTGTGATGGGGCTACACACCCTCTGTCATGAATTATACATAAAATCGCATTAAATACAATTAAATATAGCTCAAAGATGACTATTTGAAAGCGATTCAATGGATGATTATTACCAAGTTGGCTTATCTCTGTGAGATTTCGCTGTACCTCTCTCGTTTGTTCTCTCTAAAAGGTCGCGATCCCGGCAGATTGTGAGTTTTCTTTGTTTGATTTCAATATTTTCCAATATTTACTTAAGGCTTTTACGTAGGCAAACAGTGCAGTTCAAATGTCTATCATCTTTTGAATGGCAAAATTTAAATAAAAGGCTTTGTGGCCTTCAACTTTTGGGTTTAGATACTTCTTTATGGTTTACCCTCTTTTCCTGAAGAACTTAAATTATTTCTTGAAATATATTTTGTGTTTTTTAAGTTTTAATATTAACTTCAAAACCCTGAAACACATTTCAGTACACTTTTGCTTGTTTGGAAATAAGACGTATTGCCAGAGTCAAGAGATTTTCCCGCAAATCTTTGTGTAAGTGAAAATTTGATTTTTATTTTCGTCACTTGCAGTTCTACATTTCATGTGCACACAACATATAATATATATAGGAGACTGTATTTCGTGCAATGCTACAATATATTTTTAGATCTTTGCATAACAAGACGCGGCAATAAATCTCCAAACGAGCTGCGAAATCTTTAGGCTAATCCAAAATAGAAAGCAGAGTAGAACTTCGTTCCTTCCTATTGGTTCATGTTGAGCAGCAAGGCCAGCAGGCTATAGGCTTGATTGATGGTCTGAAATGGAGATATTGAATAAACCGAATCTCTAAACAACCTTAACAACCTTTGTAAACAGAGGTAAACCGATATGAAAGAAACCTCCAGCTTTTAAGGACATGGGACGATTTAGGTAAACCATAAACATAAGGATTAAGCGACGCATCCGTGGATTCATATCCGGCCAATCAGAATTATACAAGGAATCGGTCAACATATTTGCAGAATTTATAACGTCATTACCATAAATGCTGGGCAACATGATTTGCATAATCATAGCCAATAAATATTGCATCATGGCAGCAAAACCTGGCAGATCCTGCAACACGGGACTCTAAATAGGGATTACCAAAGTTGTATTCTAAACCAAAATCAAAACATTTCCATACTGACCATCTGCATACTGTATATAGTGAAGCATATGATTAAGGAACTGACTAGAATTTGTGTAAAAGTACTCTTCGAAATGAAGGCCTCAATGCCCTGAGCCTGTCTCTTGAGTCTCTGATGCATATGCACCAGTTCCAGGAACTTCTCCCTTAGCTGTTCTTCGTCATGCTTAAGGCTACTCAAACGCTGACCCAACATTCGCAGACAAAGTGATAGATGCAACATCATATACCAATTAACTCCATCCATGGTAATGTTGCAGACACAGACAATCGGTATAGTTATGGCCTGATAAATAAATGGATACCAAAATAGAACCGGATGATTCCAATCGAATGGTGTCCACATCCAAAATGGCAACTGATTTGGTATATCAAACAAAGGTTGAATCACAATCCATGGTATAACACCGGCACTGCACATCACATAGAAGACAAAGACACGACTGTAACGTCGATGCTCGTACTGCCACATATCCAATTCCTGTTTGTTTCTCAAATCAAAAAGATCCAAGGTGCTCCATTCATTTAAGATTCCTTGTGCCACATGAGCATATTTCCAGTTATTAATTATCTTAGCCCACAAAGCTGTTGTGGTCAAGCCGATCAATAATACATCGGCGGTATGCTGTATATCCTTGCTTCTCATGGCCTCCATCCACAAAAGGATCGCAAAGAGTAAGGTGAAGGGGACGTGCAGAAGATATCCCTGCCAGTTATTCCAATTTGGTCGGGATACCGATCCTTTCTTGGGCCACAGACGCCAAAATTCCAAAATTCCCGTCAAGTATCGCACTGGTCGAATTCGATCGTAATCCATTGTAAAAGCCTTAACTCTGATTAATGTAATCCCTCTTTCTGAACGACTTTATATAGGCAGTTGTCCTAATTGATTTCCCTAATTGCTTAATTTAAGGGGCGGTCCTAGTTCCTCGACTTTTCAATTAAAATTCACTTAGCCAAAAGACAGTTGGCTAATTTTACATGGTGAATTTTAAAGGCTTTTTGGGAAAGGTGTCCTTGGGAAATCCTTACTAAGCTTGGTAAAATTTGCATTTTAAGTAGAGATGAGGTTTTGATAATTTGTTAACATCTAATAAGGCAAGGAATTTGTAATTATTAGGTATATAAATGGAACTCTGTATGAAAAATGAATTGGAAGGCAGAGGTAGGAAACTTCTCCGATTTGCCGGAGAAATTAGTTACAGATTTTCGCATTCTATTTATTAATCCTTTTAAAATGATTACTACAACAATATGTTAGAAAAAGTTTGAACACATTCATTAAAATTTAGAAGTCATCTAAGGAAAATTGATTAAAATGTCAAACAAATTAGCAATCACTGACTTTGTAACGTAGAACCTTTAAGTAAATCCCATAATTTAAGGCTAGAACTAGAAGTAAAAACCAATATTAAAACTCTCAGCAAGCGCTTTCTTCAGGCCTTTCCAGTTCCCCGGGAAGTTGACTAAATATAAACCAAAATAAAGAATCCACAAGAAACCGAAAATTTTGCGCCTTGAACAAAAATAAACTCCTCATGACTGGAAATGGGAATTCTTTGGTTTTAATTTCCTTATTTTTTTTTTTTTGGGAGAAAGGGCAACGACTTTTCAAGTCATTTTGGGAGAAAGACAAATCTTTGACAAAGTGCAGACTGTTTGTTTATTTAGTCTGTGTTTTTCCTTGGTTGTCTTTCTGAGTGATGGACTCTTGATCAAATTTAATTTGTTTATCCATTTCTCTTAGCTTACTTTTGAAGTTCCTTTCTTAGATCCGTTTTCCTTTTCTTTACTTTTAATGTTGATAAAAGTTTTAGCACTCCAAAAAGAACCGTTAAATTTAAATCCACAGTACACAACACAAATTTCCAATTAATGGACACAATAAAACCACTTAATTAAGTTGTTTGTATATAAAATTATTTTCCGCTTTTTGGCAATGATTTGCCTATTTTGCTTTTCACTAGAACCACTTTAAGATCGCAAAGATTTGTAGAATCTATAGCTAGGGATCTCTCTCTAGCTCTCACTATATGTTTTGTATATATTTTTTTGATCTGATGAATGAATTATCCCGATTAACGTAGACATACGCACGCTTTGAAGTAACGGAAAAGACTGAACGGCACCCAAAGCAGGCAGCCCGTTATAATGAAAACTGCCGGAGAGAGAGAGAGAGAGCGCCGAAGATCAGGAGAGATTGGTTTAAGCAGTGCGTGCACTGCTTGCGGGCCCTCTCTCTCTTTGTGCGTGTTGGAATTAATTCAATTTTATGAGCGTTAATTTTGAAAAGTTATGAAGACAGTTCGTACTCTTTAGGAACCCTTGTGGGGGTGTTTGTGCTCCACTTTTGCCCCTTTTCATTAATCTCTATTTGAGCCACACTTCCTGTTTCGACTTCATAAGATTGGTGTGAAGTAAAATCAAATATTATGCTGTCACAACAACAGGACTAGCACATGTTTTGAGAATTTGGCGCGCTCTTTTATAGCTTTTATTTATATATCTTTGCATTGTCATATAGACCATAGAATGTCTGCGAATTCTGCTGTTGGCAAACAGAACGATCGACGGAAAGATAGCCCCCATATGATACATATAAAAAACTATTTTCTGACAGCATAAGTGGGGCGGGAAATTTTTGAGTGAACAGTGGTAGGGTTTTGTACCAGAATGATATGAGTTTTTAGTATTTGAATAGTGCGGGAGGATACAGTAGATATTGGATAAGGGAGATATTATATATTACTAATAACCATAGTCCATCTTTTTCATTAATCAAAATCTTTAAATAAAGTTATCATACAGATAGATAGACCCAAGAATCTTAAAATTCATTCCCCAAAAATCCAATCTTCCCAATCGAAATAACCTTTAATCACTATCTACTGTCAGCACATTGGCATATCCAGCAGTCTTTGACCTTCGGTGGATTTATTTTGGTGTCGTACAAAAGAACAATCGAAAGTGTCTCCGCAAAGCGCCATCTAAAGGGGAGACCTTCTATATACAGTATATCCTATACATTGACTGACACGTGGCCACCATATTTGGAGACACTGAAGATTGATGCGGTTGCTGGAAGGGATTGAGGCATCTGTCAACGATTCGAAGGGATCATTGACTGCCGGATATAAATAGAGGCATGCCCAGGTATCAAAGAGCACACTGATTTAATGCTACATAATTTAAACTGAAAGTTGAAAGTTCTTTTGGCACACGTTCCTTGTGGCAGCATGATTTTCATGTTGCTCTTGTTTTTAAACCCTCTTCCTTTCAATTTGCAATTTGGCTGCTTGACAAATTTCGCACGTTTTTTTCATGTGAGCTGCGTGCAGCCGATTTAAAAATAAATTATGCTTAGAGAGAGATTTTAGCAAAGGAAGATAATTTAGAATTAGGAAAATCACTAAAGTGAATCACTCACACTATGTTTATGTTGGTTATTTAATTAATTCTTAAGTTTTTAAGATCTTAATTCCAATATAAATTGACTTTTATGGGACATAAATCTTTATTTTAATCATTTTTCAAAAATTCATAAATAATGATTACCAATTCTGAATGTATTCAAAGTGCAAAAACTGAAAATTTCATTACGCTGGTCGTTTAATTTTGGTCTAAACATGATATTAATAACATGGTTTTAATGATATTATTCTATAAAATATGCTTCGTATAAACTGAATAACAAAAAAACGTGCAATGATTAAAGAATGAAAACCATGCCACATGCCACGATGCGCCTGATCCACTCACCTGAATCTGCTGCTCCAACTCAGTGGCTATATCCTGTCGAGCCAATGCCAATTGCTCCTGTAATCGCCTTTCATATTCCTCGATGATCCTTTGAATCACTTGCGACTCATTATTAAAGTTCAACTCATCCTCATCGATGATAATCAGGGAGGTATTAACGGGTCCATCGACGAAACCCTTTTCCGGGCAGGTAACAGCGGTTGATTCGGTTTCAGGCTGGGTTAGTTTTTGCATTTGGGGGTTGATTGCAGGTAGTTACAAATTGTTTTAGTTCGTTTTATTGGGTTATAAAACAAGAAGAGAGAAACAAGAATGGACATGCAGTTAGCTAAGTTAGTCAAAACAAGCTTAGACGTGAAATGTTGTAGGGAATTTGAAAACTTACCTTATAGTCATCATCACCCTGACGGCGCTCATAGAACTTAAGGCGATCGCTTAGCTTGCGCACCTGATCCTCGTGAGCGCATTTCAGCTCCTTGATATGCGTTTGATAGAATACTTTCAGGTCGGATATGTCCACAGTATTCTATAAAAGAGTATTATACAGATTATAATGATACACAAAATAAATCACAAAAAGAACTCACATCTTTCTCAGCCTGACCAGCAGTTTCCCCCAGGGAATCCAATCCACAAGGAGTCATCTGTCTGTGACTGGGACTCAGAAGCAACTCAGCTCGCTTTCGCTTGCGCGGAGAAGGTTCCTTGGAAGGTATAGCACCAGCTGCTTCTTCTGGCAGCTGATCCATTTCCGAGCACTCCGAAGAGCTATCCCCAGCCTGGTGCTGTGACTTGTGCGAGAACACATCATCCGAGAACTGCTTCTCTAGGTCAGCGCACTTGTGCTCAAAGTACTTGCGCAGTTCCTCCATTTGCTTGGCATGAGCTGCCTGTTGGATCTGTTCGCTACTCTGCTTCTCACTCTCCCACTGATCGCGGGCAATCTTTAGCTCCTGGGCGCCCAGATCCCGACACAAGGCAATCTGTTGGTTCAAATAGTCATCGAACTTGCGCTGAACCATCAAGAAGACACGTTGCTCCGCCGGCAGCAGATAGGTATGGAACTGCTCAATCTGCTTGCTGAATGCCGGTGTCCATTCAGGATTAATTGCTTCTTCGTTAGATGGAAATTGAGGCAACTGTCGTTCCTTGGAGCTGCGAGATCCGCGTTCTTCGTTGTCTGTGAGGAAATGACGATCCAAATCATCATCGCTTTCGCTGATCAAATCCATAGAGATCTCTGAGAGACGCTGACCGGGATTGCATTCCGCTTCTGGCCAGACAACACTAGAACGTTTCACTGCCTCGATTGTCTCCTGAAGTTGACGTCGCAAGTTGTGAACTTCGCCGCCCAGACGATCTGAATCCTCCTGCAGCTTCTCACGGACTGTCATCGATTGTTGCAGGGAATCGGTAAGTTTGGCTATCAGCTCATCCCTTCGGGACATCTCCACATAAATGTCTAAGGTCTGTGGGATAAAATATATTAATTAATAACTAAATAAATATAAATGAATGACTTATATACTTACAGGTCCGCCAAGTTCATCCTGAAGAGTACGATACTCCGTGGAGTTGGTCATCAGCGAACTGGAATCCCTTGCAGAAGCTGGACCCCCGCTGGATTCTCTTCTTGCCGACTCAAGTTGCAGATTTAGCGATGCCAGGCAGTTATCCTTGGTCTCCAGTTGGGTGTGCAGCTCCTGTACCTTGGCCTCCAGTTGCTTGAGCATATTTAAGCTCACCAAACTGGAACTACTGCCTGTAGCTTTACTAACTCCTGGCTGTAGCAGAGTTTTCGATTCATCTAGAGACAGCGATGCTGGATCCTGTTCTTCTTCGATAGTTGTACTCATGGATAGCAGTCTTTCGCTTTCTTCGGTAATATCCTCAAGAACATCCTTAGAAAACTCTGTAATCGGTACTCTCTCCATTTGTTTGAGTTCCAAATTGTTAGAGCTAATGGTTGCTTGCGTTTGTTCCGCTTCTGTTGGCGAAAGTTTGGGGGCATTATCAGTAATCAGTTGCGTATTCATGGCCATCAATCGGAGCTTCATCAGTTGCAGGGAACTCTCCTCTTCATCATCATCATCGTCATTATCATCATCCATTTCCAGAATGGTTAGTTCTAATGGTTTTAGTGCCTCTGGCTGTAAACTTAAAGTGGTCAATGCTTTGACTGCTTTACGTTCTATGATCTGAGGTTCTTGCAGCGGAGGTAGCTTTAGGATTTTCACGGTAGACGTGGGCCTAATAGGCTCCTCTGCCTCATTCTCCGGATCTTCATCATCTAAATCCGTGATTAGATCATGTTTCTGTGAAGTATTTACTGTTTCCTCAGGTTCATAAGTGACTTCGATTGATTCATTTGTGGCCACAATCTCTTCCATTGAATGATCCTGTTCTTCGCTTTTTTGGCTTTCGTCTACATGAGTTTCCTGAGGAGCACTGGCACTAATAACCTCACTAGCTTCGGTATGGTCTTCCCGTTCCAAAACTGGCTCCTCAACCAATTCGGAAACATCATCCGTAGTGCTTTGGTTACTTAAACTCTGATCTACAGACTCCTCATCCTCGTGCAGCGAATGCACCACAGGTTTTCTCTGCTCCAAAGGTAAACTAATGTCAAAGTCATCATCGTTAGAGGAGACACTGGCCTCCACTTTGGAGGCATCTGGAAGATTTGAACCCTCCTCCTCGCTTTCATCTTCATCAGCGACCAGAAAGTGTTGGGCCAACTGGCCACCGGATAACTGGGCATCATCGATACGAAACTCTTCCGCATCCTCATCATCTTCCGGATTGCTGCTTAAACTTTTGGCACTTGATTGCTGCTCCTTTGGCCGGGCAAAGGCAGCTGCCTCCGATAGGGATTCCAGTGGGGAATTCAGCTGCTCCTCCACTTCACTAATCTCGATTGCCTCTTCGATCTCCTCCTCAATACTACTACTAGTTGTGGTTGTTGTCGTTGCGGTTGTTGCCACAACATCGGCACTACTCGTCGTCGTCGTTGCCGCCGTCGTAGTGGTTGTTGATGTATGTTGCTCAGCCATGTCAATGGTCATGGAACTGGTGGGTTGTTCAATACTAAACGACGTCACCGACTGATCTTCCTCCGTGAGACTGAGATTATTCTGTCGCCTCAATAGTTCGGCGGTATCCGTGGAGGTAACCGCATATGGTGTACTACTCGATGTGACCTCTGTCCAACTGCTTCGCGAGATTATGTAAGTGCGTGTGGAGTCATTGTCGGAGTCGGAATCATTAGCAGGTTCCTTATCGGCAACACCACTGGCCACATGTTCCAAATTCTCAGGGGACGACCCTTCCGCACTCAACAAAGTCGGCTTCTCAAATGTAAAATTTAGCGTGGGTAAGAATTCAACTTCCACACAAGTTGCTAAAGCTCCAGCGGCGCGAGATGTTGCTGCTGGTGTTGATGTTGCTGCTGTGGATGTTGCTGCTGTTGCCACTGATGTTGCTGGCAACTCTTCGATAGCCGCTGCTTCGATTGCCTTGTAGCTGACACTGGCACTGGGCGGCCGGAGCAATGATGTGATCTGTAATGTAAATAAAGTAATATTAATGACCATCGATTTTATGTTTCTTCGAAATATATTGCTAACATATTTCTTTGATGAGCAAGAACTTAAGATGTTGGAAAATATTTTGCTTAAGAGGCAACTAAAATTGATGTTTCTTAGAAAGATATTATGAAATTGTGATCTTTAAATAGTCAAATAATGTGTAGTTAATGCTTAAAAATTACTATTTTAGAAACTCTTAAAAATATTCAATTTTAGAGTTGAGAGATGAAAAATGCATTTTTAACTATATTTCCAATACAATTTACTGTGGAAAACTTAAAGATTTTTAAAACAAACATTAATGAAAAATATAATTTATTACCTAAAAAATGTTACCAAATAAGAAAGACACTTATCCGCTGACATTTTGCCACCCTAAAAAAACTGAGAACATTCGGATTTGTTTGAACAACAAATGAAAACAAGAGCAAGTCTTCATTTTTTCTATCTGGCTGGCCCACTTGTTGTTGTGCCACCAGGCCACTTGCCACTTGTGTTTTTGAGGCAACACGCGTCTGCCGACATAAATTTCTTTTCTAGATTTTGATTCGATTTAATGATGTCACCCAGTTGTCACCAACCAAGACGCATTGTGTGGATTCTTTTCGTGGGTCTGCGCAAATCTATGTGGCCCACTAAACTTGAGTAAAAAGTTATTAAAAAACAACTTTATTACGTAAACAAATGTGATTGGAAAACTAGAAAAGATATCTGTTTGCAACATCAAATTTCAAATTGACCTGTATCTCAAGTATGGCTATCTTTTTGGAGAAGGCAAAAAGGGAGCAAGAAGGGAGCTGCCCACATTCATTCCTTGATGGATTGCAGCTGGTGACTCGGTCGTTGGTTTTCCCTTTAAATTATAATTAGAAGCATTTGAGGCATCTTTATGTTTGGTAATAAAGTTCACTTCGCGGAGGAGTTGCATATGTTTAAGTTATTTATTTTTGGACTTGCCCACATTAATTAAGAAAGACGTCTCTGTCCACTCGAGTGATCTATGGCTATGAAGGTGTTCGAAACGTGCGCCACACATGCATCCGTTCCCAAATCGAGTGGGGGAAATATTTTGGTATTTTCCAATTACATTTCCCACAGCTGGAGATCTAATTAGATCGCATGCATTCTTTTTCTACATATATAGACATGTGCCAAGGCAATGCATTTGACGGTTGAATAATAAACTTTTTATGAAATTATTGTGGGGAACGTAGGGTAGAAGTGGGTTAAATGCAATACGGATTATATTTTATGATATTCAGAATAATAATGTTCTTAGGATCGAGCATTAAAATCATTATTCAGCATTCATTAGCTTTACAAAGTTTACAATACATTTTCCTAGTACCACCTGAAAAAGACTTCCACTTCTGCAAAAGACAAAACTTGCCACATTGCACATACGCCATGTGGCTCAGGCCGTATAGCTTGACAAACTTTTTTTTTAGAATATTAGCAAAAAATATTTGTAAAAAAGTTTTGCAATTCTCAGTCACATGGTAATTTGAACGTCCTTGAACTTGTCAGGCCAAAGACAAACCAAAGCAGGAAGTCCCAGCCCAGCGATAAGGATATCGGGATAACAAGTTTGCCACAATAACCATGACAACCAATTTTCTTCAAGTATGCGTGCCACTACTCGTTGCACGACGACGTACAAGCAAAAACGAAAGTTTTTCCCACCTTCTTGCTAAAATTTCAATTTGTTGCTATAGTTTGGTCCTCTTTTTTTTTGGGGGGCCGTTGTTTGGGTGTGACACACATTTTCAGGTGGATCGTCTGAGGTTTTTGCACTTCGCCGACTAATAACAACAATGCCACTCCCCTCGAAAAAGTAGGGGGAAAATAAGGCGAAAGGTATGCAGGACCTAGCCCAACGTCTCTGTTAATGGCGCTGCTGCCTTTCCTTTGATTTTCCACCAGATATTGTCGATAAACCTTCAATAATGGCACGCATATTGGCGAAAATGATTAAATTAATAGCTTTGCCAGGCGAAAAATTGACAGTGAAATATGTCGGATGAAAATAAACTGGGATTAGGGAAAAGGATTTTCTTTTGCGATGTTATTTTAAAAGGTTATATCATTTTACGGGTTAGATTTGGTTTTTATTTCTGAGAGTATTTAAAATCAAGACTCTTTTTTAACTTGAAAATATTAAGCATTCTGTAACTTTAACTTTCTAACTTATACAAATATTGTTTTGTAACCTAAAACTAGACCAATAATGATGAATGAAAATCTATTTATATTTCTAACTGAAAATTTTCTAACTGATTTTTATACCCGTTACTCGTAGAGTAAAAGGGTATACTAGATTCGTTGAAAAGTATGTAACAGATAGAAGGAAGCTTTTGCGACCCTATAAAGTGTATATATTCTTGATCAGGATCAATAGCGAAGTCGATTGAGCCATGTCCGTCTGTCCGTCCGTCCGTCCGTCCGTCCGTCCGTCCGTCCGTCCGTCCGTCCGTCCGTCCGTCCGTCCGTCCGTCCGTCCGTATGAACGCTGAGATCTCAGGAACTATAGCAGATACAAAGTTGAGATTAAGCTTGAAGATTCTTGAGGTCCCGGGACAGCGCAAGTTTATTACAGCATCCTGCCACGCCCACTCAAACGCCCACAAATCGCCAAAAACTAAAATTGCTGAAATCTCAGGAACTATTGCAGTTAGAAAGTTGAAATTCAAAAAGTATAATCTTTAAATGGCAGCGCATCTTATAGTGGTACTACTATCCGGCCACACGCACCCATACCCCCACAAGGCTCAAAAGACGGTTTTCGGATTTTCTAGAAAAGCTGATATCTCGGTAACTATAAGAGATAGAAAGTTCGGATTAAGCATGTAGGCTTCTATTATGCTCCCAATGCGAATTGTTTTTTTTCGATCAAGCCACGCCCACTCTAACGCCCACAAAACCTGAACAACCAAAAATGCAAAAATCTCAAAAACTATTAGAGCTACATAATTTTGTTTAGGATCACGTATTTAGGAGATGCCTTTGCAACTTTCCACGAAGTTGCATCCGGCCACGCCTACTCTGACGCCCACAAACCGCGTCAAACTGTGGCGTCTATAATATTATTATGAATGCCTTCGTTTGACCTTGTGTAACTTATTTCTGTTAATACCTATCGATTTACCAAAGATTTTTCAAATCGGAACATTATTTCGCTATTTATAAAGAAATTAAGTTATAAGGCCTCACATGGGCAGTGACGTCACTATAAGCATACTCAACATACTTCCTCTGACAATAGGTGGCGCCTTGTGAATTTCCACTAGAAAAATAATATTTTAAAATTTTGTAAAACAGTAACGGGTATCTTATGGTCGCGGCACTCGACTATAGCGTTTCCTCTTGTTTGTAATATTTTCTAAAATGAACAATGCTTATACCAACAACTTAATATATAGTCAGTCTTAAAATAATAAAGTTTTAAGAACTTTGATCCCTTCCGGAATTTACTTTTAGAAAATGTATAACTAATATTATTGCCATAAAACGAAACTATTATTCGAAACCAAATGGTCATAAAACATAAGGTAATCGATATCTGTACTAGATCATCTTTCTACATCCCCTTGCACTACAATAACTATCACTAATTATCACACTTTTCCGACTGATATTAACACACTTCGGGTGTCGAGCGATGCAAATGTCACTGGGAGATGTTAAAGATCACGTTGCCCTGCAAATAACTCACATGCAATTTTCCCATTTCGCTGCTCGTCTCGCATTCGATTCAATTCAGCGATGAAGTTATCTCAATTAAATGCAATTTACAGTCACTTTAAAAAGTCCATAACCATATATCGACAATGCCCATTTATGCATTACAATCTTATTTCCATATATAAGCAAAATAGCTCGTAGATTTAAGTTAAACAAATTTATAGGCTTTAGCAATGCACTTTTATCTTTTTTTTTTTTTTTTTTTTGTTAGAGCTATAAATGTGCGGTAAACCGTAAGACGAGCGACGCGACCGCCTGCAGTGCAAGTTCTTTTATAAATAAAACGCCCGAAGAGACATTCAATTGAAATCAGTCACTCAATCCGAGGAAAATCAAAAGAAAAGCGTTGGAAAAAAGAGCAGCGCCCCCGGAGAGCCTCAAACGTTGAGAGCGGCACGACTGCCGCGCAAATTTGCAACGCGGTTCCAAGCGGTTCCGTGCACCGAATGTGTTCGCGCTCCCATTTTTTATTTATAAACAAAATTTATATATGTGGAACATAAACGCTGGCAAACGTTTGATTGTATGTGGGCAGCATTTTGTTGCCAGAATGTTGATGCGGCAAGGCGGCATGTTGATAAGGCAGGCAGGCAATATACAGCTTGATAACGCTAAAGGGTTATCTGCCAAGTACTTTTTTAGAATTTTACAGAAATAGCTGGGATAGAACTTTGAAAATATTCTTTAAACTAGTAAACCAGTTTGATCAGTTATATAACATTAAATTATTGTAAGCCCATATCCCATACCATATAATTAATACCATATAAAACGATTAATTAACCAAAATGTAATGAAAAACTAAAAATTAATCCCTAACGTGAGTGATTATATTCTTGAAGAAATATATTCTTAAGGTTCTAATATTTAAGGGTCATAAAATATTCAACTTTTAGTAAGTAAAAACACTTCCAAACTATAGAATAAACGAATAGATTTAAAACATAAACCCTTCTGTGGTCTTTACTCCTATAGTCTCCACTGTAGTTTGTTTAATATATTCCGAAGGGCCTTGTGGTCGGTCGTCTAATCGAAAGTTCAAAGGCGCATTCAATTTCGATTTCGTTTGTAAACACACTTGAAGAACCACCCATTCTGTTTGTGGATTGTAAGTTTTGAAAAATAAATTTCATTCTTTTTGTGGAATCTATCTATGAGTATTCAAAAAGCGAAAATGATGGATGTGCTGGGCAATCCAAATGGGTTAAAACTTTAATGGTTTTCCCACCAGGCTTGCTTTGGCTTACCCAATCGTATAGAGTGTAGAGATTCATGATGACTGCACTTGAACCAAATAATTTATGGCCTATTCCCTGGCTTCTTTAGCCGCCTTTGTTGACACTTGCGCCTGTCAGTTGGCCATAAATGCTATAGATGCGGGCCAACTGCGATCCATTCTGATGTTGATGTTTGCCGTTGAGTTTTGGATGTTTCTTAAATTTTGTTTTGCTTTACACAAAAAACAGACCCACACACAAATACCGAATAATTTTGTAGGTTATGTTGGATACTTTACGTAAAATTTGAAAACTTTTTGAATTTTTAAGTTCTACACTGAGACAACACAATAAGGGGAAACTAGCTACTAAAAAGCGTGACTTTTAATCCAACATTATACGATCTTTTAGTACTCCCCAAAGGAGAAAAATTAACACTGAATTTCGGTATTAAAAAATAAAGAAACCAAAAAACAATAGTGCAACCGATCTGAAACAGTTGCACGTAGCGAACGCGATGCAACTGAGAACCAAAACCATTGCGAAGAGTCTTTTATTTTTGGGTCTCGTTGGACAGATAAACCCTCTCTTTTTTTCACTCCACTCCCAAATACTGTAACGCTCAGTGAAGCACAACACAAGATTGTTTAAAAATAATCAATCGTAAACAAAATTGGTTGCAGTGCCATCGAAATAGGGAGATTCAGAGGCAGAGAAAATGAGAATTCATTGCGTTCTGTTCTCAAATCACAAGAGAAACAAAGAGAAATCTGAGAAATGGAAAGCAAGGGGAAGTAATTAAGTTTTATCTTCCGTTCTAGAAATAGTTTTCAAACATAGATTTGGGATCAAGAAATTATATTTGATAAGGAATAGTTTAAGGAAGTGTGAAAGTATTTATGGGACACATAAAACTCGATTATCTCAAATATTCCAAATTGGCATTAAAGTGAATATTTATGATGCCTTCAAAAAGTCTTCTGCTGGATTACTTAGCTTTTTTTTGCTATAAAAACAAATGAATTTCCATTTTAATATCAAATATTTATTTACATCTATATTTGTTATTGCTTGTCAATAGTTAGTCTTAAAGAACTCCTGAATATATAAATATATTCATACAAAAATATCATTCGAGTAGTGTATATATATTATTTTATACACTTTTTAACAATTGCTAGTCATATCTTTTTTGTGTAAATATTGTTAATTCTATAAAATGATTTTATATTTTCTAGGCATCCTGTTCGTAAGGCGATTTCTATTCCCCTTGGGGATAATATTGTCCTGGTTTTTATCGTTTTTGTATTTTAGAAAAAATCCAATACAAATTGTAATTGTTAATAGAAGTCAGTTTTTAATTTGGCAGATTATCTGAGCATTTTTTTAGTGATAAATTATTATTCAGTTAGTCCTTGGTCCTTAATAATTTGGGTAACGAACTTAAAATTCGAAAGGCGTCCAACATTTTGTGCTGCTTTTGCTTTGTAGTTACACTTTTTTTTTTGCTACAAAATTAGTTTAGTTAATCACATAGATAGGGAGAAAGTTATATAAATCCCATAGAACCTTATAGGTCAATTGGGATTGCCGCCCTCCTTTTGTTTGAACTTTGTGGAGTATTTGTAGAAATCGGACATCTCGAAGGGTTTGGTCACTTCTTTGTAAGGCTGGAAAGTGGCCTGTTGCACAACGGTCATGTTCTTTGGCGACTCGATGCGTATTTCCGGTGATAAACTAGCCGTGGCCACGGTTAGTGGCGGTGAGACCAGCGCTGTTTGTAATGCATTGCCATGACCAAGTCCGCTTGCAATTCCATTTCCACTTTGATTCAGATTCAGATTCTGGTTCTGGTTCTGGTTTAGACCCTGATTGGCAGGTGGAGGTCGCGGCGGCGGCGTTGGCTGTTGCATTTGACTTGGCTTAGGTGGTAAGTTCCTTAGCGCTGGTATGTCCAAAGGTTCCAGTGGATACGATACCGAAATCCCCAACGTTTGTTCCATTGCATTGAGATACGATGTGGATTGACTCAGCAAAGCTTTCGAGCTAGTATTCACCGCATAACTGGCACTTGGATAATTCTGTGTTGGACGCTGATTGGACATGGAATAGTGACGACCCGCCACTGACATGGATTGCGAAGAGAGCTTGGCGCGAGGTTTACTAGACACCATGGCAGCAGCACCTGGATTACTACTACCATTACTACTACCAGCTGGACTGTGCGGTTGTGAATCTATTTGCCTTATAACAGCTGGGCCATCTAGTGATGACTCCAGCCACTGCTTGGGCTTGGGTTTCTTTTCAATGGTCGTGGAGGAGGACGACAAAGAGATCTCATCGTGTGGTTGATAGCGATTGGGTGGCAAAGGCACTGCCAACATATCGCTGGAATGCGATTTTACTTCTATGATGCCCAATTGAGGTGGCGTTAATGGTGCTATATGTGACTGAGAACGCCAACGATATTGCTGCTGATGTTGGGCAGCTTCCATATCCACGGAAACATAACTAGGTGCCAGGGATATAGCATCGAGTTGTCGTTGATGATGCAAGGGATTACGCTGCTGCTGCTGTTGCTGGTGCTCGTAGCTAAGATTACTTGGCGAGGCAAGCGGGGAAACATATTTCTTGATATTCTGACTTGATTTAATGAAACCACCCTCATTGTAACTTTGATGGGTAGGCGATAAGTAATATTTATCGCACTGAACAATAATTGGTTGCTGCTGGGGAGCCACTTGCGGTGGTTGCCTTAAAGTGGCCACATTGGATGAATTTGCCGAGTACATGGATATAACATCCGGCTGTGATCTCTGGTAGTTCATGTTCATCAGATGAGCTTGCTGCTGATGCTGCTGGCGCATATATTGCATTTGACTGGGCGTGGGTGTTGGTCTCTTTTTCAGGGCACTCTTCACCAGTGGCGGCTGTTGTTGAGCCTGCTGCTGGGCCACGCCTATGACCAGCATATCACCAGCTCCCGCCGATGAAGAAGGCTGGTAATTGTCATATTCTGAACTACGATTTGATAGCGTTTCCGACTGACGGTTATTATTGTTGTTGGTCATGTGGCTTTCTCGACTTTCACGACTCGTTGTACTTTGTTTCCTTCTTAAAATTGATTTATCTTCCCTGGCTAAAGCATGGAGCTGCTGTTCGTGCTTATACTGTTGTGCCAATTGGACAAAAAATTCATTGACTGTCATCTGTTCATAGTTGCCATTGATAATGGCAGTCTCTTGTTTCTGGATTTGCTGCAGCAGCCAGCTCTTTTCGCTTAAACGCTGTTCCAAAGCCTGTTTCCTGGCCTCCAAATTCTCCTTCCTAACCTTTGGGTCATCCTCGTTTTTGTTATTGTTGTTACTACTGCTGCTGTGATTATTGTTTATATTATTTGTGTTGTTATTGTTGTTGTTGTTAAGATTGTTCGTGGAGTTGCTTGTAGTTGCCGCCTGTTCCTCATCTTTAAGACTGGCCATATTTCTGCTCTTTGGCGCTTTCAATTGCATCGCCAGTGGTTACTTGGGTTCGTCGGCTTCGTTGGTGGGTTGTTTGGTGCGGGTTTTTATATTTCGGGGGATCCTAGAAAAGACAAGCAGTCTTTGATCAGTTGCCTTTCAAGCTGATTTTACTTTAAGTGTAATTTATTAACCTTTTATAGAGTATTCAACTAGCTCTGGTATAGTTATTTTTAACTAAGCTATATAATTAATGGAAGGAAAGATTCCAAAAAGTAACACATTACAATGTTTTTAAAGTTTTTATGACAATCGAATGTTTTGCAATCTGGTATTCATTTTTGTTTACCATAGAAATTTACAGATGAATCTTAATTTGAACATAAATTGCGTACTTGTTATCACGATGTCATATATAATAACAGATGCTATCGCAGAGCTGATGAATACCCCAAAACATTTTCAGTTAAGAGTTAGCTTTTCGTATTAGAGACGTGCACTAGTTAATTAGGTTTCTTATGATTTTTGTTGTATGTACAGACTTAGTTTTTGTTTGTTTCCGATCTCCACCCGTTTCATCACGCACCACAACCACTGTAAACCTTGAAGCGAACCTTCTCCCAAAGAAATGGCCAGAACGAACATTAACCCAAACATAGAGAAGCTCGATGAGGTGTTATTTGTTTGTTGTGTTTTTTATGACATTTTTTTTTTTGTACAGTCTTTAGCATGGCCTTCATTGCCGGCGATGACTTAATATCAAACGTGCAAAAGTCGTTGAATTAAGTGCGCCTACAGTGGATGCTCGTTGAGAGGAACCAAACTGGTTTTTCTCCGCATTTTCATCAAATTCCACACTGTGGGGGTTGGTTTCTAATTAAAGAACCTCCACTGTGCATGTTTAATGCTATAAATGGTGCACACGCATACACGTACAAAGAAAACAAACTACGCTTATGACTAACATAAATAATTTGTATTGCATATTTTAAACAAATCGATTGGGTCCCGGACATAAGAAAACAAACAACAACAACAAAAAAACAGGTCAAGAACGGAAAACGGTTAAACAAAAACAACTTTTAACTCACCAAACGAAGTACCTTGTTGTTGCTGCTGCTACTGCTGGTGATGCTTTGGTATGTGTGTGTGTCGTCGTAAAAACAAACAAGAACCGTTATGTGTGGTAGCGTCTGTGAATGAGTTAATTTTTAATTGTTTTCGCTATTAGGATTTCGGCAAATTTCAGCAGAAACGTTAGTTGTAGCCACTCAGGTGAGTGAATTTTGAGGAAGAGAGGAGCACACCTTTCCGTTTTATCGCTCGAAATGCGGTCGCATAGGCGTCGCTGTTGCTGCAACGCCGCGTCCTCTCCACGAAAACAACAAAACTATTTTCCACCTTAACTGCTTGTTTTTCAATTTGTATGTAGCGCCTTTGAGCAATTGGATTGTGCAGCACTTGAGCTCAGCTTAACTAAATCAAAAATTGAGCAAATTATACGAAAAATCTCGCAAGAAAACAGACTGCAATGCTGCGCCTACATAATTAAAACAAAAAACTAAAGTTATCGATAGCGCGAAAGATAATTGGACAAATAACGCCCCCTGATATCGGCATTTACTGCCCTCCGCGGTCTGTTCACAATACTGACTTACTGACAGTTACAGCCGAAGTGATCACTGTGCTGCATCAAATAGTTATATTTGGTAAATTACGAAAACCTAACGTAATTTCCAAATGCAAAGAAATTTGTTTAATGTATTCTTACATATTAAAACCTATATATATGTGGTCACTTCCTAATCTACTTCTCAAGTCACAATATTTTGGTCATCACTAGTAAACAGTGTTGAACACCGCCAGCAAATGCAGTGTTGCACGCCGGCCGACAACTAAGCTAAAAACCGAAATTGCACCCGCAAGTGAAGGTATTTCAGCAGCTAACAGTTGCAGGGTTTATTACATAAATTCGTCTTTTTCGGCTAAAAAAATAAACGCGTCTTTATGTCATTGCAGTTTTTAAAAGCGCTACCCCATCTGCGCCGCGCCACCTACGCCGTGACTCAGATTGCGAGAACAACGTGGAGTGAGCACATTGCCACGAAAGTATTTTTTGGCACCACCACCACAAAGAGTACCCCCGCCGCACCACCAGCACCCACTCAGCCACAACCTTCATCAACACCCACCACTTGGGGCACTAAGAAACAGAATAGAAAGGTAAAACTAAGATCCGCAGCTGCCGAGTTCATCATGTCGAATCCAGAGATTGAAGCCCAACTGGCTCCCTTAAGGGAACGAGTTCAGGAGCAGGGAAATTTAGTTCGCGATCTTAAGGCCAAGGGAGCCCCCGAATTGGATGTGAAGAAGGCAGTGGCTGAGCTGAAGGCCCGCAAGAAGTTGCTGGAGGACAAGGAGCTTGCTCTGACCCCCAGCGTCGTTAGCTTCGATCGCGCTAAAATGGAGGATCTTCTTAAGCGTCGCTTCTTCTACGACCAGAGTTTTGCCATTTATGGCGGTATCACCGGTCAATACGATTTTGGACCTATGGGCTGTGCCCTTAAGTCCAACATCCTGGCTCTGTGGCGTCAGTACTTCGCCCTGGAAGAACAAATGTTAGAAGTGGACTGCTCTATACTTACTCCAGAACCTGTGCTGAAAGCCTCCGGTCATGTGGAGAGGTTCGCTGATCTGATGGTCAAAGATGTCAAGACGGGCGAGTGCTTCCGTTTGGATCATCTAATCAAGCAGGCTCTGGAGAAGCTGTCTAAGGCCAAGGAGGCCACTCCTGCCCTTCAGGCCGAATGCGAGGATATCATCATCAAGCTGGATGGTCTAAACAAACAGGAATTGGCTGATGTGCTGGCTAAGTACAATATCAAATCTCCATTAACCGGTAATGATTTAACGGAACCTATTGAATTTAACCTGATGTTCGCCACTCAAATTGGACCCACTGGCTTGGTCAAGGGTTTCCTGAGGCCAGAAACTGCCCAGGGCATCTTTGTTAACTTCAAGCGACTACTGGAATTTAATCAGGGCAAGCTTCCGTTCGCCGTGGCTCAAATTGGCAACTCATTCCGCAATGAAATCTCACCCAGATCGGGCTTGATTCGTGTGCGAGAGTTTACAATGGCGGAGATTGAACACTTCTGCGATCCCGTGCTCAAGGATCATCCCAAATTTGGAAATATCAAATCGGAGAAGATGACCCTATACTCGGCGTGCAACCAGATGGATGGCAAGTCCGCTTCCCAGGTGGAAATTGGCGAGGCTGTGGCCACTAAACTGGTGGCTAACGAGACTCTCGGTTATTATATGGCCCGCATTCAGCAGTTCCTCCTAGCCATTGGCATAAAACCTGAGTGCTTACGTTTCCGTCAGCACATGTCCAATGAAATGGCTCACTATGCCTGCGATTGTTGGGATGCCGAGATACTTACTTCGTATGGATGGGTGGAGTGCGTGGGCTGCGCCGATCGCAGTGCCTACGATTTGGGACAACATACGGCAGCTACTGGAGTCCGATTGGTGGCCGAGAAGCGGCTGCCGGCTCCCAAAACTGTTGAGGTCAGTGAAATTGTTCCCAACAAGCAGGCTTTGGGCAAGACCTTCAAGAAGGAAGCCAAGAATATTACTGATGCGTTAGCCAAGCTATCGCTGGAAGAGATTACCAAAGTGGAGCAACAACTGGCTGGCGATGGTCAATACAAACTTACCACCGCAGATGGCCAAAGCCACGAGCTCGGCAAGGACACCATAAGCGTGAAGCACTCGTCTAAAACGGTCCATGTGGAGGAGTTTATCCCAAGTGTGGTGGAACCGTCATTTGGTATTGGTCGCATCATGTACTCCCTTCTGGAGCACAGTTTCCAGTGCCGTGACGGCGACGAGCAGAGATGCTACTTCACCTTGCCTCCGCTGGTGGCGCCCATCAAGTGCTCCATCCTCCCTCTGTCCAACAACACAGACTTCCAGCCTTATACTCAGAAACTTTCTTCGGCCCTGACCAAGGCGGAACTTTCGCATAAGGTTGACGACTCCAGCGGCTCCATTGGTAGGCGGTATGCCCGAACGGATGAGATTGCAATTCCCTATGGCATCACCGTGGACTTTGACACTCTGAAGGAACCGCATACGGTGACTCTGCGGGATCGTAATTCCATGAAGCAGGTGCGTGTCGGTCTCGAGGAGGTTGTGGGCGTGGTCAAGGACTTATCAACGGCGAGAACCACCTGGGAGAAGGTCACCGAGCAGTATCCTCTGTTTGAGCAGCAGGAGGCCAGCAAGTAACCGGATGATCAACGAGTTTCTCACGCATGACATGCATTTACAGAGTTACAAAGTTTTCTATTTCTTTTATATCTACGCTTAAAATTGAATAAACATGCAACATTTAATGCTTTGCACGCCGGAATTATTGTTTATAAAATTATTAAAAAGTTTGGGGAATTCTTGAATGGGATTATTGATTAAGCCGAGATCTGGAAAACTATAGGAATTAATGGGCTTTAAAAAGAATGCAAGTTTGTTTTAACAAAATAACAGACAGTTTTGAATTAGATAAATAATTAAATGTTATTGGATTAGCTTATTTTTTCACAATTTTATGTGGTAATAATTTTTTGTTTTTTGATCCTTAAGGTCTTTTTATTTTTAGTTTAGAAAACTAAGTTCGGTAGGGATATCAGTTAGCACTTAAAAGATTTAAAACTAATATTCTCTTTAAAATATTCAACAATTTGAAAACGAATTTCAAGACTTTAAAATATATAAATTTGATCAAAGCTCTGAAAAGTATAATTTTTTATAACTGAATTGTCCAAATGGACATTAATACCACAAACTTAAAATAATCTTTCATCTGCAATAGGATTATATAGAATTAATGGAAAATATTGTAGTAACTAAATAAAGGATTGTCAATAGAAATATTTGCATATATGTACATATATATAAAAATTAAAAGTGAATTCTCACAAAGTCTTGTTGGTCTTATTTTCAATGTGATCTTGATTATTTCTATTTTTAATATATTATAAAAATCAAATTTATTTAAAATGGTGTTTTCCAACACCTGATGAATCCTGGCATTTTTGGCAGAATGTGATGTGGTCATACCGCCGGCGCCCCGCAGAAAGTACCAAAGCAACTAATCTGTCGTTTTAAGAATACCACGTGCTGTAAAAGCAAAATAAACGGCGCAATTATTGTGGCTCCAATAACGGTTGATTGAGTACATATCGCGTTCATATCCGGGATATACAATAATCTAGCCGTTTCCGTGGTTCATCATATTGGAGCCTCAAGATGGAAAATATGAAATACATCCTGGTCACTGGCGGCGTCATCAGCGGCGTGGGAAAAGGTGTAATAGCCTCCTCGTTCGGAACCCTCCTTAAATCCTGTGGCCTGAGTGTGACATCGATAAAGATCGACCCCTATATCAATATAGATGCTGGAACCTTTTCACCTTATGAGCATGGTGAGTTCTCAAGTTCATTTGTATTATAGACGGAGTATATAATATGTATGCTCACGACATTAGGGAAATGCCTGTATTTATTTTGGCAAATTTTCAATATTTCGTGCAAGCTGTATAAGAATAAGTGATTGTGTGTGTGTGACGTTTCAGTGTATCGTTTAGTTCTTGCAAGTATGTGCAATTATTGTTGTAAGTTGCAAGATGTGGATTTTGTTGTTGCCAAAGGTCACACGACTTGTTGTAACCACATGGCGCGAACGAGAGAGTAAAGTGTCAGTGTTACCATGCGGTGCTATATACATTCTCCCGCCAAAAGAACCTAAACAAAAACAAAATATAAATAACACATCATAGGATAAACTATAAATAATAATAAATGCAGAAAACAACAAAGAGCACACTTTCACTTTGATAAGTAAACAAAACAAGTTAAAACTTCATATAAGAATGGTGTTACTGGTGTCTGGTGGTTTAAGTAAGCATCGATACTCTGTTTATTTTTCCGGTTCTTCAAAACTCTTAAACCAAATTCAAACCAAGTATGCATGGAATTTTGGTTTAATTTTGGATAAAAGTTTTTTTAGGTATCGGAAAATTAGGTTTTTACTTTAATATTTTGTTAAAATGTTCGTAAATATTTATTTTACTTATCGAAGTAAAATTCAGTTATTTAGTGTATCCTATCATCTAATATTTTTCTTGAAGTGTTTGAATGAATGCTATAGTGGCGTGTTAACTTTTTTGCAATGAGAGTGCGAAAGAGATGACTAGATATACCTGCCTGTCAGCTGTTTTCTTGCCCACTCTTTCTCTCTCTCTTTGCCTTTCTCTCTCTTAACACAAACAACAAGTAAACGCACGTGTTTTTAAACAATTATGGTTTGTTTATCAACAAATCAACTAGAGAGCGGAGCCATCAAGAAGGGAAATGACGAATGTACATGTGAAATGAAAAATTCTCCAAGTGACTTGCTGAAAACGTGGAGACTGTGTTTTGGAAGCACATTTTCGATGCGAGTTATAAAAAGGGGGATTCACCTGTTGTGTACGGAACTTAAAGAACATATCGATTTATAGTTTGTCGATTAGGTGTACATTGTACAAACTTTGTTTTTGTGCATTGAAAAGCTTATATTCTTAACTTCACTCTTTGTTCCTCTTTGGGGCTTTCTTTTTGTAGCTTGACGTTGAAAATTCACGTTTTTTTTGCTTCTCTTTGTATTACATTTACTTTGCTTTGCCCGGTGTTTTTTATTTTTGGGAAAGAATATTAAAACGGTTTACCGGCGAGTTTTCAACCACTTAGAAATGATCCGGTGGGATTAGCGAATTTCCCGCGACTGGCTCGACGATTTCGTGTCATTAAAAGTCAGCTGCTTATCTTTCGCTGCCAATATGCACTTGCTTGCATGTGTGCACATATACGTATATAATAAAACTGTTTACGTGAACCACAGCAGAACTACAGACACTGGCGATCCGAACTATACTGAACTCAAATATGATTCGAAGCACGTATCATTTTCATGAACTCTCATTTTTATTTTTTGTCTCAGAATATTGTTTATTTGTGCCTTCGTCTTCCCGATCAGTTTTCTCACTCGTTCGTTCTCATTCACTCTCTGCCCACTATGTCTCCCAACAAAAGGAACAATCCCGACCAAAATGACAATAACAACGATAAATGAATAAACGGTAGCAGCGATACTCACACAAATTTATTTATGCAATGTGCCAATGCAATTATCCAGCTTGTTTGTGAGGTGCCCGGGTCGTACGTATGTGTATTTGATATCTGACACACCGATGACCTGCACAAATTTTAGGGCTGGTCTACACGGGTGTAATGCGTGTGTATCTTAAGTAACGGAAGAAAATAAACGAATTCTCAAACTTTGATGGGTAAGGGTTAGCTTGGGTTTTGCAGAGATATCGTTATAGCTGAATGTGTCCAAGGATGCACTGACTGTTTTAAAGTGTATACGTGACTGGATAGATCTCAACGCAAGGTTTTAATCAGGGGTGCCAACTTTTACTTTTCAACAGTAGAAACGCACATCTTGTGACTGTGAATTTTGCTCACCTTATCAATTATGATTCACTTTAGGTAGTGTAACAGGCCCTTGCGACTTCGATGAGTTGAAATAGTCCACCTCCCTCTGGCAAACCCTCCCATCACCACCTTCATCACCCCCCTTCATAAGGGATTACTGTCTGCCGCCTGTCATTTGCATTTTTGCGCCCAGCTTCACTTTTTGGGGGTCGAATTGCACCAAATGCAATTCTCCTCATTTGTTTGTGTTGGTGTGTTGCTGCTGTTTCTGCTCGCTGCCAACGTTAACGCCAGCGTCGACTGCGACTGCGGCACATGCGTGTGCTTCATTTGTTTTGCGTTAATTTCGGTAGTGTGAGTGTGAGTGGGTGCTTGCGAGTGTGTGTGTATGAGGGGGTGATGGCGGGGGTAATATGCGGAGTGGGAAATGGCAAGGGTCGCCATATTGGCCGCTGCGGCGTTCCATCTTTTGAGGGTGTCTTCTTCTAGCTGTAGAGTGCTTTTGTTGCTTTGTTGTTGCCCGGGCTTTTTGCATGTACTTTGCGCTCCGTCATGCTCACCGCTCCCTCCCTTTACCATCGCCCTCCGCTCCATCGGTCACATTAGCGTTTTTAGCCATAAAAGAGCCAAGTTCCTCTCCGCACTTCTCCAATTCCTCCTCCTAGTCCTCCTCTTTTCGCTCTTCTGTCTGCCCATTTGGTTGTGTGGCCGTCATCGGCGCGTCAACATCGTTAGCAGCTGTTGCTCTTTGCCTGTGCGCCATTAACTGCCGCCCCTCCCCGCCCCCCTTGCACACCGGGCCACTCCCCCCCTCCGCTTTATTCCATCTCCTTTTTGGCCTGCATTTGCTTTGTTGCTGGATTTCTGCTTGCGCATTCGTTACGCTCACGTTCGCGACGACAATAATGCTTGGGCCTCTGCTGCTGCTGTTGCCTAGTTGTTGTTTTTGGTTTTGCTGCCACCTCTGACTGCTCCTCTTCCTCTTTTTTATAACTCACGCTTCTGCTCTGCCTTGTGCGTATGCTGCCACATACAGTAGTAGCCCGCTAGGATTGATAATTTATAAAGTGTAATATAGGTGTATGTACGAAATGGAAAGCGTGAGTTATAACATTTGTTTGAGCCTTGTTGTATTTCTTTTTTTCTTCTGGATTTCCTACCACATACAGTAGTTATCTAGTAAGAAGGTCAAGCCAAAACTGGCACACGTTATCGATTTCATTCCAAAAGTGTGAAATATATCATTCATTTGCTTGACCCTCTTTATTCTTTCTTCTCATTTGGATGTGCTGCCAAATACGATTACAACTCGCAATAAAAGACGCAAAGAATTAAAATTGCCAAAAATTCCCATACCATCCATATTTCTGTTAACAATTTTTTGTATTATAAAATATATATTGAATAATAATTAAGTGTAATGCTCTTTTAATAGCATTTATTAAGTAGAATAAGAATATCGAATCTCCACTGTATTCATATACATATGGCCAGCGTGTGCGAGCTTTGTACGTGTGTGTGTGTATTGGTGTGCAAAAATTAAATGGAAAATACCATTTCGCTGTGGCGGCTCTCCAACTCTCCAGCTCGCCAGCAGGATGTGACCGTTGCTACGCGTTTCTGGCGTCTGAGGTTGAGTGGCTGCCTCCCACCGACTCGCCCCCTCATTTGTTGCCACACGCACACGCTTACATACACACACAGATAATACAGTTTGCTGATGGGCCCGCACGTGTCGGTGTGTGCGTGTGTGTTCTATGGCTTCATAAGCTTCAATCTTCTTCGTCGTCTGGTCAAAAGTTTGCCCACTTCCCATAACTTTAAGCATAGCTTATGGATCGCTTTAAGTAATTACATTGGGCAGAAGTTTCGGAATACAGTAGCAGTTTGCCAAATTAGCTTTCCCATCTGTTTTAGGAATCTTAGCTGTGCCTTAGCTTAAGACTCTTAAGTGAAATATATAGGCAAAAGTGTAGTTGACTGGACAGTCAACTGGTACTGGTATCCTAGTATTTTATTCCATCAAAATACCAAGCGGATTTATATTGTCCTTCGTTTTGGTTGACAAAAGTTTGGAATTAATATGTTATAAAAACCTTTTCCATTTCATTGATATTATTAATAATATATTTTTGGTTGAAGCAGACTTATTTTCTTTCTTTTAACCGGGTAAAGAAATTGCATCCCCAGTTAAGATGAAGATAAGATACGATTATATAAGATAAGGTAGGCGTTATTGGGGATCATTATTTAATTGTAAGAAATATTCAATTCGCAAATTCTTAACGGCTGCACAATCGCACTTGCCCCTTATAATATAGCGTTATATTACATTTTCGCTGCTTTCCACCTCCGTTTTTCCACCCAAACGCCACCCACCTCACACTTACGGTGTCTGAGCGACAGGCGCCAGAAGAAGAGGAAGAGTGATGAGAGGAGGGGATAGAAGAAGAGTAGAGAAGAGGAAGTGGGAAGAGGAGAACGAAGTGAGAAGAGGAAGAGCGGTGGCCGTGGAGCCACAGCCAAATTCACATCGATTCGCTTTGCCCGGCGTTTGTTGCACCGCCCCCGTTGCTTCTGCTGCTGCCGCTGGTGCGCTGCTGCCTCCTGTCGCGTGATTTTAACGAGCCTCCTCTCTCCCGCAACCGCCCCCTCTTGTCCCTTCCTCTCTTCATGGTTTATGCTTTTCGCTCGCTAGCTCGCTCGCTTCCGCGCGTTGATTGTTGTTGGCTGTGTGAGCGCATGCAAGTAGGCAGGAAGAGAGAAGGAAGGAAAGAGGAGCTGGAGGAGAGCAGGCCACCGGCTCCACCTCACACAGACAGCACGGCTGGCTCTCTCTCGCATGTGTTTGTGTGGCTATGCGGCTATGGGTGTGCTATGAGTGTATTGGTGTGCGTGTGCTGGATAGCCGGCAATAATATGCCCAAAAGCAGCAAAAGCAAAAGCAACAACAAAGGGGAGCCAGCAGCGAGCAGAGCGAAGCAAATGGCGGCGGCCGTTTTTAGCGTTTGTGCGCGCTTCTCCACCCCCCTTCCTATCCATTGCACACATATACATTATATATGTATGTATGTATGTGTCGCGCCGGCAAAAGCAAAAGCAAAAGCTTGTGGCGTGGCTTTGGCTCTCGCCTGAAACTGAACTTAACTGCCAGCCTGCTGACTGCTCTGCTCTGCTCTCCCCCTCCTCCCCCTTGCTCCATACCAACCCCCCTGGCTTCGTCCCTCCATTTGGATAGCCTGCGCCTCCTCGCTGGCGTTTTTTGCGTTTCAGTGTGCGCTTCTCATGCCCTCACTTCTGAGGGTATTATGATTTGGATATGAGGTTAGGACATTCCAAATAAATTTGATAGAAAGTAAAGCGGATGTAATTATTATTAATTAACTAAAAGATTTATGAACTTATTCTTAAAGTTTTCTAATTTTAAAAAAACATGCATATAGAAAGATGCACTATGAAATTACTTATATTTGGCATTATCTCTTCTGTTCCGGCACTTTTACGGAGCTATATACTGTGCACTAGTTCTAATTCTTAATTAGATCTCATAAAAATGGTTCCGTTCGTACAATAACACGAAAAGATAAGAGTAATTTCCCACTACCCTCAAACAGTTTTATTTCTCTGCTGCACAATATCAAAGTCTGATATATATTAACTTTCATTTTCTAGCTTGTATTTGACAACGGTTGCATCGGGTACAAGCACCTTCATAAAATGATCTTAATTTGTTTAAGCTAAGTCAGGGATAAAAACTGTGATGATCAGGTTGTCTCTTTTGTGTGGGTTGGTAAAAAGTTGCATTTTAGATTGACTTCCAAATTAAACCGAAATTTCATTCAAGTGTATCAAATTTTCGTTCTCTCCTGGCCTTTAGCTTCCTTTAGTACTTTTTTTGTGTTTTTTTTTTATACATATTATTTTGCCTGCCTGCTGCTGCTGGTGGCTGTTGGCTGTTTGGCTGGCGTCGTTTCAGCTGCCGCCGCTAGTTGGCACGTTTTGTTGGCTGGCTGGTGGCTCTGGCTCTGGCTGGCTGGCTGGCTGACTGGCTGGCTCGCTTGGCTTTTGGGGGGCTTGTGGACCTGGCCGGGGATTGGGATTTGGAGTGGGAATGGGTATGGGAATGGGACTACTACAACTGCGACTGCGACTGGGCCTGGGTCTGAACACGGCCTGCTGGCTCATGGCTCATGGCTTTCGGCCTGATGGCGGATGGCTGCAGCCTGTCGCAGTGGCAAACAGCCGAAAGGGGCTGTGGGGGTATGGGGGAGAGGACAGAGCGGTCTGTGTGCGGCAGCGGTGGCGGCGCGTCAACGGCAGCAACAACAAGAACGCCGCCGCGACAGCAGCAGCGGCGCTTCGCACTTTGCTCTGCTGAATTTTCAATTTCAGTTGTAAGCTGACTGCAATCAGCAGTGGTTCGCATTTTGGTTCGGGAATTCGCAATTCCGCAATTCGGTTTTCTCGGTATTCGCGCTCGTGAAAACGCTCTCGGGACATAACGGAATATACGGGCCGGTGCGGCTGTGTCCGAGCGCACAAAAAACTTTTCGATTATTATAAACTTTGGCGGTAACACACACTCACATATACTAACACACGGCGACCACCCACTGATTCACCACCTAACCACCCACATGTACCGTTAGTTGCGACTCCTGGCGCGCTAATTTTTGCATATGTATGTGAGCGAGTGAAACACGCACATGTGTGTGTGTTTTATTGATTTTATAAAGCAACTATATAGTTTATTCCCTACCCCCTCTTTTTTTTTGAGCCCATCGGCACTCTTCCTTTGCTCTTCATTCCTGGGCTAATTTCAATGACAGTTGAAGCGAGAGGGGGCAGTGATATAAATTTATGTTTTGGTTGGGTGGAAGGGAGATAAAACATAGTTTGAAATGAAGGAGAGTATAAAAGTAGATTTACTGTTTAAAGAAAGGAAAGGAGATGGAGTATTTAAGGATGAAGCTGGGGAAAGAACTGAAATGCAAATCGAAAGCAAATGCGATGAAGTTTAAAGCGAACAAAGTGCGATAGAGACAAAGCGTTAAAGGTGCGTTAGAGGATGGAGTCAGAACACTTAACCCTTTAAAGACCAAGTCTTACGAATTTAAAAATATATTTGTCCTAAGATGGGTAACTATAAAAGATATTGATAGAATTTTGATTCCTTAAGCAATAATAATTGCAAGATAATTTCTCATCTTTCTTATCATTTTTCAAAATCTATTTAAAATTAAAAAATTATTAGTATAAAGCTGTTTTTCTTAACATTTTTTTCCATAAGCCTGAATAGCCATTTCAGGTATTAAGTTTACCAAATCTAAATAATTTTAAAGCTTCTGTATAAAACACAATTATTGCGTTTTTTACTTCACGGGTTAAGCGATAAGCGAGAAGGGAGTATCCAACCGATTTCCAGTGTTCACCATTCCAACTCGATCTATCAATACATTGCCTTTATGCAAGATCTGACCTATAAATAGTTGGTGAAGCTGAAGAGACCAACTCTTATCTGGTTTCGCTCACTACTGCCTGATAAGCAGCGGGAAATCCAAGTTGAGGAAATGATTTCCAAATCCCCACAGTGTTAGTCCACTTAGCTGCCAATTTCCTAGCAAAACAGCTTCCAGTTCAAAATGAATATGTGTGTGTGTTTGGGTGGATGAGAGGCCTCATAACTTTCCACGGCGGGTCGAAACTTGTGAAATTCTTGGCTACCAGCAGAGGAGCAGTAGTTACCCAGCTCCCAATCACCTCGACAGCAGCTGGGCCAGCATTTCAGCCCGCTTTTCCATCCCTCTTGGCCCTGCCCTCACCTAACAACAACAGCCGCAACAACAACAACAACAACAGCAACGAAACACACTGTCGCCGGCAGTTTTTGCCCATAAAAACGGCAACGGCAACGACGAAAACGAAAATTTAACGACTGCGCAACGTGACGCATTATTTGTCTGGCTTGGCTTGGCTTGGTCTTCTGGTCTCTTGTCTGCTATGCCTGCCGCCTGCTGCCTGCAGCAAAGCTATAGCTGCCGCCAGAAATTGCTTTTGCTCGCTGGAATACATACATACGTACATATGTATGTATGTTTGTATGTCTGCGTGTGATTGCGGCCTGTGCCTCTGCATCCGCTCCCCTTACACCGCCTCCTTTTGCCCCTGCCCCTCTCCCTCCCACAATCTAAAGTCTCCATACTCCACGCTGCCGTTTTTAGTATTTCGCACTCTGTGCACGGCAAACATTTTTGCATGACTGACTGAATGCCGCCGCCTGCGCCTGACTCACACACACATCCACATCAATGCACTGGGGCCAGACGATGCATTCGCAAAAAATGAGTATAGGTTAGGCGAAAATGTTTATTACTCGGGAAACTCTAGATTTTTTGGTCTTAAAAGTTTTAAATGTTGGGATTAATTTTCTTATGAGATGACTAGCTGATTTTATTATTATTAACCTCGTAATAGTATTTGTATTTAAAATATAATATCACAAACGAATTAAATTTGATTTCGGATTGAAAATTTTTGCCAAGTGTATCTACCGCAATGAGTTGGGGAAGGGGTACGGGGACAGTCAGAGGCAGCGGAACCGGGAGCGTTAGCGGGATGGGAAGCGGGAGTATTGAGCAGGCAGGCTCGTGGAGTAACCGTTGGCTGGTCTTGGTCTCTCGGTCGTCGCTCGTCTGTCTCTGTTTCTCCCTCTCTATATCTCCCACTTTGTTGCTGGCTTGGCCTGGCGTGTTTATAATTTGATTTCGCTGCTTCTTTCCTGCCTCGTCTTCTTCATCTAGCTGGTTGAAAGCAGAAGGGGGAGCGAGGAAGATGGACTGAACGGACGATGGGGAGCAGAGCAGAGCAAAGCGAGCAGCGCAGAGCGGCATTTCCTGTCGCCCAGCTCGTTTTTGGGCCTAGGCCTAACGAAGGAATCTTAATGAAGTTATTGTGTTAACAGTTTGAGGGGCATTGGCTGGGGCTGCTCATTGATGGTCACGGATCGCAGCTAACTTGTGGGTGGAAAAGGGATGGCTATAGTGAGTGACCAAAAAGCCTAATGCTCTTTATTTCAACCGTTTCTCTCAGTGAATTTGGTTAGTAGTGTGCGTGTGTGTGCTTGCCGTTTGAGCATGCATTTGGCATTCACCGTTAGCCGGCGGACAAGTGAAACAGCAGGAGCTACCCATTAAACAAAGTGCACGCGTGAAACAAAGACAAAATAACGAATAAAAAAAAACTCCACTCACACGTTCGAGCGCGCTAAGATGGCGCCAAAAAAGTCCACCATTGTGCTCAATGTGGAGCAGTTTATTCACGACATTGAGGAGCGTCCGGCCATCTGGAACCGCAACTTCCACTGCAACAAGGCCTTCCTCGAGCAGATGTGGGACGAGTTGAGCGGGGCGCATAAGCTGCCGAGTAAGTAGAGCATACGGCAAAAAAGGAGTTCCCTCAGTGTTGTCGACTTAAAGTTAAACTGTAACTATTTTACAGAGCCAAAAAGTAAAAAGTTGAATCGAATTTTCAGTGTCAAAAAACGGTTTTTCAACGAGATAAATTTTAATACAATTTTTTTTTATATTAAAAAGTTTAGTTTTGGAAGCCATTTCCGTATCCTTAGCTTATACATATTTTAAAAACTGTAAGCATTAGGCAGTTTCGTTTTGATATTTAAAATTGTACACCCATAACATACTATGGAATAACTTACGGCAAAATAACAGTTAAGATCCAGCGTAAAGTAGCTAAACGAAATATTAAGTTTCCGGTTCTAATCAGATTTGGCGAATAACTAGCAAAGTTGGCAGCACTGACAATGTCTCCAAACATGAAACAAAGAAGATTCTCTATCGTTATCCCACTCTCTCTCCCAGAGATCGTGCTCAAGGCCAAGTGGAAGGGGCTGCGAGACAATTTTCGAGTGGAGTACAAAAGGATACCTCGAGCGGATAACGGTGATTTTATGGTAGATCCAGCAACCTTTGAGTCCAAATGGCTGCACTATTATGCATTGTTGTTTCTAAGTGAGTTTATAGGAGTTATTTAATAAAGGATTGTATTTAATAAAGTTTTTAATCTATCAGCTGATCACATGCGTCACCGTTTGCCAAAGAACGAGCAGGATCAGTCATTCTACTTTAACCAGCAGAGCGAGGATTGCGAAAAGACAGTGGTGGAACCGGATTTAACCAACGGTTTGATACGTCGCCTTCAAGACAGCGACGAGGATTACGACGAGGAGGATTTGGAGGCGGAGGCGGACGGAGAGGCTAGCGAGGCCACCATGGAGGAGGCAATGCCCACACCGCCGGCTGCTCATCAAATGAACCAAGTGAGCACCACACCACTGGCCACAGGAGCTTTGAGAGCACAAGAGGAGGCACATCAGCACGCTTTGATCAAGGCAGGATTACTTCGAGCCCAGTTGATGGAACTAGAAAAGGAGGCCGAGGATTTAAGCAAAAAACCACCGCCATCGCAACAACAACAACAGCACTCTCCAGCGGCTCCGTTACTTCAGATGCTGGTGGAACCACCAGCTGCTCACTGTTCTCCACCTCCAGTGGTGACTACCACATCCGCACAAGTACAACAACCAGGATCAGCAGCTGTATTGGCGCCGGCAACCACTACATCCGCATCATCTGTATCCTCCAATGGAGCACCAATGTGTGGCAAGAGATCTGTGTCACCCCCGCCATTGTACAACAAAGCACACCATCCGCTGGCCACCCTGGCAGCAGCTCACCATGCGGCCAAAGAAAGAAATGAAGACTTCGGAGCCTCCTCCGCTGTGGGAGGAAATGGAGATCATTTAAGCTTCACTCAACACTCCTATGCCAATGGACTGATACCCGCCCTTAAGTTGAAGCGACCGCGGCTCTCTGAGGATAGTAACTTCAATGGATCCTCGACAATGGATGCTCCACTAGTGCCAGAGGACGATGACTACCACTACTTGCTAAGCCTGCATCCGTACATGAAGCAATTGACTGCAGCGCAGAAGCTTCGCATACGCACCAAGATACAAAAACTCATATTTAAGGAGCTCTACAAGGAGGATCTCGAGGAGTCCAAGTAGTGGAACAGCTCAGAAAGCCTAGATTAAGCCCAAGACTGTACATACGCCCTGTAGACTAGACTATAAGCATTATACTTAGTTTGTGTCCATGCCATGCTACTTGATTGATTTCTAGTTGAGCGTCACTCCAAGGAAAGCTGGGAGTGCGCCATTTACGCCTAAGCACAAATACATTGAAATAAAAATGTAATATTAAAAACAGTTTTCTATTAATTTCCACCAGGGGGGAAGAAAGCCTAAATTCTTGAATCTCTTAAAAATTGTTTTATTTTATTCTTAGGTGAAGTTTACGTTTTGGACGATGGCGCTGAGGTCGATCTGGATTTAGGAAACTATGAACGATTTCTCGATGTCACTCTGCATCGGGACAACAACATAACCACGGGCAAGATCTACAAGTTGGTCATTGAAAAGGAACGAACTGGAGAGTACTTGGGAAAAACCGTTCAAGGTGGGTAATTAATGATAAGATCCATCTTGTACGTAATATAAATATTCGAATAGCCATTAATTTTAACTATTTTCCTCACAGTTGTCCCACATATCACGGATGCCATCCAGGAGTGGGTGGAGCGCGTGGCCAAGACGCCTGTCCAAGGATCCACGAAGCCACAGGTGTGCGTTGTAGAATTGGGTGGAACCATTGGCGATATTGAGGGCATGCCTTTCGTGGAAGCCTTCCGTCAGTTTCAGTTTCGCGTTAAGAGAGAGAACTTCTGTTTGGCCCATGTGTCGTTGGTTCCATTGCCCAAGGCCACTGGAGAACCAAAGACGAAGCCCACTCAGAGTTCGGTAAGAGAACTTAGAGGATGTGGTCTGAGTCCCGATTTGATTGTCTGCCGTTCGGAGAAACCCATTGGACTAGAGGTCAAGGAGAAGATCAGTAATTTCTGTCATGTGGGCCCGGATCAGGTTATATGCATCCACGATTTGAACTCAATTTACCATGTTCCGCTGCTGATGGAGCAGAATGGAGTTATTGAATATCTCAATGAGCGACTGCAACTTAATATTAACATGAGCAAGAGGACCAAGTAAGTTAATATTACTATGAAAATCTGGAATATATATTTACTAACCACTTTCGTTTTGCTTATTTCAGATGTCTACAGCAGTGGCGTGACTTGGCCCGCCGCACAGAGACTGTTCGTCGCGAAGTTTGCATCGCAGTTGTTGGCAAGTACACAAAGTTCGCGGATTCCTACGCCTCCGTGGTGAAAGCCCTGCAACATGCCGCCCTGGCTGTAAATCGTAAACTGGAACTGGTCTTTATCGAATCGTGCCAGCTAGAGGAGGAGACTATGAAGACGGAGCCGAGCAAGTACCACAAGGAGTGGCAGAAGCTGTGCGAAAGCGATGGTATCCTAGTGCCCGGCGGATTTGGTTCCCGTGGCATGGAAGGCAAAATTCGGGCATGTCAATGGGCGCGATTGAATAAAAAGCCATTGCTTGGCATCTGTTTGGGTCTACAAGCTGCTGTGATTGAATTTGCCCGAAACGTATTGGGTCTTAAAGATGCCAACACTACTGAAATCGACCCGAATACAGCCAACGCTTTGGTCATCGATATGCCCGAGCATCATACTGGTCAATTGGGTGGCACTATGCGTTTGGGAAAACGAACTACGGTGTTCGCCGATGGCCCGAGTGTCATACGTCAGCTGTATGGCAGTCCAAAAACCGTGGAGGAACGTCATCGGCATCGTTATGAAGTTAATCCGAAATATGTTCCCCGACTGGAAGAGCACGGCATGCGTTTTGTAGGCACCGACGAAGACAAGACCAGGATGGAAATCATAGAACTCAGTGATCATCCTTATTTCGTAGCCACTCAATATCATCCGGAATACTTGTCGCGACCATTAAAGCCCTCGCCTCCTTTCCTTGGCTTGATCCTGGCCTCCGTGGATCGGTTGCCCCAATATATTCAGCGTGGTTGCCGACTGTCGCCCAGGCAGCTATCCGATGCCTCTTCGGATGAGGAAGAGAATGTTGTGGGGTTGGCTAGTGCAACAAGTTCCTTGAGGTCCTTAAAGATTAGCGCAACACCTAAAAATGGAGTTTCTAATGGCTGCAATGGTAGCACCAGCACTTCCGACGGCGAAGGAGCCTGTGGAGGCGTTGATCTTACCAATGGCCATTGAATGAATTAATGAACGAATCCTTACCCCTTGGACGTGTTTATGATAAGTTTTGATCCTGTTATCGCACTTTGCAAAAGATTGTACTGACAGGAGCATAAATGAATGTGCGGTGATGTCGGTTTAAACATTTTTTATGTTTTTTTGAAGTGACATAAAGTAATCCTTATGTATGATGAAGATTCTCTTGCTTTAGGATTTTCTTTGTCCTATTTAAAACTGCTTCCAAAAGTTATAGTTTCCAAAGTGGAAACATCTTTAAAATGAAAAGCTGTAATACTATTTATTTTCATGTGTTTTAAAATAAAACACAATTTTTATTTCAAAAGTTGAAATAATTTATTTTTAAGTTATGGTTTAAGGTTATAGGAAAGATTTTTTAGTTTGTTATTAATTGGAAATGTTTTGGACTTTATTTCAGAAATAACTATAAGGTTACTTTATGTCCTTGCGATTTGTCAATTATTTAAAATAGTTTATTATCGACATACTTTTGTGTGAATAGCCTCGCGTGTGTCTTCTGATAAATATGAAAATAGTTTGTAATCTCCACTAATTACAGCAAAGAGTTAGCTTATGACTTGCTTAAATTCTGATGGTTAAGTTCTTATTGTCTGTAATCTAAACTATATTTAAAGGACACAAAAAAAAAAAAAAATAACGCTATTACCTTAATCATATATATTTTTAGATAAACAATGAAATAATTAAAAATATTTGTGTTTTAATTTTAATTTTGTTGGCGGTTGGCACAGTGTTGGAAAAATGTCGGGGGAAAGTGTTTCTCTTTTGGTTGTATTTGTAAAGGAAATTGATTTACTTTGGCGCGCAGTTTTCAAACTTAAATTGAAATGATAATCATTTCTTTATAAAAAACTTTAACTTTTATCAAATATTTTCTAACCTGAATTCCAAAAATCATTATTTTATTCATTTTTGATTTTTTGGATCTAATAATTTACTAATATAGTTATCTAGTCTCTCGGCGGTCACAATGTTTGATTTACCGAAATTGTTTTTGCATTGACAAGTTCCTTGAAACTAAAATTTTGTTATCTTAGTCGAAATACAATTGTTTTATAAATAAACTAAAGCTTTTTGTCACCACGAAAAGTGTCAACTAAATTTTGGAAACTTGATGGCGTCCAAGCAAGTGTTTTCTATTTTTAATGACAGGCACATCAATTCGAAAGTGTTATTAACTTTTTGTTAACTTAACTTTTCTTATCATTCCACTTTTAGTAAATTTATTGATTTATTTTTTAAGTTCTTTTCAAGATGTTACTTACAAAAGTTACTTAAAAAGTTTAATTTTTTTAAAATGATAAATATTATATACACTGTAAAAAATGTATACCGCAAATTTACAAAGGGTTTTCGTAATTATTTTTTTTTGTTCCCTCATTGACAATAAAATTTCAAAAAGAGATGCAGAGAGTGAGCTTTTAGTGTAATTTTCTGCTTGTTGACGCAATTAGTAGGCAGAGAATTAATCAAACGCTGGTACTCGAGAATAATAATGGACGCTAACTCGTACGGATTCAGATTCAGAGTCGGATGCGGATTCAGATTGAGATTTAGATACCGGCTGGCGTTGTCAGACATCGGCCCGTGTCCACAACAAAAATAGACAGGGCATACATTTGGGCTTGCGTCTGCTGCGATGAGAAGCCGATGGCTGTTGGCCAATTGAATTGAGGCAGATCGCAGATCTCCGACCAAGAACAATGCGCATTCTTCATTGTACGTTCAATTGAGTAACGTGGTCTAGCTAATTTCGCACTCGAAATAACTGAAAAACCCCTAATAAAAATCATCATGAATCATTCGGGGGTCCACAAAAAGAAGCCAAGGATTCGGAATCGTCAGAGGAACAAGATTAACCAGGTGCATCAAGAGCAACAGGAATCGCTGGATGGCAATGCTATCCCGGTGAAGACAGCTACCAAAAGAGATGACTGTCAAGTGGAAAACCAGCTTACAAGTGCCCGTACTCAGGCTAAAAGTCCTCCAAAAAGTGGAAAGTCACAGGTGGAAAATTCAAGCAAGAAAGATCAGGCGGAAAACCCACAAGAGAATGAAACCATCAGGCTAATACAGCAATTGTTACGTAGAAAATTATTGGCCAAAAATAATTCTAGCCCAACTAGTGAAGTGAAATCAGTTAATGAACAACCTAAAATAGTTACCCAACCAAAGGAAATCAAAGCTGAAGAAAAGAAACCAAAGATTTCCAGTGCTTCAGAAGCTCCTAAAATTTCTGCAGAATCTAAGACATCAGGAAAACCTTCAAGGGATACGAAGGCAGATGAAATGGAAGATCTGCTTAAATGTCTGGGAAGCAAATTGCAAATGGGTTGGTAATGTTTATATATTACTAAAATTATATTAATAATTTAATCACACCGAAAAGGAGCTGGAGAATCCCCAGCAGCGGCGCTTATCAGCAATCTTGGAAAGCTTTTCAGCCAAGCGCCGCCAAGCGATGTAGAGTCATCCGATGAAGAAGCAGAGGAGTATGTGGAGTACATCTATAAGCCAAGGCAATACTTTATGGCCTCTTTGTGTAATGTAGGTATATTGCAATTCCTGAATTAGATCTCCGTTCTCAGGGTCAATGATTTACTTTTGATCCTAATGAATTTCACTAATCTACAGTTCTGTAAGTCGGATCTGTGTGGCCAAAATCGGATACCATGTTCCCGTTGCGGCCTGAGCTATTACTGCAGCGGTGGCCACATGAAAGACGACCAGGAGCACCGGCAGCTGTGCTACGCTCTGCGACAAACGGTTGACCGAAATGGTAAGCGCTTGTCAGCGAAACATAAATCACACTAATTGCTAATTATCGGTGGGTGGATGCAGGTCACGAGATGTTCTACAAGTGCGGCGACTTCAGTGGCGAGCAGTTCCGTTCCTTTCGGATCGTGTGCATTCGCCAGGTGGAGAAGGAGATAAATCGACAGCTCTCCGCCACGGAACAGGAATTGCTTCTCTTTCCGATGATCTGTGGCGAGTCCAAGTGCCGGGAGCATCGCTTCAAGCGTTTGTCCATATGTGGAGGATGTGGCGAGGTGGCATTCTGTAAAGATAAACCGGAGCATCGCAGCAAGGAGCATGCCAAGTGGTGTGGCGCCTATCAACTTTTCAAGGCTTTTATCATGTTTCAGGCGAAATTCGGAAGACTTGAGCCCTCACTGCCCAATAAGGTTCTTAGAGAGCTGCCCATGGCTTGCTCCAACACCAAGCAGATGATGAAGAAACTTAATTTCAGTAAGTATTTATTCTATAAAAAAAATAATTTAAAATGTTTATATTTTACGTTTCTTATAGATGTTACTAATGAGTGCGAGTACGCAGCGCTGACCCAGGTATCCACAGGCCCATTGACGGCCTGGTTTGCCCTGAAGCTCTGCGAGCGTGTAAGGAACTGCGAGGAGTTGACTCTTCATTTGATTGGAGCAGAGATTGAATTCGAGGTGGATATATTACAAAAGTGGGAGCTCTTCCTGCTTCACATAATGCCAAATGTGAAGACCCTAAATGTGGTCTTCATTGGTCCGGAACTTAATCCCAATAATATATCTTTCGAACAGCTAAAGAAAATCAAGTGAGTTGGAATATTTTTATTTCATATAAATTAACAAAATTAAAACTAATAATTATTTTTAGGTGCTGCCGTTTGTGTAGGAAAACCCAGAGAACTGTGAATTATCATTTTGAGAATGGATTGTATCATGATTACTGCAAAGAACAGCATTTTCTTCAGCCGAATTTGGGTAAGATTTCAGATTTTATGAAATTTATATTTAACATATTAAATGACTTACTTACACCCTTCAATAGTTTGCTTTTTCAACTCTGGCCTTTATCGATCAACTGGATTTGCACTGGAGGATACTTGGCCAGATACCATTCAGGCTGCACTGAACCTCAAGTGCCCCATTGTGGTGACCTCTTATACGAAGTACGAGGCTCCTCTAGACATGGTGCACTTCATCAATCAATCGAATCGCCATTTAAATGTCGTTTTGCCACCGACCACAAATCCATTTTCTTCCGAGAAGCCAGAACGCAATTTCATATCAGACAATGAAGCCCCTTTTATGTTTAAGAACTTTTATTGTTTCGTTGTGGAGTAATTGGTCGACCAATAAAAGAGTGGTTGGGTTTTAAATTTAATAATAATTTTAAGTTTTTTGATTTCGATAAAAGTGAGTAAATATGTTTTGAAAAATCAGACATGTAGAAGCACGTAAAACATTGTGTAAAATGCGTAAGATAAGATGTAAGCAACAAGGTATATTGTTACGTTGCATTACGTTATACCGTTATAAAGTTAACATATATCATGATTTTTAAAGACACTTACAGCTTATTTGAAAGACTGCGTATAACTATTTAAAAATACATCATACTAATGATAACGCTAACTACAAAAAAATATATAAACTAATAAAATTACAATTTGATTTAAATTTTAGTTTTAGCCAAGACTTCAACCATTTCAAATTGTATTTATAGAAAAAAGGGTATTTTTAAGCGATAGCATCACGGTCACACTGTTTCCATTTGTTTGACTCTTGGCGCATTACAATTTTTTTATTGCGTGTTAGAAAGTTTTAAAGGGAATATTAGTGCTCTTCCATGAATATTAACGATGGTGACTTTAAGGATCTACGATGCAAACTGGACATCATGGGTTTTACCCAGACACTGCCAGTTTTGGCCATTCCACTGGTTCAGGTAATGTAAATCTTTGGCTTTATTTAGATTTTTTACCATAACATTTTGTTTTTTTCATATTGCAGGCCATTTTTGGTGACCTGATCAAGACCACAGAATGTCTGAGGGATACGAAAAAGAAGGTGGCCGAGTTGCTGGAGGTGGGTGCACAATTAGGGGTTTAATTTTAACACACTGTATATTCTCTTGCCAATGAAGGGTACTTCAATTTTGACCAGTACCTAGCAATGACATTCTAATAGACCTCATAAAGGTTGTCTATATGATCATAATATTAAAAATTTGATCACTTATCATATTATTTCTATGTGAAATTTCCATATAAAGAAATCAAGAATATTAGTTGATTCGATCATATATTTGTTAATAACTGGAAGGATATATTCCGATCGGCTTGTTAAAAGTTCACTTCCTATATCATTTGTTGTGCTTTAATTGGTTGCTAAGCAATCCTTTCGTTGTGGCTTTCGTTTTGACAGGAAAAGACCTGTTGGGAGCTGGGTGTCGAACCATACAAGTGCGATAATTCTCGCCTGCTAGCCGAGTGTAATGAACTCCATCTGCAGTTTCTAGGGGACAGGGAGGACTACGAGCTGCGCCTGTGCGGTAAGTCCAAATCGATTCTAATTTGATATTTAACTTAGTTAACTTAATAAACTTTTTAGAGTCCGAGCGAAAAATCCGAAATCTGGAAACGGACAAGCAGCACTTACAGAGTCACAATGATGGATTACAAAACCAGCTGGACGCTTTGCTCACGAAGCAGATGGTTTCATCCACAATGGTCAAAAAAGTCTCAAGCGGAACTAGCCGTCAAAGTAGGTCAAAAGTGCATACTAGAGCTTACAGCTTACATTTCACTATCTTTTCAATTCATTTTTATTTCCTATTCTATCTTTTTAGCCAAAGAAACCCTTTATAACTACAGTGCGCTCCGGCAATGTACTGCCAGCTGTACTTGGCAGCAGCACTTCAGTTCTTAAATGCACCAAATGCAATGCTGGAGTATTCCAAAAGACCACCACAACTACCAAGGATGGTGTAACTGTCACGCAAACAAGTGGCCAAGAGGAGCTTGATAAATTGCAGAACGATCTGACGACAGCCGGAGAACAGCTGGAGTTTTATAAGCGTAAAGTGGAAGCCAGGAATCGGGAGATTTGTCGTCTTAATGATATGTTAGCAGGAGGTCGCCCGCCGGCAGCCTTGGCCAAGGATTGCTGCTACAAGGAGGTGGGCACCCTCTCCCAAGACATCGATCTATTACAGCGCGAAAAGAGCGATTTGATGTTGCAGGTTCGGGATTTCCAGGACAAAATGCACGATGCCATGCAGCGGGCTCTGGACTGTGAAGAAGACAAAAGGAAACTTCAAACTCAACTGGAAGAGCTAAAGGAAGCTGCTTTGCAGGTAGAACAGCAAGCAAATGCGGAGATTGATGCCAAGGAGTTAGAGCTTAGACATCTGCAATTGGAACTTAGGAAGAAGGGCAAAGATTACAGACTTGCCGGTGGTTTTGCATCCAACCAAAGTGATAAGCACAATCTTAATGAACGCTTGAATGTTTTAACCCGTCGCGAAGAGGAACTGGAGTCTACAAATGAAAAGCACAAGAAAAAATTACAGAAAATGCAGGCCAAGATCTTAGAACTGCAAAAGGAGCTCAAGGATCAGAACCAACATACCACCGTCACCCTGGATGAAGAGAAGATACGCCTATCATCAGAGAGAGACTTCTTTCAGAAGGAGTATTTGCGTCTGTTGGGCAAAACAGGTTCTGAATCGGAAATCGCCTTCTTGCAGGCACAAATCAAATCCAAGGATGAGGAATTAAAGGCACTGCGATCTGAATTGTTCCCTGGTGGGAAGCTCCAGTTTTCCCCGCAGAAGAGCGTTCAGTATGAGACACTGCCACCGGCAACAGCTTCCTCGAGTACCTCCACTGCCATTAGCAACCGAAGTGACTGCGTCCAAGCCGCCATTACAAGGGTCGAGCGTGAACGGGACTGTGCCAGGTCCGAGCTGGAACGTGTACGCTGCGAGCGTGATACCTTGAGGGAGAAGCAACTGTGCACCGTTCAACTTCATGCCGAAGAGCTTCAGGGTCTTCGTGTGCGTAACGAAGAACTTAACGATCGCCTGCGGCAAATGGAGCGAGATAATCGGGATCTTAACTCAGCTCGTGTGCCAACGGAAACGAATTTGGTACTGCTCAAGGAAGATTTGGTTCAGATGAGGCAGCGTCTGTCCTCAATGCAAGCTGAAATCGATCAGCTGAAGACGGAAAATGGTCAAATAACGTAAGTAAGATTGAGATATTGGTTCTAGCTATCTTATTTTTATATAATTTTATGGACAGCATGCTAAACGATCAAAATGAACGCATCATTGCGGATTATCAGACTAAACTTTTGATGGCTGAACGCCAACGACAGTCTGCGGATGTGAGAGCAAGCACCTTGGACTCCAGTAGAGAATCCAATCGCAACGAGGTTACCCAACTTCGCACGGATATCGGAGCTTTGCGGCAGACCTATATATCATTGGAACATGAGAAGGATACATTACTGGTAGCTGTTCGACTGAATCTATTTTTCTACATTTTTTTTGTAATACTTATTAAACTAATTCCTTAGCACCAATTGGATAGCAAAACAGAGCGGGTTTATAAACTTGAATACGAGCTTAAGGATTGCAAGGAAAAGCGCAACGCATTGGAGCACAGTGTCAAGGACCTGGAGGATCAAGTGCGGTGAGTTTGGAATTGGTATTATAGGCTAATTGAAGCTTTTAAGCTTCTTGATCGGGTGTAAGCCTTAATCGATTTTCTCAGTATTATGAAGTTAAAATTTCCATTTAACGTAACTTACCACTTCGTTGCCCTATAAAAACGAATCAATTTATTATTTAATTTTAAAATTTTCTTAAATATTTCATTTTTCACAATGTTTTATTTGCCTTATCGGGAGTTCTCTTAAATACAACTCGTACATAAGTCGATGTAATACATTCATGGCACAATCTCTTCCTATAGAACACGTTAACCGAATATTTCTAAAAACCACCTAAAAGAGAACAAAATGGTTAATTGAATAACAAGTGATCGTATCGATCGAATAACACTCAGCATGCAACACAAAAACACAAAGAAATAGGTGAGAATATATAAAGTTAGGTAGGTGATTAGGCATGCGGAAGAGGAATAGGAGTCTTCACAACCAGACAGAGAATAGCTTGAAGATTTGGGGGATTTTAGGTGGCCCCACCAAAGTGCAGATCATTGAGGAACTTTGAGTTGATTCGCTCGTTGGTTAAATACCTCGCCAGACTGACACTCGGAGCGCTGCAGTTGCTCATGCCGCGTTGATCCGCCGTCTCCGAGGGCGTATAACCCGGTCGGCATACACACTTCGCCCTGCTGGCATGAGCCAAAATTGTGGTGCCATTTGTAGTTTGCGATTTCAGTGGTTCCAACCATTGACCCGCACCACAAGGTCCTCGGCTATACAATTTGTGGCACTGCCCATTGATCTCCACCATTCCGGGTGTGGATTCACATATATTCTGCTCCTTATCCGTTCCCTCTCCGGAGCACTGTTGATCCAGGTTGGTGAGGACACCGGAACAACCACACATTCCATTGTAGGAGATGCCATCGATGGATGGCCTGGCGGTGAAGTCAAAGATCACCACTTGATGCAGGGCACAGGGGCCTTGAGATCCAATCCTGTAGCAGGAATCCTCCGCTGGGAAGTACAGACGATTCTTGCCGCAGAAGTTGCGCACACAACTGGTCCCGTTGACCAGGAATTCGTTGGAGCCACAAGGACCCCTGGTGTAAAGCCTATAGCAGAGGCCATCGCTCCAGGGTACATAGCCCTCTTTGCACTGGCACTGTGCTCGAGGCAAAAGCTGAAGAGTGCTGTCAGTTGTCTCCTGGACATCGTCGGGTATGCGAAAGATGTGTCCCGGTGGACAGGGACCGGGAGTATCTAGAAAACAGGCGATCATTATACTAGAGAAAGATATACAGTTTCAATAACCCAATCCTACCCAGCTCGTAGCACATTTGGTGCGGAGCATGATAGTGCGGCAAGTGCCGCTGGCAGTCGCATCGACCGCCGGGCAAGAAGATGTGACCCGGCGTCGAGCAGGGTCCTTTGGTATAGTGTTCATAGCAGGACTCCTCTGCCGGATAATAAAACGAAGACAATTCACCCTCATCCTCGCAACGGCACTCGGCCAAACCGTCCTCATTGCGAACTAAGAGTTTGCCACGACTGCAAGGACCCTTGGCGTGCTTCGCATAGCACTTGTTGTCCTTCGGCCAGAAGATCATGTCCTCCGGACAATGTAGTGGCCTCTTGCAGGTTCCCCAACGGTTGCCAGATCTGAAAAAGGATTACTCATGAAATATTTTACAATCCTAAACAATCTTCAAAAGCAAGTTGCAAGTCTTGGTTATGATCAAGATGAGAAACCTAAATTAGAAGAAAAGTAGGCTATGTCAAAATTGCCTGGAGTAGACACAAAACAGAAACTATGTCGGACGAGTTTTTCTCAAAAGGAATAGGTCAACTCGGGACAGTAATGCCAACAGAATCAGCAGCAGAATCAGCTGGAGTTAACACCCCTCATTCTTCAATGGGCGATAATCGTGACATTTCGGATCTTAAACCGGAAACGGGAACAGAAACTGGGTCCAGCTCCAAGAGTAAGGACATAGATGCCTCTATAGATGGCTCACTATACGATTGCAACATTTGCCTGGATACAGCTCAAAATGCAGTGGTCAGCATGTGTGGTCATTTGTTTTGCTGGCCATGTCTGCATCGGTGGCTGATTACTCGGCCCAATCCAAAACTGTGTCCCGTTTGTAAATCTTCCGTGGATAGGGATAAAGTCATTCCAGTGTACGGACGAAATAATACACGTCAAGAGGATCCAAGGGATATAACACCACCGCGTCCCACTGGACATCGCACAGAACCGGATGCGGATGTGCATCCTATCTTTCGACTTCATCGTGGCTTTCACATGACCTTTGGAATCGGAGCTCCCTTTGGTTTCATATCATCAACTCTGAACTTGGGTGAGCCCAGAAATGTTGTTCCTAATCGCAACATAGCTCAGTTCCAGAACGAAGAAACCATGTCGAAGTTCTTTCTCTATATGGCTTTTGTGTTTATTGGCTGGCTACTTTTTACTTAGCAAGTTCTTAACTAAACAATATAATCAAAATCATTCTCCAAATGAAGTGGTAAAATTAATCAGAAGATGGTTACATTTCAAATTACGTTCAGTGGAGTTTTGATAATTTAGAGAATTAACTTTTGAAAGATACTCATTAATGTAATCAAACTAATAAATGTGAAGCTAAATCGATACCATTTACTCTGTGTGGTATTCATCTTTTTAGGCAAACTCTTTCACAATGTAATATAAAATCTATAAAAATACTTTTTATAAGTGCAGAAAGAATCAAACTGCATTCAACAGTTTATAAAAAATCAAGATTGTGAAAGTAAAACCAGATCTAGAATAAGTTATGTCAGCAGGCATGAGTACGTAGGTGTATGTTCTTGAGAAGTTTTCAATTGACTTTCGTTATTATTATAAAAACCAGATTTTGCTTTCATTATTGGATAAGTGCACTAGAACTTTCTCTAAAAGTATGAGAAATGTTAAAACCCGTATTTCGCAGTTGAAATCAAAAGTTGTTTTTAACTTTACTACCCATAAACTTTTAAGAAGTGAAAATGAGAACAAAACAGGGTCAAAAACCAAACTTAAACTCACCTCTTGATCTGATCCGGCATGGGTTGAAAGTACTCCTCGGCTTGGCAGGGTCCCCGTTCGTATAGCTTATAGCAGACATTATTGGTCAGCGGACTAAGTGCAGTTCCTGGTGGACAACGGCACTCAGCTGCTGGAAGATCTTTCCGTTTGGCGCTCACAGCTGTGGGACTAAGTTCCATAGTTTCTGGACATGGATAGCCAAGGGTAAAGATCTTAAAGCACTTCTTCAGAGGGGCCCAGTATAAAAGTTGCCAGCCACCTGACATGGTGGCGCATGGATTTTTAGCGGGATCACTCCATGGAGGTGGCACAATGCCAGCTGCCACCTGCTGTGAATTTTGGCCAGTGGTCAGTAGTAGAAGCAGGGAGGTGAGAATGGAGCTGCCCGCCTGCAGAGCAGCCCAGCAGATGAGCACTTTGCGACGTCTCATATTGGGTCTGAAATCAAAAATGATTGATTACAGTGAAGATTCCTTGAATATTTAGCTATTAAAATGAGAAATTGATCTTAGTTTTTGTTTAACAATAAACTAGAGATAAAATTGGTTGTATCTTTAGAACATTTTTAGCTTCTTTTAGTTAATATTTATATTTATATTCCAATAATCAAAGAGAAATCAAAAGCTGCTTTGTGTAAACCTAACAAATTGTTAACAAGAAAAGATAATATTGTTTGTACTTTGTGGGCTCATTATTAACCGATTTGTATAATCAATTAGATATGGCACTTTTCAGGGTCATTTAATTCGTTTTGTTTACTTTTCAAATGAAGCATTGGCGGCGTTGTGTATTAACAGATAAAACATTCCCAAACTTGGTCATTAAATTAAATTAATTTCGAGGTAGAGAAGATGGAAAATAATTATGATTTCGTGGGTGGAAGCTCTCATTAAACCAGATGATGGATGACTTTTCCATTATCGCGGCTGCTGTTAAAAAATCAATTCACCAGCTGCAGCGGAGGGCTTTAGAGCGGGTCCAATTCGAATTAGCCAACCCTTTGGGGCAACTGATTATCATGTTGGCCGGATAGCACCGCAAAAAAAAAACGGCCAAAAACCCGAAAACCAAACCAAAACACTGAAAACCAGTAAACGGTTCGCGCGCGGTTAACCATGACCCAAATACCCATTTATCTTGACTTCTTTTCGCCTCAGCCGCCGACCGGTGGTCAGAAATCTTCTGCTCTTTCAGCTGCTGGTCATAATCAAAGGCGGGGTTATGCAACCGGCAGCAGCAGCAGCAGCAGCATGGAGATGATGAAACATGTGGCAGCAACACGATGGCAACAGCCAGCGAAGCGATCACACGCTGCCGCTGGACACGAAAGGTGCCACACTCTTGGGCGGTATAAGTTGCGTGATTTGTGGCTTGGACCGTACTTAGACCGCTCTGCTAACCGCCGCTGCTGCTGCAACTGGTTTTTTTTTTTGTACTGCGGCTTACATCAAGCCGGTCGTCGGGGTCTACGTCAGCGTTTGATTCTGGCTTTTAGGGGATTCTCCGGCCCATTTACTTCATTTTCTTCACACGATTTTGCACCTTTCGTAAGCTCTTTCTGTGTTAACACACAAAACTGGATTTAATTTGATCACTTTTATATAAATCAATTAAGCCGCTCTGGTTGGTTTTTACCTTTTACATTCGTTGCTCTAGTTTATATCTTTGACTGGCTTATGAGGTTGTTGAGTTGATTTCTTCAGCTAAAACCCTTTTTCTTGGGATTTTAATAATTACACTTGAACTGGGGTTTAAATTTAATTTTACTATTCTGATTTTCTTGGTATTCTTTAGATTTATAGGCACAACCTCCCTACAAAGTTGGTTTTGTTTTCATGTTTTAATGGGAACTTTCTTAGCTTTCCTGGAACTGTCATGCTCCATTTACTTTTTCAATTCACGTAAGCGTTTGCCCACTTTTTGTTGGCTCATAAACTTGATTTATTTCGTTAGGTGTTATAAACCTAATTAATTTAATAAATGAGTTCAAAATTGCATGTGAAACCCTTATCAATTATAAACCTAAATGTCGGTAAAAATTTGTACCTTTTCTTTTTTTTCACACTTTTTAGTTTTTTTTCACGTTTTTGCCTTACTTTAGGTTTTTATTGCTTTATTTTTATTCCGGTTTTGCTTCTATTGTTGGGCCTATTGGTTAAATTCAAATTATATTTTATTGTGATATTTCATTTATTGTGAGTTTACAGCCGCTCATTTTGTTGCTGTCTCCACTTTTTATTACGAATTTTTGTGTTGATTTACAATCTTCATTCAGGTTATTAAACTTTAAAGGCTTAAAGTCATAGGCTAGGCTATAAATGCTATTGAAAAACGTTTATTGGAGAGTAAAGAGGTATAAGTTGTAAAGTATCTATATCTATTACGTTATTATGAAGACCTAAACAAGTTTGGTGATTCCGTTGATTTAATAAAAACCAGTGCAGATCCATTTTATTGATAAATTATTAGCTATACTTTATAATTTCCTTGTTTAAGAGTTGCCTGCTATTAACTAAGCTTGATAATTGCAAGCAATTTAATAACTTTTCCAATTTCAAAATCAAAATCTGTAATTAAACAAATTCTTTGGGTTTGAGTTATAAATTTGTCCGATATGATGTGAAATATATAGCCATTTGTGGTAAGAATCAGGAAGAAGTATACATTGCATCCATCTTCCTATTCTTAGGTTGGGTTTTTTTATGATATTTTTAATATTAAACCATCACTCATCACTAAAACAGGTAAAAACCCTGACTGTATCTTCTAACAATGGGTCTACCCAGAACTAAATTCGAGCAAATTTTCTTGGTTTTTTCTTTCACATTGTATTTATTCTGGCTTTCTTGGGATTATCCCGCCCCTCATTTGCGATCGCACCTTTTGCAAGTTGGTTGTTATAATGACCAAAAACAGGTTGTCTGTGTCGAGAGGGCTCAATTTGTTTTGATTTGGTTTCAGCAATCACGCACAATAACAAAAACACAGATATTCGCAACACTTTTAAATTGAGACGATTCCCTAGGACAGAACCGACAAGACTGACCGCCAACAAATATCAACGAAGCCAAGCGATCGCGGCGAACCGTTCGCTTGGGCAGGTAACAAACGTCTGAGCCATGTCTCTGAGCCATGCTCTTGCCTGGCTGACATCCGCTCTTTCCAAAGGTGAGACACAGAGCCCAGTTTTGTGTAAATGTGTTAACCAAATGTGTTTGGCCAAAAAGGTAACAACGAAATGTCAGTGGTTGTCTGAGTATCAGTCTACTCAGCCACTCTCTTAGCCATCTTAGCTCTGCGTCAGCGGCAGTGACGGGTATTTGAACTTTGTTTAGCCTTAATGACTGACTGACGGACAACGATGGATACGGCTATGGCGATGGCGATGGCGACGCCAACGGCGACTTTGACTGCCTCTGTTGACTGCCGTGTGTTCTTGAGCTTCTGGCCAAGTGCGGATGTATGTGGCTACGTGCCTGGCATCGGTAGTTAATGCTAGATACTCCCATCCACTTATGCACTGCAATTCATCTTGATCTTGATTTCAAATTGTTTTAATCTTGAATTATGAATATTTAAGATAGATATGATCTTGAACATAATTTTATATAATTTAATTTAATTTAATTTTTAACTTAGTTTTATATTTAATAGCTTCTTCTTTTTTTTCTAGAAATTCTTGTTTGCCTTTAGACAACTTTTTCTTCAGTGTCTCTGTCAACTGACCCCCTCTTTATGGCCATCGTAAGAGGGTCAGGTTCTAGCAGGCAGTGGCATTGATTGCTCTACGCCTTAGCATTGATTCCAATTGATTTCCCTTCATTCCCTTCCAGAAAACTGGCCAACAGGAACCGGCAACGCGATTCAGAACTGACAGAGACCTCGACGGAAAGTAAAACGCTGCGGCAGCAGATTGTGGCACTCAAAGCCAGCCGCGATGAGGCAATTGCAGAGAATCGGTAAGCAAAAAAGTCATTAGCGTGTTGAAGATATCATAGAACTGCTTCCGCGCTGGGGCAAATCTTTTTTTCCCCCCTGATCATTAGCGATTTTTTCTCTATTTATTATAATTTACCAATGTACTCATATCATTTTGTTGCCCCACAGCCGGATGATGGACAAATTGAGTGATGCCCAAGTAGAGGCCAGGACGTTGCAGAACAAGCTGGCCGACTCTGAAAAGCAGGTGATTAATATGAAACAGCAGCTGCATAAGTACGTCCAGGAGGTAAAGAAGGCTGAGGATCTGCTAACACAGAAGGTAAGTTTATTTCTAAGATTAGATGTTAAGTCCAAGTACTGGAGTCGGCATACAGGTGTCCTCTAAATTAAAGGAAAAGGAGCGTGACGAAATGCTGGATCACTATCAGTGTCTAACCCAAGACCAAGCAACGCTAGAGGGGAATAACCAAAGTCTGGAGTGCGAGGCCATCGAGTTCAGGTGAGATTAGATTAAATCAAATTTAGCTTAGTAACAGTATTTAATTTTGTCCAATTTATTATTGTTCTTAACGCAGGCGGCAGATCTGTGAACTGGAGTGCGAGGTGCGCAGCCTGAGGGATGATCTACAGTGTCGCCAGTGTGCACTTGATGACATGGAAGTCCAATTGACTGCCGCCAGAGCCTCGATGAGATGTCTGGAACGGGAACTGGAAAGTGCCCGTGATGATATCCGTGTCCAGAAAGTGGATCTTGAGGCTCGTAAGGAGCTGTGTGATAAACTGGATGTGGAAAAGGGCAAGCTCAATGCGGAGCTGAATGAGGTCAACGAAATGCGTAAAAAGGTGAGCTTTAGCTCTGATCCTGATCAGTATCAGTATCTCTATCCTAGCTAGATCTATCTCTTCGCTGTAGTCTACTTCGCTTTCTAACAATACACTAACTAACTAGCCGTTAAAAATACGAAAGTGCTTGTGAGTAGCTTGAATCTATTGTGTCTATTTACTTGATAATACAAATTTAATATTATTTTCCAGCTTGAAAAACAATGCGAAAAACTACGCGAAGAGTTGCAGCAGAGCTTGGCTCTGAATCAGGTCACCACCGAAACCACTGATCTGATGTTGGGAAGATTGCACAACGATCAGCAGCGTCAGGATGACGATGATATTAGGGCCAAAAACGAAATGGACCGACTGCAACGTCAGCTCGAACAAACTTTGGTAAGCATTGCTTATGAAGGGTAACCAGCTTTTGTTTTCATGGGAAAACCAATTACTAATTGAGTCAAAGTTACACAATAATTTGTATTAAAGTACGACCACTATGAGTAACACTAAACCTTTTTTATTCTCCTCAAACAGAGCCTATTGCAGGAGGAGCGTGCTCGCTGTAGGCACCAGGAGAACTTGGCCAATGAATACGAACAACAGGCTCGTGATCTGCGTCGGAATCTCACCGAGCATCGTTATAATCAAGCTAGAACACGTGAAGTCAGTCCTCGAGTGCCATCAACGACGCTGTAATTATGTATTTAAAGAAAACCATTTACTTGTTTTAGTGTGTTAACTCAAATTTAATGTTCGGCTGGGAGATCTCGAAATTGTAAAAATATATTAAAGATTGTAAAAACGAAATAAAAAATTTGTTGTAACGCCCGGCGCGAATCTCTCAGGTCAATGACTCCTAACAAATGAAGCCACCTTTTTTTTGGCACATTTCGGCCAGGGTGATATAAGTCTGGTACATACAGGGACAAGCATTGAACGGAGGCATCCGATTATGATCGGCCAGGGGCTGTGCCTCATCACAACTATCGAAGTCATCATAACAGGTGGACTCGATGCAAGTGTTATTCCCGGAGCTACTAGATCCTGGAAAGAGAATATGTATTAATTATATATAATATATAACTTTTTGAATGAAATTTTAAAAATATTATTAAATACTTACTACTAGTATTATCGGTCGCCTCTTCGTTGTCCACCATATGATATTTGACGGCTCGATCCCAATCGATAAGACTCTGACAATTTTCCTTTACATGTTGCTCCTCGGTTAGTTCCCCACAATCGTCTTCGAAAGTAACTGTTCGTGTGCGCTTTTCACAGACGGTCTTCAAAACTGGAACGTCTTCATCTTCAATAGGGTGATAATGTCTTGGGGAAGAAATGCACGACCTTGATGAACGCTGATTGTAAGTCCGGTGATGATTATTCGCCAGCTCCTTTTCATATCGGTCGCATTCAGGCCGAGTCTCTACATATCTTGACGAAATTTTATCAACACAACTTCCGTAGTCTGTAGGGAAATCCATACTACAGTCATCACTGTCATCCTCGAAATGACCATCCTTACTATGTTTGTGATTTCTCCGCCGAGTATTGTAAGATTCCTGACTAACAGATCGTTGATTATGATCATATTGCCCGGAATCCGGGTAAAATTGGGAACAAAATGAATGATCTTTAACGGGATAGTTTCTACTTGGCGATGTCTTACTATCGTATGTTTTCATAGATCTAGTTGGACTATGAGATTGGCTTTGTGACCTAGGACTGTGCTGGCTAACTTGGGTGCTTTGAAGGTCTCGTGGAATACGCTGTGTGTAGGAAACATCCTTTGGCGGTCTATACGATGGCTGTTTGGGATAATATTGATCACAATCTAAAGCTTCGTGTTCACTCTTTTCATAGACATGGCCATAACCGGATCTGTGACTTGCATCATTATCCTGTTGCTCGAATTTCTTAAGAGAAGGCGCCTTCATTTGTTGCATATTCCTTGAAGATTGGAAGCTAGGAGAATTTGGTGAGTTATAACGAGGTTTTTCACTAGCCGGGGAAACATTATCGTAATGTTCATTTTTAATTATAGTTTCTGCACTGGATACATGGGATGAAAATATCGAAGGAGAATTTATTATTCGGGTTGGAGTTGGTAAAGGTGAATCCACACGTTCTCTGTAATGTTCCTGCCCCAGGCAAACTTGAGCAGCCTTTTCTATCATAGGTCGCGTATCCGTTTGAGTAGGTCTCTCTTCCCGACAAAGATTCTCCGTCTGTGTGTTCCTGGCTTCCCTTAGGACCTGCCTAACTGAGGAAGCCTTTTGATATTGCGGATCCTTCGTTCTTACTTGCCTATCGCCATTTGGAATCGTTTTCGCAAAGTCCTGTTCCTTGGAGTACTCTCGCTTGATTTCCTGCTTTACCAACTTACTACCTTTATCCATTGATCTCAAGGATTGCGGGGAATGCATGCGACTTGCCGTTGGATTGGTATAGTTCCAAGAAGCCAAAGGTCTGAAATCGTCGCAATATCTTCTATTTTCTCGCTGCTTAAGATGAAAGCTGTAATCCCCGTCTTCACTTATACAATTGTCATCGTCTGGACTTTTCTCTTCATAACATTGATGAGGACTACTTATCGGTTTGTAATGAAGAGCGTTTTCATAGTAGAGACATTCATCAGTAAGTCCTTGAGCCTCAAGATTATTATCGCAAAAGCAATGATCTTCGTCAGAAATTTCATCTGAGTTGCACATTGGCAGATCCTTAATCCTGTCTGAATCAGAGCAAGGAGCTGAATCAACAGGTTTTATAGTAGGTTTTCCATCTATTTCCCTCTTAATATCCTTTTCACATGGCATCCTTGTGTATGTCGGATTTGACCCCAGAGGCCCTTCAAGATCACTAATACAATTCTCCTTCTTATATAGATTCAAATAATCTTCGTACATGCGGGTCTTCTTTTCATCCGCTTGCTCTTCGCTACAAAGCATGGATGGATCTGCCTCATTTTTTATATCTTTTGATGAAACAAAATCACTTGCTATCAAATTTTCAGTTTTTATTTTAGTTTTGTGACGATCCACTAAAGACGTCTGCTCTTTTTTGACTTTTGGTAACTTTACAGGAATCTTTTCAGGCTTAATGGGTGTAGTTTCCTCCTTTGCCTTACATTCCAATTTTTTATTTGATTTCTCATTCCTAGCTAGATTTTTCTTATCGCAAAATCTGGATCGATTCGAGCTCTCCTTTTGACACTTTGGTGATAAACCACGCTCAGTCATATTGGAACACCGATGCCGACAAATATCATCGGTATTTAGATCGGTCACCATTCTTCTGTTTGTTTGACGCGGACAAATACTATAGGGAAAATCAAATGGCGTACCCTGAATAGGTGATATATCTCCGTCGATGCCACTGCAAGGGTTGAACTGTTGACAACATCCTGCCATGTTGCAATTGCAGGAGCCATTACAGGCGCAATAACAATTTCCACAGTTATTTTGGTACATATTAGGATAGTTCTGATAGCAGGTTCTAAAGCAATAACAACATCCTCCACTGGCTCTTTTGTCGACTTCTAAGGTTTTCATTTCCAGTTCTGGTGAATTCTTGACTGCAATAGTACGACATTTCGGCCCTTTGTGTTTCTGAGCAGAAATAGGACATCTGTTGGAGTCCGGGGGACTGATTTTAGTTTGATTTGCTTTTAAGCTCTGCCCCCAGGTCATGTCCTTTGCCTTTGTCATCTCCGTACTTTCTAATCTGGGCCTAGTGTCCTTGCGTTTGAGTATGTGATTGCGATAGTGTTTCATTTTATCTATCTCATGTTCGATTTTCCGATATAAGACATCTACCTGTGCGCGGGTTCGCTGAATTTTCTCAAAGTCCAGTGAGGAGGAAGAGTCCGCTGCTTCCGTCTTTTTGGTTGTAGGACCAGAAACTCCAACCGCTTGACGGCGGTAGAGTTCCTTAACCTTTTTCGTTTTGTCCTTGATGTAGATCCGTTGGCATCCCACGATCGAGACGCGATCCTGTCGTTCCAGTACAATGCTGCGACCTGTTAGATGTTTATTTTATGAATTTTTCGACAACTTTTCAATGGTTTGCCTATACCTTTCCTTTTTTTATTCTCCATAAGCTTTTAGGCGATTGAACATCAATAAATTTATAGAAAATATATTTTCTGTGCTTTCAACAGTAGCTTCCTTTGATGTTTATGGCTGTGCTTTCCGATTAAAACCAAAACTTGTTCTTATTTATAAGCCATCTAATCCTATCTCTTTCTTAATAACGAAGGATCAACAATTTTGACCACCCTTAAGACAAATAAAACAATTGATTCTTAGATTATTATATTACGCACAATATACACTAATAATTTCATTTTATTTATGAAAATTGACATGGATAATGCCGGGGGGGTTTGGTACGGGTTGACTTTAGTGGGATTTTTGTGTATTGCAAATAAAAGTGTAAACATAAAAATTATAACGTTCAACAACTCCTAATTAACTACAATAAACCTAAGTATTACAGTGTTTCAACAGTTTTACAGGCATATCTTCAGAAGAACAAAATAAAAAAAAATATAAATACTTTTACAGGCCAAGATCAATGGGATTGGATCGGCAACTGGAACTGCAACTGGATTTGGTGGGGTGTTCCTAAACTAATCCTTCGATGTGGCATATGGCTCTGAACCGCTGGCACTAAAAGAACTACTGGACAGGGGCGTGCTGACATCGCGGCTCTCGCCGTTGAGCAAGTAAACTGGCACATGGCTGGTCACCAGTTCGATATTGTGCGACGGCGAGAGCAACGCAGTACTATCTTCGTCCTCAGCCGCTCGAATGGGTGCAGCAATCTCCAATTCGTTGCCAACTTCCGGCACCAAGTCCTGGTCGAACTCATAGGCAGGTTCTGGTATTGGTTCGGCAACTTCCGTTTCCGCTTTTTCATCTGGAGCTGGCTCTGGTTGTATAGAAGAGGTTTCTAGTCTAGGATCTGCTTCGAATTCCAAAGGAAAAGCTATAAGCAACAGCTTCTTTTTCTTATTCTTAACGTGCGTCCAAAGAGCACGTTTTATTCGACGCCTTCGCTTAGTCCTCTTACGTTTCAGTGTTTCCCCGTTTTCCTCATCAAAGTGCTGCTGATTATGTGATTCCTCTGTATCGTCCCCTTCCAGATGTTGCCCCCTTAACAGCTGTTGATCTACCTCTGACTGATCTGGATCGTCTCTTACATTTGTCACTTTCCCCGTTCGGTGTTCATCCTCTACTTGGAGTTGACATTTCTCTGCCTGGCGTTCAATCTCAAACTGCAGTTGGGTTTCCTGTTTCTTGTGTTGATTTGTATCTTCCTCTGTCTCGTTTTCATCTTCATTCCTAAGCCCCTCCTGTTGTCGTTGATGTATCTTCAGTTGATGTTGCTCTAGTAGTAGCTGCTCTTCTAGAAATTGTTGATGCTCTAAATCATGCTCTCGTTCTTGTTCACTGAGTCGTTTTTGCTGCTGATTTTTGTATTCTACGCAACCATTACTGATTTCTAGTTCTTCTTGCACCCTTTTTGGCGGTAGATTTTCACAAGGCTGCTCAGTATCCTTTTGGTGAGAATTTTCCTGCACCTCCGTTTCTATCTCATCTTGGCCATTTAGCGCTTCATTCGCTTCTGACCTTTCCATGCTCTTGAGATTGAAACGTTTCAGTCTTATTTTTGGCGATTTTTTCGGCGCAGATTTCCTTATGATGTTTAGGTCCTGCTCCAATTGTTGTACTTCATTTCTCCGCTTCACGTTCAAGGCGCGTAGCTGCCGACATCGCTTTGTAGCCTTCTTGAGGAGAGTTTCCTGATCAACATCCTTCTTTACCTGCTTGACCTTTCTAGCCTTTTTCTTTTGGTTCTTCAATCTACGTTTGCGGATATTCTCACGTTGCAGGGTTAACAGGTGGTTATAGTAGCTTACTTCATCGCCAGAAGCCTTTGAGAAACAGCGACGACTGAAATCCCAATCGGAATTGGAATTTTGGTGGTCAGTGGATGTACTTTGTATCTGGCAGGGACTGCTTGAACTGTGCGTTGATGCTGGCGGTGTGGGCAAAGCCACTCTCTGCCCTCGAGGTGTGTTTCGCATCCGGGTGGGGGTGGCCGAGATCTTTGTGGGCGTGCCACTTGAGGCGTTGCTGGTGGTGGGCGTTAGCTGGCTAGAAGCGACATTTACAACTTCATTCCTTGATGCCTTGATTTTGGCATCGAGTTTGGCGAACATTTTCGCACTGGCCTTCTGGTGCTCTAAAAAAAATAATAATATTTATATATGTATATGTATGCACGAAATTATGTATATTTAGATCTTACCCGCTTTCCAGCGTTGAGACCCTGCGCCATTCGATGAGGCCTTTGGCATGTATTGTTTGATCGATGGCTTCTTTAATGAGCTGGCCTTGACGTTTGAGGCAGTGGCACCCAGATGTCGAGGACTAAAGGTTACCTGTTTCTTTAGCAGGGAAGATTCGCTGCAGTTGCTGTTCTGACTAGAAGATTGACGGCAGTGATACAATGGTGTTCGTTGTCCGCTGGCAACGCTCGCACTGCTGCTTCGCGGAAAGAAGTTATGACTGTGGGCGCTAGGGTACTGGTCCTCTATCTCCAGATCTGGCTCCTCGTCCTCCAACGTTTGCACACACTGATCGACAAGATGCGGCGCTGTGGTCGACACCAAATGCAGGCTATCCCGGCGGCAACTGTAGCTATTTACAATCCGCGGCACTGTGTAGGTGGCGGGTGGAAGTACTGCCCTTTCGTAAGTCCTCAGGTTGCTGGGATAGATGCGAGTAACAGGCACGGAGTCGTCCTCGCCGAGAATCGTAGTCGAGGTCTGATTCGCCGAATCGTTTGAGTTGGAGTTTGAGATAATACCATCAACATTGGCAGGCACATTGAAGTTCACCGAAAACATTTCCACATCGTCGTCAGAGTCGCGAAGCTCTACGATTTCAATGTTGTTGTCAATACCGCTGAATAGAGCATTGGCCCGCTTGCACGGCTCCAACTGGCGGGCATTTTGACAGAGATTCTGAAGAAAAACGGGCGGATGATTGTTCAGTGATGATGACGGCGTACCAGATATATCCCACATTGGGCAGCTGTCCTCATCGTCAGAGCTGAGTACCTGTTATTGCGAAAGTTTAACAAAATATGTTAGTAATTGAATCAAAAGCAATGATTATGAGAAATAGTATTCTGAGACACTCAGTTGAGGTTGAAGTCATTTTGGGATAGCGGGATGGAGCCAGACACTGCCTGTCACGCGACTAACTGCGTCGGCAATGGCTTTTGTCCCATCTGCTCGTCCGAATCAGACCTTTTACTAAGACATCATAGTTAAACCAGTAATGCCAACACGGTAGAGAAGCACTCACCGTGTTGCCATTCTAGGATATAAATTTTATGCTATTATTTATATAAAATAAATCACCAAACTAACCACTTCGTTTGACTGCGGCGGACGATTATCCACCTTGCTAACCACATGCAAGCTGGCACAGCTGCTTTTGCGTAGATGATTTAAGATAGTGCGCGTTGCCGTTTTTGGATCGGTAAACTTGGGCAAATAGTGGGCATAGACACTTCCAAATGCAAGGGATTTCGAGGGTCTCATAAATTTTTCGGCAAAATCCACTATTCGCTCTTTGACCGACTCGTCCGACTCCAGGCGCTGCCAGTAGTAAAATATGAGTATGTATTCTATGTAGAGTTTATCTGGCAGTTCTGCTTGCATCATAAGGCTTGGCATCGACCAGTGTGGAAAGAGGCGGCTGTAAAAAATTGGAAAGTTTATTATTTGATTGGCAGTTAAGAAAAATAAACATAGAGCTTTGGAATCTGAAATAGAATTATCATAAATATCTAATATATAAGCGTCTAACATAAAAAAAGAACGTACTGAATTAAACTAATGGCGTGGCAGTTTTAAAACTGAATGTCATAAATAAACGCAAAAGTGATCTAGCCGAAAACAAGTTTAAGCCATTTTTTGTGGTATAGAAGAATCATTTTAAGCGGAGATGACATACAAGTTTAAATTAACCAAGTAAATAGTATCCATATGTTGCTGTTATACTACCGTACCTGTAAAGCATTGACAAAATGCTGGCTCTGTTGAAGAGTTTAGGAGCAGCGAGGAGAGTGCGCAGCACGTGCTCCCGGTGAACGCCGGCGCCACCTTCTCCGTACTCCACGTAGAGCTTTAAGCAGCTGTTAATTCGATTGATGATGGTTTCCTCACTTTCCACCGGCTCCTGGGCGGAACACAGTTCGCATGATATGTAGAAGCCGACAATGTGGCACATACGCTGCCTGTATCCTTCATCCTGTTGCAGTGCCCGTCCTTGAACCATGGTATGGATGACATCAGTTAGTCCGGTTAAAATTCGCGCCAGTTTTCTGCATTTCAGAGGTAAATACTGGGCCCGCTCGAACTCTTCTCTAATGGCACTGTAAGATTAATTGGGGTGGGTATTATTCTGGAGTACCTGCCTCTATCTATATATGTACTCACCCTTCATATTGCATGAGCAACCGGGCCATGCGCTTATCGAAGCTATCATCATTCAGCGACGCAATGGCATCATGAATCTTACGCCGTGTCTCATTCAAATGGCCAAATTCCGGCTCCGTCTGCGAATCCGGTGTGTTGCTATCCAGCTCTTTTTCTTGATCCGGCGATACAGACTCCATATCATCTGCATTGGCTAAAGTGCTGACCTTGTCGAATTCGTCCAGCATGCTACCGCTGTTCCGCTTCCGGTTCCTGACCAAACAACTCATGGTGCTAGCAAAATAAATCGCCAAAATCAATGCAAGAATGCAAATTAATGAAATCGTACAGTGCCGAAATAACTCGTTATTGCAGTGAAAGTCGGAGCGCCCCCGCCGTCCCCGAAGAAAAGACCAAAAAATGAAAGACATACCAAAAAAAGTGTATTTCTGCCAATGAGATCGCTTTATACGGGCAATTTCGATGTGCCGCGGTAAGTCACTAACGCAGTGCACACCTGAGCGGCTCCAAACATATTACTTTTGTAATATGTGCACTGTTTATATATATTTTTTGTATGTCGAGCAGGAGCAGTACCGATTAAGAGCTTCGTCGGATGAATGTTGCGTTTATGCGGCGCGAAAATGCCGTTAATCGCACATCGTGAAATTTCACAATTCATTACGTATTGCAGGATTCCCTGCTCTATATCTTAATTTCTTATTAAGCCGATAACTGATTATCTGTAACTTGTGGTTTCTTTCTATGTATTTTTGAGGTGTATAGCTAAGAAAATATTCCACATAATCGAATACATCTCTTAGTGAGATTACCTCAATGCGTGATTAAGGACTACGTGGGAACGAAGCGAGCATCGTCGTTTTTGGCAGTGTTGGAGAATGTTGTCCTGTCGCCGATAAACTGTGTTTCTAGAATGCTCATAAACAATTTCACGATATACACAAATCATGATTTTAACATAAGTAAATAATTTATATATCATTTGATAATTGTGTACATAATATAAATATTTATTCTATAGTTTTTTAGTTTTTAACAACTATGAGTTTACAAATTTCTTGGTTTTTCAAATATATAATTTATAGTAAAAAATTAATAAAATATGTAATTTATAATATTTTTATATATAAATAAATTTATTGTTTCCAAAATACCACTGGTAATAATAGCTAATAAAATCAACAATTTATTTGAAATAACATTAAATTTATATAATTTGATATATGTTTTATAATCCGTATAAACAGGAAATTTGAAATTCGAGAACAGTATATTAATTTAGGTGTTACCCAGCACTACTAAAATTTTAGTCCTCGATATTCTGCTATCGATATAATAAATTACTATCGAAACCAAGAAAATAAACAATTAAGTTATTTTTAAATTTAAATATCTTTAGTTACCGAAAATATTTATTTTATATATCTTCATTCATGTTTTTCAAAACTAATCAGTATTAAAGATACCAGAGATTAAATTTCGATAGCGATAAAAAAGTGGAAATCGTATTTTAAACTGAACAAACCAAAAAATGAGATTTAGATAATTGGATATTATTTACGGATGTTCCAAAAGACATATCAAAATACGAGTTTAACTTTAATAAAGGCAGGCTCGATTATGTTTTATTAAAAATTATTTAATCTGTTTCTACCGTAAGTTAAACCTAGTGCTGTTTATCTCACCAGACCCTCTAGTAACAATAATCAAGTCATCGTTTTAATGTTGTTACCAACTTTATTTGTTACGTTCTTAATCAGTTCTTTCAATGTTTCTAAAAATTCCAAAATAGAAAACTTAAAGAATTACATATTAAAATTTATCGTTTTCGTTCATTCTTCATTAAAACTGAATTTTAAGTTTATGCAAACGGCGGACGTATCATCGCGCAGAGAGCGTTCTAAATCTGCGTTGCATGTGTTCTACATACAACGGAAGTATGCGAATAAAAACCGTGGGCGGGCAAAATGCTTTAATGGCAACGTTGGCAACCAGCTGACCCCATCCCAACGACTGACAAAAACTCAGCCGCCAGATGGGGAAACTCTGGTCGCCCACATACGCCGAACGTTAGAAGTAAACTACAGAATGTACGTTGCTAGTTGTGGCTTTTTGTTGTTTGTTACACGGATGTTGCTGTTCATAGTTGTTGGATTTTCGTGTTTGTGGAGATGTGAGTGGGTGGTGTGGTAATTGTTGGATTTACAACTCGTCCTTCTTGGGCGCCTCCTCCTCCTCCTCGGTTTCCTCAACGGGCTCGGCATCTGCCACCTCACCGTTGGCATCGAGGAACTTGACGAAATCGTCCAAAGTCCTGTCCAGGTTGAAGTCGATGACCTTGTTGTCCTCCTTACGGAAGTACTTGATTGTAGGGAAGGAAGAGATCTTTATGCTCTCCAGCTCGTTAGCGGTGGAGTCCATCTTGGCAATAACGATGTCCTCGTTGTCCTTGTACTTTTCGGCCAGCTGGTCATAGATTGGGGCCAGCTGCTTGCAGTGTCCACACCATGGGGCGTAGAACTCAACCAGCACGCTCTTGCTCTTGTCCAGGGCAACGCTCTCGAAGTTGCTGGAGACCAGCACCTTGACGGGGTTCTTGTCCCAATCATCGGGCAGATCCTGGGACAGCAGGTGCTGCTTCAGCTTGCCGTCCAGGAACTTCTTCAGGAAGGCTTCGATGGTCTCGGCAGACAGATCGTTAGATTCGGGCTTGTACTTGGCCATATCCTCCTCCAGCTTGATCAGACGGATGGTTGGAACTTCCTCCTTGTTCATGCCGAAGAACTCAAAGATACGGGTGTGGTCCTCCTCGTCAGACGAGATGGTCACGAACAGGATGTCATCGCGGTACTGCTTGGCGATCTCCTTCAAGGGGTCAACGTACTTCTCGATGTGTCCGGCCTCCTTGGAGACGAAGAACAGCAGGTGCGACTTGATGGAGCCACCGAAGATCTTGGAAGCACTCTCATGGTTGAAGTCAACGATCAGGGGCAGAGACTGCACCTGGGCGAACTTCTTCAGGTTCTCCTCGCTCAGCTCACCCTCGAACACGGATTTCTTGTCATCGAAAGGCTTGAACAGGACCACACCGTTGTCCTTAGCCTCGTACTTGGCAATCACGTCGGCATTGCTGCTCACACCGAAAACGAAGGAGTCCAGGGCGTTGGCGGCCTTGGTGAAGGTCTTAGCCTCCTCCGACTCAAGATCCTTGAAGAATCCAATGATGGCGATTTCGTTGTCCTTCAAGAACTGTTCGGCATCAGCGACGCTGGTCAGATCCTTGGCTGGTGGTCCAGTCTTCTTGGTCACCCAGGCAATGATGTCAGCAGCCTGGCGCCCACCGCTGTACTCCACGGGAGCACCGCTACGGAAGAACTTCAGAGTGGGGTAGCCGCGCACGGCGTACTGCTCGGCCAGCTCACCCTCAACGGTGGCATCGACCTTAGCCAGCTTGATGGGCGACTCCTTCTCAGCCAGCTGCTGGGCAGCCTTGGCGTATTCGGGAGCCAGGGCCTTGCAGTGTCCGCACCATGGGGCGTCTATAAAGATTAAAAAATATAACAAAAAATAAGTTATTTTTCATTGATCTTAGGAGAACTTATAAACTCGTTTTGAACAAGACCCATTAAGGTGAAAAACTGCTATAAACGCATACGTGTTCCTATTTGGTTTCTATATTTAAACCAGGGTGGTGAATAACAACTGGCTAACTAGAGGTATAATTGCTCCACGATTGATCGAAAGGCATTTTGTTAAGTTCATCATGGTGTGACCTACACGTATGGTTTATTATTACAAATTATTTATAGATAGTATCTACGATCTGTGTTTAATTGTTGTTAATTAAATTGCGGAGCATGTAACAATTGTTTTGTATTAAACTGTAAAGGCAAATCGTTTTTTGATCTTTTCCAGAATCTAAGATTTAAGATTCTTAGCCGTATTCACAGTTTAAATTTTCATGAAACAGGTTTTATAAAAACTTGAAACATAAATGTGCAAAGAAGTGAGTCATAAAAAATGCTAACATTTTGAACAAGAAAAAATGGGTTAATAGCTTATTTTAGTTTATTTTATAGTTTCTCCAAAGGAATAGTAATCTCATTTTAAATGGGATCTTTCACTTGATTAACTAAGTAGCTGACCTTATTTGTAATATATTCCGTTGACCAAGAAATTAACTTAAGAATCAACTAGAAAACTTCTATAAAACTATAATTTAAATATGACTATTTCTATCTATGAGTATTTGATTCAATTATGTTATCAAATATATTTAATATCTGTCTGGGCTATGTGAACCATGAAAATTGTACTATATGCTCATTGAAGTTCTGCCTATTAATTAAATTAAAGGCTTGACTAACTCGAATAAAAACTATCAATAATTACTAATAATTTGTTGACCCTAATTCAAAATATATAACGGATTTCGAACTTAATCACTTTGTATATGATAATTTAGGGGGAAGCACAATAAAAATGTGTAAGCTAAATAAACATAATAATCTCATTGGCATAATGCAACATTTCAAAGCTTTCAACAGCTTATATATTCCCTTAAACCCTTTGTTTACATTAACTGCTTTGAATCGCAATTAAATGGCGCGCACTGCTAGCACACCAGCCAAGGGTGAAATTCTAAATTTGGAGCGACAATTATATGCGCAAGATTTGCCACGGATATGGAGCAGGGTCCATTGGAGCTCGCTATAACCACCAGCAGATGTTGCCATTATGCAAATTCCACGTGTCGTATTCTCATTGTCCAAGTGCAGCTCCTCGGGGCCACGACTGCAATTTGGTACGCATCCACGCATACGAAATTGAATAAGTGCCGGGCAGATGACATAATGCCCGGCTTGTCAACGTCCACGACTTCGATTCCATCTTATACGTAGTACTATGCCGTCTTATCGCCGGCTTCCTACCATTTAGCTGTATTGCTGTGGCTGACGTGGCCCTGGCATTGGTTCCGCTTCCACGGACATCTTTACAGTCTCTATAGGAGATAAGACCTCTGCCTTGGATGAGCAGACAATTATCGACTTGGCTGACGTTGTCACCTCTACAAAACACCTCTCCAAAGCACCGACAAAATGTGCAAATCTTAATTAAACAAATAAAGAGAAAACGCTGGCATAAACAAACCAAAAAGTCCGCCATATTGTTGGCCCCCAAAGATGCCAAGCTAGCATATCTGGCGGTTTAAGGCTGAAAATATGGGGGAAGTTTTTGTATAACCGATTCACGTTTATCTCTCAAGTGTTTGCTAGATAACAATGGGTTTTCGATTTCTTGTTGGGCTGTCATTGCGAGAATAAAAAAACCTCATTGTGGCAACAGTGGAACTACCTGTTGATGAATTTTCTGCGGATTTATTTTAGAAAGCCAAATTGCCTTTAAATGAAAACTAATTACTTTTTTTTTCAGACGTTCAGATTAATATCTCCGTTCAATAAAGTGTATAATATTCACAAATGTAGTTTTCTAACAATATAACTTTATAAAACCCCCTTTTGTTCGAAGTTAAGCACCAAACCTTATCCATTTTTTCCCGCTAAATAATATGTTTCTTGCGCTTAGCATCACCGGCGAGGCAACACCGTTAGGCACGCGCAGAGAAAAAAAGAGTTGAATGAACTTTCCAATGCGTGGCTGTTGCGCCGCCGTGGAAAAGGGACCGAAACCAGATTTCAAAAAAGAATTAGAACCAAAAATTCGAAAAGAAAGCAAATGGTGATTCAAAAGTGGTTTGGTTTGGTTTGGCTAACCTAGATTCGTGGGAGAAAGATAGAAGAGTTGCCCGACGAGTTTTTGTTGCCTTTTGTTTCCATTAGAAGAGATTCTCATTTGAAGATTAATAAAGCGGATGTGTGATATGTGTGGCCACGCCCCAAAGTTAGAACAAAAGCTAGAATAGCCGATAGCATTGAAGCATATGGAGAAAACAATGATAGTTGCGCACAAGTTTTTGTTTCCTTTGGCATTTAGAATTTGAAATTTAAAAAAAATTATAGCAGGTTTATAGCAGCAACAATAACAAGAAGTGACGCAGTACTGCTCTCTCGCTTGCACTCCCAGGTGAGAAAAAGAGATAGCAAATACGTGCGAGAGAGCAGTCTTCCCCTCCTCACCCACTACCTATCACACTCTTCCTACATACAAGATGACGCGAGAGAGATAAAAACGGTTAAACAAACGATAATTTGCTGGAAAATCAACCAAACATATTTTCCGAACTACAGAGTGGAACTAATTATCCGATTGAATGACCAATAGCCAAGAATTTGCATTAAAATAAGTTTTTCCAAATTTCCAGTCAACAACAAATGCCACGCAGACAGATTTTCTCTGACGACTGGAAAGACCACGTAGCCCCTAACCCGCATGATTCAGCAAGCGCGAGCGAGAAAGAAATAGCGGCCGGCGCATTTTGCACAACTCTACTCGATTTTCGCCAATTTTTCTAAGTATTTTTCTGCACTATTTTCACAATTAGTACTTACAGAACTCGACCAGCACAAATTCGTTATCGGCAATCAGTTGTTTGAAGTTGGCCACCGTCGCCACTAGAACGCCTTCCTCAACTTTGACCTCCGCCTCGGCGGAAGCGGCCACGTAGGACGCCGCTAAGAAAAGGGCACAGAGCAGGAATTTCATCTCGTCGTCGTTTTCTTTTTTCTATTAACTCAATTTATTTGCCCTGTTTGGGTGCAGCACACTCGCCAACCAATGGATTTTAACTGCGCTGAACTTGCCCGGTTGCAAGTAAAAAATCCAAATGGATCCCAGTCTCCAATGAATCGGGGATATATATAAGATTTTATATATACTAGAGCTGGTAGCTTAGTCGATAATATCGATAGGCTCGGTAGTCGAAAAATGAGTGGCCGCATTTTTAAAAACAATTCCGTTTGCCTTTTCAGCCGCAATTGCGCTAGTTAAAATATTCTAATACGATAATGTTAAGTATCAAAGGCAAAAGGTGGCGCCTTTGCTACTGTTGGGAAATATTTATCTTAACATTTAGATTAACATATGTTATAAGTATTAGAGCTCCTTTATGTTGCTTAGTTTTCTCGCAATGGCGCTAGTCAAAATGTTAGAAGCATCTTCTAATGACTGTTAAATAAAGAGCAGCGGCTCTGCTCATTAACATAACATTAACATTTCCATTGACTAAACACTAGCGCTGGAAGTAAATGGATACCAATACATGTTACTCAATTTTTAAAATTACGATCCAATTGGAATTTTGGACGGCAGCGTATTTATGTGGTCAACATTTTATTTCTTTGATTTGCCGCAATAGCGCTAGTTGCGATCAAAATATTAAGTTGGATCTTTATATTTCCCTCTTCATGCTGGGAAATTTAAAGGTAACATCTGGCAATGTTGAGTATTGGCGGTAATTTTAAAAAAAATATGAAAAAAAAAAATTACTTTAATTTGTATTGCCGGTTTTGCGTATTCTAGCGATCTTTAAAAAGTTATTTTCACGTCACACTAACAATTGAGCACACAAGGCATTTAGTTTTTGACAAGAAGTAGAATTTGTTAATCTGTATTCTGTTCATTGTATATTTAGAATTGATGCTTAAGTAATAAGAAATATATTCAATTTTACATTATATTTAATTCTTGCATCTAAGTTTTATAAAACAATTACGTATATTTTAAGGAGTAACTAAACCCTTTGGCTTGATTTAAATAAATTAAACTTTGTTATTATTTAACAAAAGTTTAAAATTTTTTAATTTCCAATCAATCAAGAACATAAATTCACATTAATGTCATTAACCTTTACATGACAGTACTCGCGTTGGGTAAATATAAAAAATTGTTTAAATGTTTTCCTGTTCTTTTGTAATATGATGCGAGAATATATGTATTTAAATACAAATAAAGCTTATTTAAACAACTTGTAAACATTTATTAAACATATACACAATTAAATAGATGAATGAAATGACTGAATTCATAAGTCAAAAGCAACCACCTGTTGAATGCATTGTTCAATTATTCTGAGAACGATCTCGGCAGTTTTTTCACTGCTGAATGGTTTATCTACAGGCGGTACATGTACAAACAAACTTCGCTTTTTGTCTATATCTAGGGATTTTAGATAGATATAGCCGCAGAGAAAATCACCCACATTCTTGGATGCCTTCGTAGCACTATGCGGCTTGAGATTATCATTATGAGGGGGCTCTATGGGAGCCACACAATCGGAGCATTTATCATTTACGGCCTCCACAATCTTATCCACATCGAGTTCGGTCCGTAAGACATTCGCATGTACATTGTTGGAGAGTTCACAGCTCCCGTTGGGCAATCTTTGATCACAATTATCTGCCCTTCGAAATTTGTGATTGTATGCCAGTTTTTCAACTGCGCAACATTTTGTAATACCCGAAACACCAACATGTATGACCAGCTGGAGGGATAAATATTGATATCATTGTGGTCTCCATCTATTTATGGCTCTTACATATGGCTTTCGTTTCCATATCTCCAACACAGCCCCATCTACAGCTTCGTATTCTACTGGAACCAAACGCTTTTCGAGATCGTAATCTATGCCATCGTGGGTTATGGATTCTGGAAGCAGTTTAACTGCCTCCCAACTAGCATTGACTGATTCGTGGCCACGGAATACTCCAAATCCGGAGACCACAATTAGCTTTCGATCCGATGACGCCATAACAAACGTTTAAACTAAAACACCCACCCTAACAAACTACCTTATATATACCATATGTTTGTAGTCTTCTTCTTCGCTGATTGAATCTACCGTTTCCACTAGACTGTTTCCTGTGGTATTTAAAATTAGAAAACTACAGTCATTTTTTATCTTTAAAATTCTGCTTCGATTCTTAAAAATACCGAATAGGAATTTAGAATTATTTTTATTTATAAGGCTTATTTAAGTTTAAACTATTGATTTGCTTATTACTTGAAATTCTCTTAAATTTTTATTAATTGAATTTAATGAAGTATAATTTCTTATTTATAAGTGATGAGAAACACTGGTATGTAATGGGTATAGGTTACCCAGAACCTCAAAATGTAATCAGTTACAAAGGAGTGGGAGTAAAAATACCGAACAATGGTATTTTTCCTTAGCCGGTATTTTTAAGACTTGTACTTTTGGGATTTTTCGTGAAACAAAACAGACGACGAAGTATGCGGCTCCAAACAGAAAAATAAAAATAACAGACAACAAATAACGATAAAACCATCATACATTCCAAAGATCGGTGCAAATGCAAACCCTCGACCCATAATCGAACCGAAAAGGCAGCGAACCAGATCCGCGAATAGGAAATATATAGGTGAGCATGGTATTAGGTGGTAATCTAATCGGAGCGGATAAGTTGAGGGCGCTCCTCTGCTGGCAGCGACGCTGGCAGACTGCCACCCTACGCACACAGGTGAACTTTGCACATTAACTATTCATTAACCTCGAACAGGTCGCCGGTGGAGCGGGAAAAGTGAGAAATAGGAAAAAAGCGGAATAGCAGTTGGCCCATTTCACACAGGAAGCGGAGTCTAGTGTCGTCCATCCCGCAAAAGAGAATTCACTTTCAATCGTTAATATGCTGTCGCGTCTGCAAGACTTCTTGTCACGCCACCGGCGGAAGTTCATAGTGACCGGCGTTCTGGTGGGCGGTACCATATATGCTGCTCGTTACGCCCAGCGACGTTTAGTTGAGTTCCAAGAGAAACAGGCCCGGGAGTTCTTTGAAAGAACGCGAAGAATGACCCATTTCGAGTCCACGGAAAAGACCTGCAACCAGGTGATCCTCGGAATGGGGGAGGAGATGTGTCAGGCGGTCCTTAGGGAATGCAGCACGGATGAACTGCTCGAGCAGCTGCGACAGAATCCCAAGAATAAGTTGGAACTCTGGGAGGACATGAAGATTGTGGCATTCACAAGGCTGGCCACCTACGTCTACGCCTCCTCCATGTTGGTGATTGCTCTTCGAGTGCAGTTAAACCTCCTAGGTGGCTATATCTACAGAGACATCATGGCGGAGCAAAAACAAATCACAGACGAACTAAAGCAGCAATATCTTTCCCTGATCCGACACTTTATCACTGAGTCGGGCATCCGAGACCTAGTTCGATATATACGCACTCAGGTCATCGCAGTCATCAAGACAATGCCGTTGTCCCAGCAGTTGTCTCTCAACGATTTGGAGCAGCTCTTTTGGTCCCTGCAAATGGCCATTAATGCGGACACCCGTCGAGATCCCAACTCGCGAATGAGCAAGTACCTGTTGCCCAGTCAGAATCCCAGCCATTCACCGCTGCTGCAGAAAATGTTCAACGAGACGCTGGATCTGCTCGAAAGCGAGGATGCCATTGGAGTGTGCTCACACAATGTGAGTCGGGGATTTGTGCTGGCTTGTGATGCCATTGCAGAATCAATGGGTGAGACTCTACAGCATATGCCGCAATCTGAAGTAAAGACACAACAGGAACAGAACCTTAAGTTCAACCAGGCAGGAGGCTCAGGGGGCAGCAGTTCTAAGAGCCAAAATGTGGAGAATAACAACTTGCTGAACATCAACAGAGTGCTAATGGCACTGGCCAAGCTCATTCCAATTATCAGTGGCCTCACCTCAAGGGGTTTCGACAGCACTTCGCGACCTCAAAACCTGCCCACCCAGCTTCTCACCTTCTACGTGGTCGCTGAGAAGACAAAAACGCTGGGGGCCAACGTCTATGAAAGCTTCAGCTCCGCTTAGGAGATCGACAAAACTTGGATTATGCATCTGTGCATAGGCTAGGCTAAGACAATTGAAACATTTTAGTTTATACATCTGTATATTTTTAATACTGTCATAATTCTCGGAAGCGTTGTTTGTATGTCTGCTTGAACCCAACCCGTATTAAGTTTAGCTGCTAAGAATATTTAATCAAAAGCGTAAGGTATGTTTAAGCAGATTCCCCAATTGAGTCCACGGGGAATCCATTGAGACAGGGATACACAAAGCGAGTAACGTGAAGGCCTTTTAAAATAACTGGAAAGTTTAATATGTGCTTAGGGAATTAAAAAAAAAAGGAGATCAAGTTTTTATAGGACAGACCTGAGGTTTATTTGGTATCGAAAATAAATGGAAACGTAAATTTTATGTGCAGAATTGTATAATCTTTATTAAGGGTTCAATCCACAAGTCATTTTGGTTCAAACCTTTTTTGAATTAATAATTTAATTTTAATTTTAAATGGATTGTTAAGTAATTGGCAACTAAATAAATTATGCATTCCTCTTCTAAGATGGCTAAACATATTTTTAAACTTTTTAATATTTTGATTAATAAATTTGTTAGAATTAAACATTAAATTTATAAGTTTTCACAATGAAAGTAAATTTTTATAGCATATTTAGCAGAGACTCGAACCAATACTAACAGTTGTCCCTGCTATCAGTGAAAAGGGGGTGGCAAAAAACCGCCCTGTGATAAGACAGCTGTGTGACTTTTGTTTGTTTGCCATTTCTCTTGTTCTTGCCGCTCTCTTTGCATCTCTCTTTCGCTCACTCTCAGCAAGCACTTGCGCTGCGCAGCAACCACCCCCTTTGGGTGCCCAGCTGTCTGGTAAAAGGAGCACATTTACATTTCCATTTTGGGCGCAGTTGCAAAAGTTACGTGAAAAGGCTAAGGACAACAGTTACTTTTTTATATCTTCCTGATATATTGCTTCTATGTATTTGGTTGTGTGTGTGTGTGCGGAAAAATAATTAAATTTACAGCAAATTAAAACTGTTTTAAAGGCACAACCCAAGCAAAGTTGTAACTTTTTTGCAAATATGACAAAGACTGCGAAAAGTGCACAAATTAGCATAGCCAGTAAAAGAAGAAAAGTCTAAGGATCCAGCACAAACAAACAAGCCAACAAACAACAACAACAACAACAACAGCGGCTCAATTGTGTAAGTGCACTTGCAAAATGTTTATTGACCAGTTGAGAGGGCTAAAAGCCCACTTAACCCATCGACTTTTGAGTAGCGGGTCACAAAAATGTTATTGATTAAGACAAAAAAAATATAAAAACCGAATATGAAAATCAAAGAGACATACGAATACATGTGTGGGAGAAAGACAGGCATAACGGTATATTGGTAACGGGACACAGACAGTGCGTGCGTAAAGTGGAATGGGATGGGTTGAAAAAGAGGGAGGTGGACAAAAAGGGCAACGGGAATGGGGAATACCACTACCATGTATGGGCTAAAAATATGAACACTTTATTATTAGAAAGGCCACAAACTAACAAACTAACTTACTAGTTGCGAAGACACAATCAACAACTTCTCCAAAAAGGTCCTTCAAAGGGGAACTCAACACATAACAATAAAGAACTCTTGGGCTTTTGGGAACCAAAGCTGTTATACCCTTAAGAAACGTATTCTATTCAGCACATATATTTCCTGAATACCAAATGGAAGAATTCTATTTTATTGCGACAAAGAAAGGTTTACCAAGCTCTATTTATTAAAGTGAAACAGTTATTTCAGAAGTTACTAAGAAATCATAGTCAAAAGTCATAAAATGGTCAGTGTCGCCAAAGCATACAGAATAAATTAATACAATTTTGAGAATGAAGCGGCATATTCCGATTTTTTAACTGTATTTTGCAAATGCGTCATTTGTTGATCATTTTGTTAAATTAACGAAATTGATTTAAAGCGTAAACGATATCCGATAGATCACAACCAATAACGACTTTCTATTTTAATTTTGATTAAATTTGTTTTAATCAGAGTAATAAAATGATTTATTGAAAGTTTATAAAACAAATAGGGAAATAGTCGACCTCAACAAAGTAAAAATTTAAGTACCCTTCTAGAAAGTGTATAAACTTATAGTCAAGAAAGTCAAGTGCGGCAGCGTGAAGACAACAATGAAATGACATTTTCCCCAGCCGAAGACCATGTAGGATATTCAAGAAAAACAATGCATGCAAGTCAGGCAAGGCAGCCCCTACACCCACCGTCCTTTCCCCTCTTAGTGCTTGAGCCCCTATATTGCATAGTATATGTATATAGGCATATTGACATACTAAAGACGTAGATCAAGTGCCATGACAAGAGGCCACAGCACCTAACTAAATATAAACACATAAATTAAGGAAGCGAAAGCAGGACACAATTCCAGAGGAAGTAAAAGTGCGTCATGGAATATTCAGGGAAACCAATTACAAAGGATACTATAGAAAATGACTAGGATTTAGGTGGATGTGATAATTAAATACAGAGAAATTTTTATTTGTAAGGGTTTTAGTCTAGAGCAACTTAAACGTCTTTATTAGCCCAAGTTGTATAAATTCGATTTCTGTTATTGTAAAATACTTTACTTTTTAACATGAAATGAGATTTATATTATCGCAAAATATTCTTAGAAAATGTGCATTGGGATTTTTTTCATTTTCTTGAATTTTATATTCCTTATCATTGTGAAAAGGGAAAGTACGTCATGTTTACGGAGTCAAAGCTTTGTATATATGTATTTTTCCTATAAAACTAATTGATAAGTTTTATAGCTAATTATTAATAAAGAAATATTAAACATCGAATCGTTCAGGAAATCACTTTAGTTGTACGGGAACATTTCGTGCAGGAACACAAAAAACCGAATAAACCAAAAAGTAAATGTGCTGAAATATCAAAACTTATGGAGATTTTATAATCAATATAAACTTATTCAGAATCATGTACCATATTTACATTTCAAATGAATCCAGCTGATTTAGCATATAATATTTGTTGCTAACAGCTTTTTATATTATATAGACGAATAGATAACTGAGCACAAGATTTAGTTTAACGGCAACTTTTTAAGCAAAAACACAAAGCAAACCGTATCGGTTATGAAAATATAACTATACTCGAAGAGATTTCTCAAAGAACTGGCTAGCCGTGTTATAATCAATATAGTGAATTGAAAGGTGAATAAAAAAACTCGTATCATGTCCTAGTTGGACTTCTGAAAGGGATAATGGAAGTGTTTTAGCCTTTGCATGTGGTTTTGTTTGGCCAAGCCACTTTTCCTGTCTCTCTTCCCATCCCTATATCCATTCCATCAGAGTCCTACTTTTGCAACATGAATGAACGACTGTAACTACATTTTTTATGCAAGCCGAGGGATCCGTTCTGGTTATCCTTACTCCTAGCTGCTTTCTCTTTTCTCCTTTCTACCGCTGTTTGCTTGTCAAAAACGTCAAAAATGCGATAGTGAAGACCCCAATGAAGAACAGAGCGGCCTGCAGGGTACACTGTAAAAAATAAGCTTTACTTACTGGATATTAAAATATATAATAAAATCATCAGTCATGTTAAACTCATTCGAAAACTATAAATATTAGATATTTTTTGAGAAATATGTTCGTTAGTTTTTCTCAGTGTAGAATAGAATAGTTGCGAAATGGAGCGGGCAACTTAAGTGTACCCCAGCCACAACTTTGCGCCACCTTATTTGCATGGCTACCAAAGTAGTGCGGCGAACCCCAGAGTAGACCTCAGACCCCTAAGTGATGTTGCAACCGCAGGCGGGATGACTCACACAGACACAGTGGAATAGTGCCATAAATGACATGTGATAGATGGATGGACACTTGGTGAGGGCTTTGGGGGATTAGCCAGGAATGTGGCCCAAATGAGGCTGCACCCGCCTGCTGTCGTCTCCTGTAATTAGGCTCTCCTCGGGGCAGGTTCATAAAAGCTGTTGATAGTAGCCAGCTTTGAGTTTATCCGTCGCCTGGAGAACCAGTATGTGGTATCCTACCCCCTACACCTATATTTTTCAACCACTTCACTCGATTCTCTGGACTCTCAGTTCTTTTTATTACGTATACGCCCCGCTGGTTGATGCGGAACAGCTCTTGAGGCGAGAATGCCATCTGGCTCAATATTTGTTCTACGCAAATATAAATTGCCCGGTTTCAAAAATATTCATTGACCGAACGTAAGAGACTCTCGTCGCACCCACGTGTTGGTAAATATATATTTATATGGATATATTGACAGAGTTGGAACAATTATTTTATGCCCTGCCGCTCGAATTGGAACTAATATCATCCAATTCCTGCGTTCAACCATGACTAATGGGGGGAAACTAAAAAATTATGTCGATCATCATTATATTTATAGCTGTTTAGTGTAAAACAAAGTTAGAGTTAGTGTGTTGTACTGTTACAGCCAAAAAATAAATAAATTTTGAAAACTTGCTGATTCGGAGCAATATTAATGAAGTATCCCTTAACAAATATATTTCATTTAAAATTATTTAATATTTGTTTTTAAGTGGTTCAATTTAATCAATTTAATATTTTGACATAACAGTTCCGTTTTTCGCATTTAATTGATAAATTTCTTTCTGCTTAAAACAAACTCTCGAATATTAGATTAAAAGGCCCAGCAGTGAGTAAAGTGACGCCCCTCAGATCGTTGAAAAAGAAACATTTTTAATATCAAGCGCAGTTCTCACAGAGAGTTCGAGCGATCAGCACGATTCGAGACAGTATTGGATCAACATTCAGAGTCGAAACGTCCCAAAAAATGATTAACACGGGTAATTAGTACTGGAATTTTTGAGGCTTTGTCAGAATTAGCCTAAACGTGCGGTACTGTCTGTTTTTTCTTATACAGCTGAATAGATTTATATAAACATATATCGCATACGCAGTGTGTTTTAGTGTTCTATGAAATACTTTCTATATTGGTTTTCTCAACGATCTGACCCGATCGTGTTATCTGTTTGCTTAGTGTGCGTGCCCAGCTGACCCTCTGCCGTCGGTTCTTCTTGTGGTAGGAGGTGTGAAAGTGTACTTTTAAGAATTTTAATGGAAAAGAAATATTTTTTGAACTTATAATCTGACAATCTGTAAAACATTTACCATTCCAAGGGCTTTAAAAATTCTTTCAGAAAACAAATATGAACTTTTGTAGATATACATATATAAGTATCTATATACATACTCGTATGTATTTAAAATCAATTTAATTGTAAACAAAAACCGTTGAAAAAAGGCAGCCACAGCCGCTTCTAGATGAGATGACCAGCGAAAGAAAAGCAAATATTTGGATTTATAATTTACTAACCAAAAGATGGTTACACATCTATCATATCTATCTCACACAGCACAATGACAAACGCCAGCTGAAGACGACGCAATCGGTTCATTGGCCCCCGAAACCCGTAGTCTAGAGCCCCAACGCTGAGGAGTGGGATTGGTCAACATGCGGCGTCCAAAAATATCCCTCAAGAAGTACTTCTATTTCACCCTGATCTGTGCCCTCCTCCTCATATTCGGTTTCAGTCTCAAGTGAGTAAGATAACGTGTCGGTACAAATATATAGCACCGATCAAATATTGATCATTGGCTGGCGAAGTACTGAAGTCTCATATTCACGTTCTAGAGATGTTAATATGATAGCTTAGTTTAAACTAGTTTGAACATCTTAATTTTATAAGTTGTTAAAAATGTAAAAATTGTGATTCATACTTTATCATTTCTGCATTTTATAACATTATGCAATACTTAGAAATCTATCAGCTGATTCATTTCCTTTAAAAATCTCTTAGAGAGCGCGAAATATGGAAGACGCTGAGTCCTCGATCATCACAGATCACCACGCAGCAACTGCATCATCAACATTTGCATCAACTGCAGTCCATGGACGAGGATCATTTATTGGCCACCAGTTCTACTGCGGCGCCAGTTGTTGCCACTTTGCTACCCGAAGTGGCGGATAATCTCATCGAGGAGCCTGAGCAGTCAGCTCTAGAGGAGGAGGAGATCGAATCAGAGCGCCTGCAAGAGCCGCCGGCGGAAAAAGCTTGGTTCTTCAAGAACGGAGAGTACTATCCAAAACCGGCCAGAACCTACAGCAATCGCAAGGCCAGGAAGCGTCATGCTCCCAGATTGCTGCCCCATCAGGATCCCTATTCCGATCGGATTGTTAACCAGCTTATGTATGTGCCGCACAACTATGAGGAGATCAAATCCAGTGGAAGACTGAAGACCATCCTCTTGTACAATGGACTTGGTCCCTGGAACGTGAAGAAGGGCCGCGATGTCTTCCTGAAAGCCAAGTGTCCTGTGGACACCTGTGAACTGACTGCCAATCGAGATCTGGCCAACTCGGCTGACATGATTCTCTACAAGGATCACTATATTCCCACGGGCATTCGAAGGCCCAACAATTCTAAGCAGGTCTCTATGCTCTACTATCTGGAGTGTCCTTATCATACGCAGAATGTCAAGGTGCCCGATGCCATCAATTGGACAGCCACCTACAGGTGAGTCTGCTGCTATATATATAATTATAAGCAATTCTTAAAGTTTATAACATGTTATTAAAATGGACGTTACTTTTACAGACGAGATAGTACCATTGTTGCCCCCTATGAAAAATGGCAATACTACGATACGAAGGTGCAGCAGCAGGAGCAGGATATAAACTACTCCGTCAACAAGACCAAGAAAGTGGCTTGGTTTGTGTCCAACTGTGGAGCAAGGAATGGCCGGCTCCAGTACGCCCATGAACTGCAAAAGCACATAGAGGTAAAGATGATTCTTCACTGGAAATGTAAATGTAAATTCTCATCCAATAATTTCCTCCATCCAGGTTGACATCTACGGTGCTTGTGGCAACTTCAAGTGTTCCAGGAGTACAGCGGATAAGTGCTTTGAGATCCTGGACAACGACTATAAGTTTTATCTGGCATTCGAGAATTCCAACTGCAAGGACTACATCACGGAAAAGTTCTTCGTAAATGCGTTGAACAGAAGGGTTTTACCCATTGTGATGGGAGCCCGTCCCGAGGATTACGAGGTTAGTGCCCCTCGAAGGTCGTACATCCATGTGGACGAATTCGCTTCGCCCAAAGAACTGGCGGAATATCTGCACATCCTAGACCATGACGACGAGCTGTACAACTCGTATTTCAAGTGGAAGGGCACCGGGGAGTTCATCAACACGTACTACTGGTGTCGAGTGTGTGCCACCCTTCATAACGAGGAGCAGCTGAGGAAACCCCGGTGGTACACCGATCTCAATGATTGGTGGCGGGGACCTGGTGTCTGCACAACAAGATCATGGCGGAACTTCAAGGCGCGCAAGGATGTAATCAGCGACTCCAGCGATGACTGAGTTCAAGTCCTTGAAGCGATCCAGATCGTGGGCATGGGCAATCCTTAGATCAGAAGTCATCATCAGGCATCAGTGAGTGACTAGTTTCTGAATTGTTGTTTCGTAGGTATCACCATCTCTACTTTCACTACTATCACTATCCACAGGATGGGTCCATTTTGTTTCGAGAAATGGGCAATGTTGCTATATATTGGTTATTAAAATGATTTACCTATTATTTATACAAAATTCTCCCAAGATCTCCAAAGAATAGTCCTAGTGATTATAAACTTTTTAGATGATTTTCAATGGAATCTCCATAGTCGTACTCTTAGTCGCAACAAAAACTTTCTGGAATCAAAAATATCGACCCATCCTTCGCTAATCCATGTGTAAAGAGTCACTTCGTTTTTGTCGGAGTTTTACGTAAATGTTTTTTGTAGTTAGTTAGTAAGTCTAAAACCTAAATCTCGGAGTTGGCGTCGACCGGGAAAATCGAATCAAACCGTGGAGGCACGAGGTGAGGAGCGTTTAATTACTAGCCCATAGACTAAAAAAAGAACCCCGTGCCGATCATTGTAACATATACAATACCAGATGCATAAGAGAACGTAGACACCTAGCCTAGTTATATATATATATATATATACTGATATACAAATGATATGTATACATAGTTCGGTAATTTATATAGTTGTTTAAACTAAAAGCAAGTCCAAAGTAGACCATAATAAGATAAAGACAGAGGCAAGCAAGTTAAAGTAGTTCGACATTATAAAGCTTAACTGCAATGAAGAAGATGAGGCATCGGCTATATAGCTTAGATCTTTTGTAAGTGTTTTTGTAAGCAACCAGCAACTGATGGCTCGACCTGAAATATCTATGTTGCCTGTTAATCGAGCACATTTTCTTTCTTTTAAACCATTTGATATTCAGTTTTAGATTTAAACTAGCCCGGCTTTTAGTTGAGATGTTAGCAGTAGAGAGCTACTTGTAAAGGTTTCCCAGCCTGTTGACTAACTAACTTACTCTATCTATAACCGATTCGCACAAGCTAACATAAATATCTGATCTAATACAAAAACAATCAGCATTCCTATTTTTCACAAAGAATATCATATGTCGTATTATTTGAATTCTAACAGCGCATATGTGTGGTTTTTACAATATTTCTTAGCAATATTTGTATTTATTGTGAAACATATAATTTATAAGTATTGAATAATATCATCTGTGTGTGTATTTTGATTGTGAACTTGTTTTAATTTTAATTTTTACTGTGATACAAAAAATAATAATTATAATAAACAAGAATTAAACAGTGGCAACTAACGACAAGCAACTTCATATATAATGGTGTTAGGGATACCAAATAATCTACAGAAACTCAACGGCAAATGTTTTAATTTAAACTTAAGATGGATCATTCTTGCTTAAAAAGCAACGTATACTTGACAATACAGTAGAGCTGCCTTATAACAAACAATAAGTACATGCAAAAAAAAGTTGGAATGCCCTTTAAATATCTTATAGCCTCAAACTAACTAAGCCCTAAACCTGGCACATTTTTAGTTGCTTTAGTAAATCTTTTAGAGTGTTAAGTTTCTCTTTCTTGGAATCTTCACTTCCTGCTGTGGCAGCTACGATCTTTGCCGTAATCTTGCGCTGCAGAGCAATGGCTTCAACTTTCTTAGAAAGCTGCAATGTAAAAAATATTTTTTAAGCTAATTTCCATTAGAAAAATATAATAATAACACACCTCATAGGCCCGCTTGATAATTCCTTGAGGCATTCCGGCTAGTTTGGCAGCATTGAAACCATACGATTTCGGACAGGCACCTGCTGTGTATTTGTATAGGAACGTGACCGTTTCTTGGGTGGGATCCTCATTGTCCTCGTTCTCCACCATGCAAGCCATGTGACCCAGAGTTATCCTCTTGTCATCGTGAAAGAAATCAATCAAATTGTGGTAGTGAGTGGAGAACAAAGTGCGACACTTGAGATTGGCCAGGAAGTTAACCACAGAGGCAGCAATGGCTGTACCATCATAGGTGGCGGTTCCCCTACCCAATTCATCGAGCAGCACAAGCGAATGACATGTGGCATGTTTGAGAATAAGTGAGGTTTCGTTAAGCTCCACGAGGAAAGTACTGTGCCCAGCTAGAATGTCATCTTGAGCTCCTAGTCGTGTGAAAATTCGGTCAACCAAAGAGAGGCGGCAGCTAGCAGCTGGAATGTGAGCACCCTGTAAAATAATTTAAATAGTGACATAAAAAATAAATTAGAAATATTTTCAATAACTTACAATTTGCGCCATGATAACCAACAGTCCCAGTTCTCTCATCAGCGTACTTTTACCGCCCATATTTGGACCAGTGAGTAAAGACAACGGGGCCTCCGATTTTGTGCCCAATTCCAACCCATTGGGAATGTAGGTGGAGGCATTTGCGCAAGGATGATAGCCCTCTTCCAGTTGGATAAACGGTTGCTCTACTCCAGAGACCAGCTCTGGAACGCAGATGACCATCTGTTGACCGGCGTACTCCGCCAGGGAGCACAGGACATCGAGTTTGGCCACACAATCGATGCATTGCTTCCACTGTTCGTAATGATTAGAGAACCTCTCGAAGAGGCGACGCGCCAAATCCTTGAGAACCATGTTCCTGGTATCTTCAGCATGCTGCATATCCTTGAGCAGAGCTCGGCTTTCAGCGGTGGTATAACGACGACATGGCTTCTTGCCCTTAGTTTGTCCCTCCAATGTATAGGACTTATTGGCTTTGCTAGCATGACTTTCTGGCACATCTAATTGGTAACGTTTTTTGTCGCTTCCAAAGTAGGATAAACGACAACCAAAGTGGCGCTCCTGCTCTACAAGATATACCTTTAGCCGACCCTCGATTTCACTTATGGCATCCATAGCTGAATCGTACTCAGCATCCATTCCAGCTTGAGGTGCAATCACACCGGTTTTGGCAGCTGCTTCGTGATCAAAAGCCGTAGCGAAATAGTTTAGCTCCTTACTAAGATCAGGAAACGATCCTCCAGACTCTGGCAGCTGAGTAAGCCTCTTCAACAAAGCTGTTTCACACTGATGAAACATCGTAGGAAGTTTCGTAAGTGCGTTAAAGCCCTTAAGAACCGACATGAATCCCAGTAGTTTTTGCCTGTTGTATATCTTTTCCTCAAAGAGAATAGCCCGGGAATCAGGGTGATCTTTTTGCTTGTTACCAAATAAGTGAATCTGCGCCAGATTTCGCTCAAAGTCCGGCATGGGTGCAAGCAAAGCACGAACCTCCTGCAGCTCGGCTGACATCCTAATCAGCTCTCCAATTGCATCTTGTCGCTCCTTAATAACCTCCACATCGCAGCTGGGGGCACAAAGCCAGTGATGCAAAAGGCGTTTCCCAAACTTTGTGCAACAATGATCCAATGTGGAAAGCAATGTGTGCTCCTCGCCAATAATCCTCAGGTTCGATAAAGTAGTGGCATCTAGTACCATGTGGGAACGTCTTAAAGCTGAGGCCGCAGCCGGCTTGGCATCTGGCACTTGATCTGGTGGCACATATAATTGATAACGTGCCATCGGCATCACCTTGGGCTCCAGTTTGCACTTGTGGATGAAAAAGATGCACTCTCCGAGAGCTTTTAAGGCAAGCTTGTAATTATCATTGGGTGTGAGGCCCAAGTGATCCAAATCTGACTGCATGGTGCGCAGTACCAATGGCCAGTTGTCATCTGAACCGTTTCCTGCATAGTAGCGCTCTGCCAAAAGTTTAAGGGTTTTTTCTGCACTGCAAGCCTGGGATCCATTACTGGGAACCAGCTCCTTGAGAATTCCACCCAGTACCGTGCGCACAATTTGCTGGGATCGCTGACTCAAAGCGGATTTCTCATTGAGAAGCTGAGGATTGTAAGAAGATTAGTTGTTTGCCAAGTCATGGATACACTGAATAATGATAGCTTACCAGCACGGGCATATGATGTGAAAGGAGGGTGAGCAGACGGGAGCAGTTCTTATCATCCTCGAACTCTCCCATATGGAAGTCCCCTATAGAGGTATCTATAAAGCACACACCAAAGCGGCTCCAAGTGCCCTCGTCCTTCTCAACTAAAGCCAACATATAGTTTGGCTTATGATTTGGTCCGATCTTGCACTGTGAGCCAAAGACCTGGGTGCCACGATTTGTAATCTGACAGATCTCGCGAGCCACCACTTTATCAAACTTGGTAGATTTGATTCGCTTGCAACGTTCGGTCATCATGTCCGGAGTTTCCGTTTGCTCCACGCGTGCAATCTGAAGAATTTTCACGTTTACATTTACTAATAAATTAAACAAACTGTTTATAACTTACCTTAAAGCCCCTGTCTACAAGGATGGTGGACATTTTGTCAAAGGATATTTCCGGAAAACCGGAGTGAGCAAACTCTCCGCGCATGTAGGTGAAGCCAAGCTCGGTCACACCTACATCAGCATCCATGTGATACAACTCATAGAACTTTCCCACCTTAAAGAACAAAACGCAGTCGAAGTTGTCAGACTTAAGAACCCACCACTGGCGAACTCCTGGCGATAGCCCATTGAGGAACTTCTCTGGAACATGCAGGGTGCTCTTATCGTAGGCTGGATGATCTGGACGCCTTCCCGCCTTGTCCTTGATCTTGTCAGGCTGCAGGAAATCTAGTTTTTGGTGTGGCCAAACAACAGGCTCATCTAGAGTGGATGTGGTGGTCACTATATCGTCGTAGGAAGCGTCCTTTTTGGCATTGCTTTGCAGATTCTTCAGTTTCTCTTGGAAAGTGGAACCCTCGGCAAGTTGGGTAGATGTTTCCAACTTGACCTTCTTGCTCAAAGGTTCATTATTGTTGTTATTTAGGATTTTGGACTTTTTGCGTGATTTTTTGGGTGATGGAGAGTCTATGGACATGTCGTTTTCGCTGGGCGATACCTCCTCGTCCCCGCTGCTGGCGCTATCGTCGCTGACTTCATTACCATCCGGCTCGTAGTCAGAGGCGCAATCGGAGAAGTCTTCCTCCGATTTGGTTTCATCCATTTCCGACTCGCTTTCCGATTCTGGCTGAACAATGCGCTTTCGCTTGCGCTGTCCATTGGGCGCCTCATCGTCGGAAACGGGCAACTTTCGCTTTGCCACCGGTGTGGAGTCCTTTGGTTTGGAATTTTTAGGATTCTCTAACTTTGTGTCTTTCTTCTTGAGCTTATCTTTTCCTTTGGAGTCTGGGCTTGTCTTTGCGGTTGGTGAAGTGGACAACTTCTTCTTGGCAGACGGTTCCTTCGATTTAGAATTCTTTGAATCATCTAGTTTTGGTTGCTTCATTCTAGGACTTTCTTTCTCTGCGGATTCGAGATCTTTATTTACGCTCGGTGTCAGTTTCTTTTTGTCGACAGCGGGCGATTTGGAAAAATATTTAAACAATGTGTTTGTGGGCGTTCCCCCAGCACTCGTGTTCAACTTCTTGGACATCATTCTCGAAAATGAATCTTGGCCAAATTGCGCAAAAATCAGATTGAAGACGCCGAGATTATGCGCCAAAATCCAATAATAAGTGTGCCCGCACTCGAAGCAGCACCTAGACTTTAACCTAACAGTAACAGATGCACTTTGAAACTGGATGACACATACCAGAAATACCTGTATTCAGTATTCAGTATTTTTTTTTATTAACTTGGATGGTATTACTAAGCGGTCCAGAAACGGTCACTCAATAACAGCACGCAGAAAATAAAACAAATTTCACAAGTTTTATTAAGTAAATTTTAAAATAAACTAGAACATGTCTCTGGCAGACGAGCTACTTGCTGACCTCGAGGAGGACAATGATAATGAGTTGGAGGAGGAAGATGCGGAGATGGCAAGTGCCGAGGATGAAAGCGTAAGACACCAAAACAAGTTCCAAATCCTACTGAACTAAACGATTCTTCTTATTTTTCAGTTTCTGGCGGAAAAGTTAGCGAAACCGGCTCCCAATTTGATGGACGTGGATGTCACTGTGCAATCAGTGCGTGAACTATGTAAGCTTCGCGATTCGGAGCGCTTGAAGAATACACTAGAACAGATCGAGCACTATGCCAGTCGCCAGAGAACCGCAGCCGAAATGCTGGGTTCCGTGGAATCCGATCCCGAGTACTGTCTCATCGTGGACGCGAATGCCATAGCTGTGGACATCGACAACGAGATCTCCATTGTGCATAAGTTCACAAAAGAAAAGTACCAAAAGCGATTTCCCGAACTGGATTCTCTGATCGTAGGCGAGATTGAGTATCTGCTGGCGGTCAAGGAGCTTGGAAATGATCTGGACCAGGTCAAAAACAATGAGAAGTTGCAGGCCATCCTCACACAGGCCACTATTATGATAGTGTCCGTCACGGCCTCAACAACTCAGGGGTGAGTTTATTTAATTTTTTACCAATAAAACCAATAACAAAATTAAACCCCATTTCCTTTGATAGCACTATGTTAACGCCAGCGGAGAAGGCCAAGATTGACGAGGCCTGTGAGATGGCCATTGAACTGAATAACTTCAAGTCCAAGATTTATGAATACGTGGAAAGCCGTATGACGTTCATAGCTCCCAATCTGTCCATGATTGTGGGAGCGTCCACAGCTGCAAAACTATTGGGAATTGCGGGTGGTCTTTCTAAATTATCTAAAATGCCTGCTTGCAATGTTCAGGTTTTGGGATCACAGAAGAAAACGCTCTCAGGTTTCTCACAAACTCAGATGCTGCCACATACTGGGTACGTCTACTACTCACAGATTGTCCAGGATACTGCTCCAGATCTGCGACGCAAGGCAGCTCGATTGGTGGCAGCCAAATCAGTGCTGGCTGCTCGTGTTGACGCCTGCCATGAAAGTGTTCATGGGGAGATTGGCCTTCGCTTTAAGGAGGATGTGGAGAAGAAGCTGGACAAGCTGCAGGAGCCACCACCGGTGAAGTTTATCAAACCGCTGCCCAAACCCATCGAGGGAAGCAAGAAGAAGCGAGGAGGTAAACGTGTGCGCAAGATGAAAGAGCGGTATGCGCTCACCGAGTTCCGCAAACAGGCAAACCGCATGAATTTTGGAGATGTAAGTGGCGGTTTTTATATCCAACTGCTTATCAGCTCATTGCTAATCTTCTCTTATTCTTTTCAGATCGAAGAGGATGCCTACCAAGGAGATTTGGGTTACTCCCGCGGCACCATCGGCAAGACTGGCACCGGGCGCATCCGATTGCCCCAGGTGGATGAGAAGACCAAGGTGCGCATCAGCAAGACGCTGCACAAGAATTTACAGAAGCAGCAGGTGTACGGCGGAAACACCACAGTCAAGCGGCAAATCTCTGGAACAGCGTCCAGTGTGGCCTTTACGCCGCTGCAGGGTCTGGAGATTGTGAATCCCCAGGCGGCGGAACGTTCCCAGACAGAAGCCAATGCCAAATACTTTTCCAACACCTCTGGATTCTTGTCTGTCGGACAGCGGACCACTTAAAGGATTAGCTTTTCCATTTTCTATAAAATTAAGCACTTTTATTTGGAGATTTGTCGAATGTATAATGAGTTAGGTGTAGTAAAGGAGCATGAAAGCTGCACAAGAGATTCAAATTGTTGTTAGCTGAGCTTGCCCACTTCCAGTTTGCGTTGAATGGCCTCCCAGGAGTTGTTTAACAGCACGGCTAGAATGCCGGCCACCGTGAAGACGCCGCCAATGATGGAACAGCAATTCGTGGCAAAGTGTCCAAAGGAGCTGTGGGAAAAGAATAAGACTAATAAATATTGTAGTTCAAGATTTGTATTCTGCTTTACTGACTTGCGCTTCTCTGCATATTTCACCATCAGCGGCGAGAGTTCGTAGCTAAAGAATATGCCCGGCATTCCTCGTTCGCGATCTGAAAGATCTTTTCGGTACCTCGTGACTGAGAATTGATTTGTGTATATGGGCTTGTCGCTACTGCTTCCCCGCATATATAACGTAGGTACAATTTTTAAATAATAATTGAACATTTCACTTTTTGTTTCTGCGAAAAAGTATTAAGAAAGTTTGAAGATAGTTTAAAATATATTTCATTATCATCTTTAACCTTAAAGTTAAAAATGTAAATGAGCAGGATTTAGTTTTAATTTTATAAAATTGATGAGAATTTGAAAATTTTCAAATGTTTATTTTAAAACGCCCGCCTGCATGCTGGAGCCCTCTGACGGGTTAACCTTAAATCATCGAAGCTAACTCAAAAACAACGTGGCAACCCTTTGCATCATTTGACAGCTCACGCACACTCTCGCATATTCACACGCTAACGATTGCTCGACGAGTCGACGAGCCGAAATAAATAGAAATATTTTGAATATTTCTTAAAATAAACGGACCTTTGGACACTAATTGCAATATTCATAAGTGAATCAGAGGAGCGCAGCTTGCTACTCAGCGGGATCAAGTTATATATAGCGGGAGAACGGGAGAAACCAAGGACTTTGCAGCATGCCACTACCCACGAGCTCATTTTCCCAGCAGGGACCATCATGCTTTGATAAGATGAAGACGGGCTTTATCATCGGATTCTGTGTGGGAATGGCCAGTGGAGCCGTCTTCGGTGGATTCTCGGCACTGAGGTTTGTTGTACTTTGCACCCTAAAGGCCCACTTACCACTCCTCCAATGGAGTGACGCAAGTAGATGCCGGGAATTATGTAATTACACCGGCTAACTAATGAACCATGTATAATTATTCACAGATACGGACTACGTGGTCGAGAGCTGATCAACAATGTGGGCAAGACCATGGTCCAGGGTGGCGGAACCTTTGGCACCTTCATGGCCATCGGTACAGGGATTCGCTGCTGATCCTACTGGCATTTGACTAGAGTTACTAAACAAAAAACCTTAAGCCCTACTCCAATCTTGTTTAAATTACGCTAAGTTATTGCAATAGAAATGTTAAAGAGATATCTAGATGTGTTTGTATGTTACTACTCACCCATGACGTCCACTCGCAGTCCGTCCAAAGGATGCGTCTTGGCGAACTCGATTTTCTCCCCAAATGACAAGTGATTGATAGTATGCGATAGCTTCACATTGCTGAACTGAAAGTCATGGATATGGAACTGTCGGATGGAGAAGCTCTTGCCGGGTGCAAAGTGAAAGCTGCCGGCCATGCGATTCACCTCAAGATGGCCCTGGATGCGACAGCCCTCCTTGAAAGCGTCCTCGTCGCTGCGTTTGTATTTACCCTTGCATTGCTCGATTTTGTCCACAGCCACGTTCCATTTGCGCAATCTGTAGGCGTCTAGCACATCTTCGCACGTGTTGCAGCAACTAAATTGGACGGTTTTTATCATTAAAATTGTGATTTTAGAGCGGCATTAATGAATCTGAGTGCTAACGAACCAATGAAGTAGTAAGTAATTCATTTTTCTTGCGAGATACATATTGATCTTCATCATTTAAAGGCTTTAAAGTTACTATGAAACCATGTTGCTTAAGAATTGATCTTTTTGTGTTAGAATAATGTTTTGAGAACCACTTTTTAGAAAGATATTTGTATAAATATTTAAGCTTCACTTTCTCCGAAACAAGTAGGGTTAAGTGGATTATTCATATTCCTTTCGGATCTAAAGCTTACTGTGTGGCATTGTGCTCCGCTCCGTAGCAACTGCCGCATGTGACGTTCTTATTGGGCGGCGACACAGCTACGATTTCCTTGATGGGCGTCTCCTTGAGAGGTTCCCCCTTAAGATCCAGCCTGTGCTTAAAGACATCATGGTCTACCCTTAAATGTGTATCCCCCGACGAGTCCATCGCATCCAAAGAGATATAATTACAGGCCAGATTATGTAGGGTCACGTCCAGATTTATTCTCAACTTGTGGCCCCGTGTGGTGTCCACGAAGAGTTCTTCATTTAGGGTTGGTTGCATGTAGCTAAGGAACTCTAGGAATATCAGTAAGCTTATGATGCTGGTACTGATAATTGTAACTGAAAACCAAAGGAATGCCGGTTCTTTGGGTTTCTTATCGCCATAATCAAATTTACACCTGCACCCACCTGCGGCTCCGCCCACTGTGCGAACACTGAAATCATCTAAGGTGCGCGGATAGGCGTCCAGGCGACGCAGTACATCGGCAAATTTCATCTTAAATACAAAAGAAAACCACAAAACACACTTATCGGAGACGTAAACAATAAAAATTACATATTTTTCACCGCCGCAGGTGACGTGTTGCAATTGACGTTGCCAGAAAGCTGCAATGGTTGAGCAAAACAGATGTTTTACCATGGACAATAATCGTTATCGAATTATCTACATGGCCGATATATACCCTATTTTACTTCTTACATTTATAACCGTTAAGCTTGATAACTTGGTAATTTGGAATTTAAAAAAAGATTTTGCAATTATATAGCCTTTGCATAGTTCTTTTCCAACTCTAAAAAAATATTCTGCAATTCGTAGTTTTTTTTCATATATATGAGCTTTCAGTAATAGTTAATTAGAAGCAATGAACGACGATGTAAAAAAACTGCCAAAAACTGACGTGTAAGTAATAAAGAATTGCCAAAGCTTGTTAACACGTCAGTGATAAATTTGGAAAATTTAAGTTATATATGTATTGCGATTAAAGCATTAAAGTCCTTTCTTAACTTTATTAATTTTTATCTAATATGAACAACCTTAAATCCTTCCTCATTTAGAAAACTCCGTTGATTTTGTGACTTGTAAACTAGAAGTTAATATTTTCAAAAAGACAATACTTTCATTTCAAATTCTAACTTCAAGGTAAAGCAAACTTTGTAATTAGGAGATTTTTTTTGGTTTTACCCTTCATTAGCCGTTGCTATTCCCCATTGATTAAGCATACGTCGCGTTGGCTCCACGATAATTAAGGCCTCCGTCTGTCCGCTCTTTCCAATGATTCCAATGGCCACGAATAATGTTTAATAGTGTTGTCATGTCTTGGGGCTGTGGTTGCGCATACATTAGGCCACGCCAGGACAACCCACTGTCGGCGCCACCCTTAACCCACTGCTGCCATTGCTGCCGCTGTTGCTGCTGTTGTGGTCCAGGAGACCGCGTCTAATTTTATAATACATGTTAAACAGATGAAAGGTTAATTGAAAGGAACCACAAGTTTCGACAGCCCACGCCGCCAATGCTTAGCTTTTAGGGGTTGTGACCTGCCCAATCCCCCCATTTTAAGGACAAGAATAATAGGAGTCCGTGGTTTATCCCCCGGGATTTTGGTTAGAGTTAAAAGTTTTCGCTTAAATATAAATCACCAAATGGGTTGTCGCTTGACTGATTGAAGCCGAAATACCCCGAATCTGAAGTTTCATGAACCCAAAAATCCAAAATCCATGCACGGTCACAAATAATTGTATGTAGGTGGGTGTAGAGAAACATACCGCGACTTTGTGTAATTACCAATTAAGCTCAAGTCCCCGAAGCTTTCTCATTTTCTTTGGCACTCTCTCTCTCTCTTTATAGTTTCCTTTGTCTTTCATCTGCCGACCTGACCTTTTCTCTTAGCAATTACGCTGGACAAGAAATCTGGAAAATCAGGTAAGGCAGCAGATGACAAAGATTAGCTAGAGGTAATTTTACACTTTTTTTTACTTTCTAAATTGAAGTAAATGGATTGGGAAGGGTATGAAATGGAGCTTAATAGCTTGGTTTTTGGGTTCAATAAAAATCAGAAAAATTAATTTATAACAATTTTTAATAAGTTTATTAAATAATAACATAGATACTAGGCAATAATCAACATATTTTTAAATAATTTTAGGAAATTTTCACAGGAATATGAAGTACTCCTTTGGATTTCCAGACACTGGACAAGTTCATAGCCCTTTTCCTTATATAAATTTTTGCCCAACTTATGGCCATAGGGCATTCAAGTTTTTGCCATGGCCATTTCCCCTGGACCCCCCGCCCAGCTAACCGCCCCCTCTTATCTCTCGCTAATTTGCATTTCTAACCATTTCGCTCTAGCCAATTCGCGTCATTTCTTATTTGAAACAATGAGCCCAACAGCAGCCCAGAACAAATACCGTAGAAGGAGTCATTGTGCTCCGGCTTTGCAGGCAATAAAAGACTCCGGAGACAAAAGAAACTGGGCTAAAAAGAGACAGGGAGCTAGAAAGAGAGAGAGAGAGAGAGAGAGAGAGAAAGCGACAGAGAGCGTGTCAAGAAACTTAGACCCGGACGGAGAATGAGAAAGAAAGCCAGAAAAGAAGTTGGCGTAAAGCAGCTTAAACAATCAGGACTGCCTAATGGATATTGACACTTTAATGCCCTGGCCACCGACTCAGGCACTGATTCTGATTTCGAATTTTCACTGACAGAAAAATATGATAACCTATCAATTTATGTTTTCTCTATAAATTATAGTATGTATATATATACTAACACATTAACCTACATTCACCTATGTCCAGGCAAAATTTTACCATAACTCATATTTATCTTTCTAGGAGATCATTGTTTAAACTTGGCTATAACTCAACTAATATCTATTGGTAAACATAAATACGAATATTAAAAGCTATCATTTTGAACATAAATTTTGATATATAAATCATATTAATATCGTAATAAAACTAAGTTATTGAAATTTATGAAATGAAAATAAAACCAAAAATTATAATAATTCATGATAAAGAGAACTTTATCTTCTTTAAATTTTTAAAAATGTATTTAAATAGACAAAATTTTTGAGAAAAATTTAGAAAAATTCAAAAAGAAACAAAAGCTGTTTTTACATTTCAGAAAATTCCCGGAACATAAAAATTAACTTAAATTTATTATGATTTTGATTTGATTTGTTTTATAAACCCTTCCTATAGACCCAAAGTTGTTTGCCAAATTTACTCTAATAATTTTCTTCCTGTGTAACTTTCAAATTGTTAATGGAGTGGGCAATCCCCTTGAGAAAGGCTGGATCCATCCGTGCAGATGTCCTGCTCTAATTCGGTTCGGTTTTCAGCTTGCCGTGGCACATAGTACATATTTCTACCTTTTTTTTACCCGCCTGAGCCGCATTCTTTGCTTTAAACAAAATTGCAGTGCCGAAATTAATTATAGACCAGCCGCACCCGGGCCATATTTAATTAAACGTGGACATTTTAAACTTGGAACAACCGAACCGCCGTACAGCCGAACACCACTGAACCGCCCAAGAACGTGGAACCAAAAGGCGTAATTAATTAGTGGAGACGTGCCAAATAATTGCGGCAGAAGTAACTTTTTTCTTTCTATTTTTTTTTTTATTTTTCAGGCGACTCCTTTATTATTTCGATGGTCAAAGAATGTTTCAATTACGTGTATTGCTGATGGGTAAATGGGGTTGCTTTTTGCAGCAGGGAGAAAGTTTTTGGCCAGGTGGAAATTAATTAAATTAGCAGGCGTCATTTTGGAAAAGTGTCGCGCAAGGACTTGAAATATTTTGTACCTTTACCTTCCGCCCCTTCCTGTCACTCTCTCCTCCAAGCCCACAACACAAAATTGGCGTTTACTATTTTCCCGCCCCTTTTGCAAATTTGCCTAAAAATTGTGCTCGTGAAAATTCGCATACATAACCTCCGCATCCGTTGGCTAAAACCGAAAACGTCATTTCCGACAAATTAGTCCAGTCAACTGTGCCACGATATATTGTGTGTGGGCAGCAATTCTGCGTCTGTATGTGTGTGCGTGTGTGTGTGATTGTGTGTGCTTGTGTGTTGCATTCAACGATTTCAAATCGCTGGCCACGTTTTAAGCATATTTCCTGGTTTAGAAACTGCCAAATCCTTTTTGTCCGCCCCATTTACCGACAAAAGTTTCGAAAGCATTTCGATATTTACCACTCTTTCCCACCCCTTCTCTGGTAATAACTTGGTTACATAATCGTTTATGAACATCCATAATGATTTCTTCTGCTCGTTACTTTTAATTGTCGCGCCTATTAATTGCATTTGCAATGTGTTATAATTAGGAATGCATTATGGACAATACGGCCTCTTCCTATCTCTCTCAATCAATATCTTAAATGGGAATCCGTAGGGGGGAACAAAATTTAAAATGTAAATGCCAAATGATTCGGATGATTGCCTATACAATTTTAAGTATTTAATTAATTGGTTTACATTTTATTTGTGAAAGGGATGAAAAGATTTCTTGTTAAAGCTTATTTTTTTAAAATTAAATTGATGGTAAAATAAGAGTATTTTGGATTTTTAGGAGATGGAATGGTGTAGATGTAAAATGTAAAATAAAATTTTATAATTTACATATAAATGTAAATTAAAATAAATGCGAATTTTTAGATGGTAAAGAAATGTATATTATTCGAAATAAAGTGTGATTTTTAGCTATTTGAAAGCAATAATAATAATTATTATTAAGAATTAAAGCAAAAAAAAAAGGTTCATAAGAAATTTCAAGCATTTTCTAGAATATTAATTTTAAAAAATTAACTAAAAGTTCTATAAGAGAGTTAGCTTTTTGGATTTATTTTCAAAAAACTAAAAAATATATGACTTCAACGAAAACAAAAAATAATATTCATTTAAAACTAAATAAAGTGTATAAATAATAACACCTTTTGATATTTAGTAATTTTTAACAAATTGTACTTTTTAATTCAACAAAATATTTATATTATATAATTAAAACGTTTGATTTATTTCATTGTAATGCCGAATACCAATAAGTTCAATACATGTCATCAATATTTTCACAGCTCAGCGTTATTTTCATATTTTTAATTTATTTGCTTTGAATGTAACGATTTTTATGAATTAATTGAAACGCATTTATTGGTGCGAAAATAAAAAATTGTGTAACTTTTGCATATTGCCAGTGGTTTTTAAGTCCATCTGGAAATCGGGTTTTGTTCAATTTCTTTATAAACTGCAATCGCATTTTTCTGTTTTTGCACTTTAACCATTTTTGTGGGTTGGACCGCGACAATGGGCTCTTTATGCAGACGCTTTCGGGGTGAGAAATAGATGAATGGGCGACACAACCTTTAACCCCTTTTGTGTGTGGGCGTCCATTTTTCGCCCATTTTTTTGTTTATTTTGCTGGATGAAAATTTTGTACCATTTTTTTGTGCATACTCGCTCGGGTCACGTCAACAGAAAAGTGCATACTTTTGTTGTCGGCTGGCCCTGCTGCCGACCAGCAACATGAAAAATTATTTACATAAATATCCGCGCTGTCAATTGTGTGTTGTGGCATGTAAAGTGACAGTAGCAGCGCAAAATGGCGTCTCT